CTAAGTGTTGACACAAAGGACACTGGGATGGGTGGGCAAGAAAACTAATCCTTTGCATGGAACCAAAATCGTTCCAGTCGCTCTTGATTATAAATTCGCTTGAAAGCGTCTGGGTAGGAGGCAGGCAAAATATCATACTATAGTCAACTGTTTCTAAGACGGACACCTTTGGGACCGGCACTAAGTGTCCATCTTAGAGAGGTGTTCATCTCATAGAGAGTCAAACTAAGGGAGTAAAGAAAGGCAGGGACCAATTCTAAGTGTCTGTTTTACAGAGGTGTCCGTCTTATAGAGGTGTCCGTTAAGAGAGAGTCGACTGTACTGATAAGCCACTTTGTTGTCCACAACTCAAAAAGTCGTCAGAATAATTGATTCTAGCTTCACTGTACCAAGTTCTCAATGTCATCTTCTTCATCATGTCTATTTGACTGTTTGCCGTTGGCGCTACTGTAATCCAGAACTTTTCCATCTTTAGCAGTGCCACTATTGTCCCAAGTTCTTGCCTCCTTCCCTTTCTTCTTGGCTACTGGGGAACCTTTGCTGGAAATTAAGGTTGACATAGCATTATTACACCTCAATCACTTAAGAAAAAGTGGTACATGTGTAGGATGGTGGACCAAAGTGAAGACTGGTTCAAATTATGGTGATGCATATGGGGATTTTGTCATCAGTGCTAAATTGTGGTCATTTCTGGTGACTAGAACTACAATGTACCATAACATTTAGGCCCTGTATTTGAGTATTATTATTAAGTGGTTTAACAGGTTACCTGCTTGTTTGAGTTTTCTGAGGTTTAGGAGCTCCTCTTTTCTTCATTTTTTCAATATTCATCCTTATAAGATCTTCTTTGGACATGCCATCTTGTGCATCCACAGAAGGAGTTTTGTCACTGGAGGGCTTCAATTCAGCTATTTAGTATAAAAAATAAATTTATAAATGAAAAATGATAGTCATAATCCATTTGACATTGAGTGAAATACAAAGAGAAAGAAAATATTGCGAAGTACCGAGAACTGAAGCAGGAGTTGAAAGGGATCTGGAAATCACACAGAGAAACTATGGCGTCAATCATAGTAATTGGTGCATTAAGAGCTAACGTAATGTAATGTAAAGTAACCATTACCTTCTTCCACAACTTGTTGCTCCTTGTTCTTTCCTCCACCTTTCTTTGCATTCTTGCCACCCTCTTTGTTTTTCTCGTTCTTGTCAATTTTGAGTGAAGCCACTGTCTTCTGCGACTTCCTAGATTCTTCAAAGGTTTTCATCTTTTTGGGGGCTTGGGCCTCTAATTTACTTCTCAATTCTGCTTCTCTTAGTAGCCGGTTGAAATCTTCATTAAATTCATAGTTTCTTATCACACCCGCCTCCAGCTCATCTTTGTATTTGTCTCGGAACTCTAGCTGAATGTCGTTCAAGAGTTTGTCTACATATGACAGTTGCAGTGTTTTTTGAAACGCAACCTAAGAAAACAACATGTAAAATGACCTAAGAACACAGGGACCACTTTTGAGCACCGTATTAAAACTTTTCAGGCCTCAAATGCAGCGCTTATTGGAGGGCAGTGTTTATTTGAAAGTTGGATGTGAGAAAAAATTGAATCATCTGCGTTATTATTATTTTCTGTATTATCAACAGGATTAACATCTTTTGATTAAGATTATATGAAGGCTACGGTGCTTATTTGAGTAAAGAATTAGTGAAGTGGTTCATTGAAAAGAAAGTACATTCTATTTCAGTGCTTAAAAGGGAAAAGTACCAGGTATAAAATGTAATAATCTCTTTTTAAATACATGGTTGTATCCATAAGTGGGTAAGATGAAGCGAAACCTGTGCAGGGCTGTCACTAAGATTTCAAGTTGCGGGGTAAAAACAACAAGTAGGCAGGGAATGAAACAGCTAGGGATTTCTTTTGGTTCTATTTTTCTTCTATTTTCCTCTGATAGCACCGGAGGGTCAGGCTCATATTAGCCGGGGAAATCCCTAAACCCCGGCTCTTGGTGACAGCCCTGATGTCTTTGATTGGCTACCTGAGTAGGCCAGATGAGCCTATCTTGCCAGTGCAAAAAAAGAGAGTAAATATTGTGCCATCACCATGTCATTTCCACGGTCTGCACATGTTCTCTTATTGACCACAGTTCTTGACCAATCAGCGCATGAGAAATCGCTCAGTTATTGCAAAATGATCTTTATTTTATACAAGCCTCATCACTCACTGTGAAACTTCACGGCAATATGTTTCCTTTAGTCTTACCATGAAGTCATTGTTTTTCAAACAAAGTTCAAGTTGAAATGGTTTCACCCTAGACTGCAAGCAGCCTCTCTTTAGCTTTATATTTAGTGAGGGAAGTGCATGCATGAGCGATCATTGAGACTCGAGAAATGAGTGTGGCAGTCTCGCACTTTCAGTCATGGTCATTTACATATAATAATAATAATTATAATAATAATGATCGTTTGTTCAACCTTTTTGCAGCATAAACTGAATTACAAGGCGGGTCATTAATTACATAATACTTCGGAATTATGACACGTAAATATAGCTGTTAATGTCTTGTGCGAGCCGCTCAATGGATTAAGACATAAAGAGACTGCTTGGAGTCTAGAATTAATAATTTCCTATGCCTCGTAATTATTCATAATTCTGAATAATTGGGGTAAATTGGAGACAAAAGAAATTTATGACCTCATTCACAAAATTGTAGATAATAAATAACAGAGAAAATTAAAACCATTTCCAGTTGAATTTCATTTTGAACAGTCTGTAGAACTTGAAATTATTTACCACTTTTCATCTGTGATGTTTTCGTAACACTGAAGCCATTTTCTACCGTTACAACACCACAGACTTCTATAAATAGAAAATTAAGTTTCTTACCACAAACACCAATTCGAACTCATTGTCGAGTTTATATTTCAAGGTGAGCGATCCATGAGTGAAGGAATTATTTCCTCCGCGTTCCTGTTATAACAAAAAGAGGAGGAATTAATAAGCTTTTAAAAGGTTTAAGATGATTCAAGAAAGAGACTCTCAAATAAACTCATCATATCATATCATATCCTTGGAAACCTACCTGTAAAATTACACTACGTATTAATTCATTAACAGGAAGAGTAAAGGACTGGCATGTTCCCTGAAAACACCAGAGAACTATGCCTCCTTTAGAAAATATAGTAAAAAGATCTAACATAACTTGGCGAAGAAGTCCCAGCTGTGAAGAATCGTGAAACATAAAGATTTCTGAGTCTATTTGCGCATGTTCTGTAATAAGCTCCCATAATGCAATACGAGGATTTATTTTCACGAATTTCGCGCTTGTACTCGCGTGTAGTCACGTTGTTTTCGCGTGAGAATGCTTTTGATTTCTTCTCACTTGCGCCGTTCCCACTAACCTGCGAGAGCATCCGGTTTTTTCGGCTCAAGTTTTTACTTTCACCCGCCAAGAAAAACCTGGGGTGAAAATAGAAACTTGGGCCGAAAAAACCGGATTTTCTCGCAGGCTACGTTCCCACTTGCACCTGAACTTCCATCTGGGACAAGCTTTTGTCCTGTTTTACATCAGGAGCCGATTAAGGTTCCTGTTTACGTCTAGTTTAATAGGTTTTGAATTAATTGGTGGTGTTGGGGCTCTGCCTCCCCGTACCGTTCCCCACCCCTAACCTAACCTGAGATCAGGCGTAATTTTTTTTTTGCTTCTTTGCTTCTTTGGCTCGAGAGGGAAAAAAGGGGGAGGGCATGATCGCAGGCTACCCCTAACCACGAGGTGTTTGTTGATGAATGCTCAAACAAAGGGTTGCGGGGACAAACAGCAATCAGATTAGGAAATTGATCCAAGGGGCTGGCTTGTCAGCCTCCAGTGGAAGACCCTGCACATTCTACATGTAGGCCAACAAAGTTCAGGTAGCAATACAGCTGGAGAGGGGTGGGGTGGGGGGCGTCTGGTATGGGGTGGGTCGGGGAACTACTTCACTCGGGTAGCTCCTGTTCACTGCCAAGAGAGAATAATAGTCATGTCACGTCACAGTTCAGGGAACTTCAGCTCCAAAAGCTATAATTTTTCCATTGTTGACTACACAGCCGGATAAAATTGTCTTATCTTGTTTGTCCGCTCCACTTTTATCTTACTCCTATATGTGATGACAGGGTAACCGGTCGATTCATACGGACCCAAGTCGATTTGTACCAAATTTAAGAGAGTAAAACAACTTAATAATATTAAAAGCGCGCTTCACAAGTAATATACTTCGTTCTTTAAGCTACAAGGCCAAATAGTGCTTTACTTCTTTATTAGCCCATTTCATACACTTTCCTGTAGATTACATAGTATTTTTTATCGAGCAGGACATCTTAGCAAGCCACCAGGGCACCATGAATGTAAAATACATCGTTCTTTAAGCTACGAAACAGATGTTACAGCCTACACATGTGCGAAACGTGGCACGAATTGACTTGGGTACAAAACGATTCTAATGCGCTGACAGAGTTTCAACCCACATAAAGATTTAGGCGAAAAAAGAGTAGTTCGCTAGAAGAAAAGGTTTAAAATAAGCACTCTTTGATAAAGCGCTTTACGTAGAATACACCCCGCTTCTTGGCTGAAATTGTTTTTTATTCTTCTTAGCCGAGATTAAAAACTTAAGGGTGGTCTATACCATTTTTATTTTATCAATAACCAAGACACTTCCATGTAGATATAACAGCTATTTGTTTTGTTGTATAATGTTTCTATATACATTATAATAATAATAATTCTTCAATGAACAAGTATTATATTACTTATCAAAATATTTTCCGGCCCGTCTGTTAAATTTACTTCTAATAGTCAAGGGAAACAATTTGCCACTTCAGGTAGCCTTGCCTGCGAGCAGGCTCTCTGTACTCGCAGGCTATTGTTAGCCTTGCACCTGTATAGCCTTTGGATAGAGGTTACGTTAGATTCACAAAGCGCCGCTAGGAATTTAAATCTGAATAAGGAAATCACCTAGTTACTTGAAACTGGGGAAATTAGGTTGGCGTAGACTACAAGGTAGAACAAACCACAGAATTGCCACTAATATGCATTTGTTTTTCACTCTTCAAATGGTCAACAAATATTGGGACAAAGTTGGCGAAGGTTCTAATAAATATGCAGAGGAACAAGCGCTTCAAAAGTCTTACTTCTTTCAAAATAAAATAAGACGACAATTCAGGAAAGAGAAAGTTTCCATTTTCCGTTGACATCAAATAAATAAGAAACCTTTAAGCATACCCTTAAATCAAGAGACAAGAGCTTCAAAATAAATAAGGAATTTTGGGGGATATCCTTGAAATCAAGATTTTCCACGTAGGATTTTTACTGTACGCTCCTTTCGATGTTCACATCGTCTTTTGTTAATGTATCACAATACTCCTCGTGCAACTGTTGACAAGCAAGTCAGCTTAAAGGTACATCCATCCTCCTTATTGGCTCATTTTGGTCACCTGCACCAAATACGGGGCTTTGATTGGTTTAGAACTTCAGCAACGTCCATCAACGCAATGTTAACAGTGCATTCTCTTGAAAAGTTCACTGTTAAAGAGGATTTGCTCAGTTATGTGACGATTCTACCTGAAAAAGTAAACAAAAACAAACAAAGAACGACGGATGATAACCAAAAACAATGAACTGATTTTACAGTGAGTTGTAGATAGAGTAGCTTTCGTCAAGGGTCTACGTTTCACTTGCGATTGAATATGCTTGGAAAGATACTTGTATATTCGCTACCTGCAAATTGATTCAACACGACAGGGAACTTGGCCAACTACGTAGACAAAAGTTAAGGCAACATCTTGAAACTGGGTGAAAGGAGCAAAACAACAACTCTGCACGTAAATCACTTTTTTTGGTAAATTTTATTGCCGTCCGTTGCACGACTACCACGTGAAAAACCAGGGGCTTGGCTCTACATGTAGTTCTCACTATAGTGACCTATACAGGGAGGCTCCGCCCGAAAGGGGTACTTTTTTCAGGCTCCAGGTATATGAAAGAATGGAAATTTCACTAGTTTAAGTATAAGGTAGGGAATTCTGAATCACCTACAGCATTAATTTTGGCCATCAATCTCTCTTTATGTTCTCAACACAGACTTGGTACAAGTCCTCCACTTCGTAATACTGGGCTGCGGAAAGTAGTACGGGAAGGAGACTGGACTCTGGGTCACATGTTCCACAGTGCAGAAACTCCAGTAACGTCTCAAATACATCGCTTTCAAATTGATTCACAATAATAACCTGGCGAGAAGAAACCTCTTATGAGTTACTTTCAGTTTTCCTTTCAGAGAAGGAGGGAGAAAAAAGCAATTGGCAGCCAGAGTAAAAACACTGGAAACGAGGCTAGAGAGGTTTTGGCTCTCTTGGTGATTTGTCAAAAAAGTGGCGCGGGATTTTATAGCCAATCACTAACTAGCAGTTATAAAAAACTAACGTGTATTCAAAAAAGACAAACCCCGGAAAGCTTCCTTTAATTTTTCACCAGAAAAGTTATCAAGTTTATTTTAGTTAAGGTGGTTAAGCCATCTCATCATTTGATAACTTGTTTCCGCCACTACGACTTTCTCGGAGCTTCTCGCTAAAACCTGAGAAGAATGACGACGGCTATCACATTTTCCCGCCAAAATGACATTGGTTCACGCGTGTACACCACTTAGTGTAATAGTTACATTTCGTTGTCGTAGACAGCCTCGTCTTTTTAGAAGACCCCGTTACGTCCAGTTTATACGGGTACGGACAAATTCTTGAAGGGACAAAAACTTGCACGGATCCAGAACCGTGCAAGTTCTTGAACGACAAGCAGTACTGCAATATGTAACAGAATAGCACGGTCCTGTGTAAACCGGTTGCACAGGTAATGCAGCAATCAAGTCCAACTGAGTCTAAAGGTGTCTAAAACTGAAAGCCTGACACAGGCTATGATTATGGTACCTCTTGTGGTAGCAGCTGCGACGATGCTCTTGAATTCTCATCGATTGTCTTGTTCTCAAGATCACTGATGGATTCTAGGGTGACGCTCCTTTTGTAATGATCTTCGGTCTCGTTCATTGATTTGCTACGACGCAGTTTTTCCAGGTTCACCTTCCCGCTCCGAAGGCCTGTTTGCACAACTTGGTTATGACGCCAAGAAACGGTACGTTTTAATATGGTGGGTGCCAACGATAGGCTGGTCTTGGACGCTGGTAAGACGGCGCTGGTGGAGTCACGCTCTTGGGAAAACATCTCGTGAAAAACTCTGTTGAAGATAAAATTGACTTGGATTAGCTTAAGTTGGACAGGGTTTGATTTCTCCGGTGTCTCTGCAAATTAGCTCTTAAGCGGGTGGAAAACTATCTTGGGCGACTGTTGGTTATTGGCTAGTTCCAACCCATCCTACAATACACCGTTTCGACGGAACAAAGCGGTCTGGTAGTAGCCACTACCGGATGCAAGGTTTTTTCAGACATCTGGTAGCCCATGTGAAGTAGCTGTAAATCTCACACTGCTACAGATCTGCTACAGCAAAGACAGGGCAGTACACGCCTGGATGACGCGAATGTTAACCTTAGCTGCAAATCTGTAATATCACAGGGGTGGACATAAAAAGAGCCCATTGTAATGTCGATGACAATGTTGGTTGAGTGTAAATAAATTGGATAAGAGATTGAAATGTCTCACTCACTTGCTTTTTCCTGACATCAAAGACTTCACCCCAATAAAGCACTTCTTGTCTGTATCACAAAAAAGTAAATAAGTGTATGTCAGCACACTTTACCTCACAGCATTGCTATCTTAACCAAAGAAAATTGTAAGATGGGTATTGTAAAAGGTAAGCTGTCTACAACAAGGCAGGATAAACTGAGTTAATAATAAAAATTGAAAGAATAAAAACCAAAAACAATAAAAGATCAGGAAAGGAGTGAATAAATAGTTAAAATAACTTACCAACAAGGAATGCAACTGTGTCAGCCCTATTATGGCTCACTCTGCTGTCTGTGCTAAAATCCCTGGATACCTGGCCTACTGTCATGTGGAGTTCCTGAAATGTGCTTATCGAAGAGCTTGCTGAAACATTTCTGCCGTCTGTCACATTCATCTCCACAGACTTCAGAAGTCCCCCCATAATCAGCGACCTGGTGCGAGCCTGAAGTAGATCATAATTTACAGCGGTCACTCAAGGAAAGGCAATCGATAATGTAAGTACAGTGTACTTTGAGGTAAGGACACACCCATGCGGCAGATACTTACCACGGTTTTTGTAGTTTTGAAGCATGCTAATACGATCTCCAGCGCGACTAATATTTTCTCCTTGGTGACTAAACATTCTGGTTTACTGTAGTCGCCACTTTGGCGACCAGATTTCTCTATGATTTAGATTTAAATTAAACGAGTAAATTAAACAAACATTTCATCTTATCTTGCTTTGCTTCCATCATAAAAATGTGCCAAGTCGCATAAACAAAGCCAGTTTACCTCCAAATCTATACTGCCTTTGTCTGCTATATTTTCAAACAATCAAATCTGATAGATTACACATACTATAAGCTGCGTCATTTACATTATACAAACTGGTGACTAAAAATTTACATCTGGCGACTATATTTCTCCAGTTGGTCACCAAAAGGTGACCTGAAGATTTTTAATTTCAAGCCCTGATATGCATGGTATGCTCAGTTTACTTTTTCTCAGCATTTCACAGACTGTAGACATCATCACCTTCACTTACTACATGTATGCACTCACTAAAGTAGATCAATACTACATACTACCTAGTACACTATACACAAAAGCATTTGAGGGAATACTCACATGCAATTTGGCAAAGTCGGTTGCCCTGTGACAAGCCTGTTCACCTTGAATCAGCTTCTTAAGAATCCACTCTCTGAATTCTTTGCCCTGAATCCAAGCACAGAAGAATTAGTGTTGCACAGTCGGACCAATCTTGATGTCCCTTTTAGCCTCTACATAAACTTTCTGATAAATGTTGACATTCAAATAAATACTTGTGAGTAGTACTTTAGTAATATTCCCATAGCCAACAAGATTACAAGATCGTTTTGATGAACTTTTGTAGCACTGCTGTGTTCAGTATCTTCAATGTTCTTCTCTTCCCAGGCATGATATTAGGGACCTTAAGATGCAATGAAGGCGACAGCAACGGGAACGTCAAAAAAGCAATAGGTTAAGATTAGCAAAACAACAACTTTACATGCGCATCACACTTTTTTTTTTGCCGTCACAGCACGCCTACGACCTGAAAATGCCCAATTTCACGTTTTATTGAGGACATAGACAAGCCACTACAAAATCTTCTTTCTCTTTCTGAACTTGGACATGGCCTTTAGGAATTCAACTCCAAGAGAGTTCGCCTAAATTTGACAAAATAAATTAGTTGGAACTGTCGTGATGAAGATTGAATGAACGCGAATTCACTTTTTAGGCGATGTTTTCACTGCCGTCACCTTCCTCGCATCTTAAGGTCCCTATTAATTTGACCACGGCTAAGGGAAAGGGAGCACGATCTCTCCCCTAACCCTTCTTTGCATTCTTTAATTAACTCCTTCACCATTTACCCCAGCCAAATTCTAGTAACTGAGCCACTGTACTGCCGGATATAGTGACCACCCATTTACAAATGAAAGCTTTTGAGGTTCTGTTTGCTTTCCACTACAAGATGTATGACCCAATCTGTTAGCATGGGTGGATTTAGGTGTGCGTCGAGGGAGCCATGGCCCCTACCTATTTTCCTTTAATTTTTGTACTGTTTTCATAGAATTCCGTCTCAGAAAAATAAAAGTATCTAGAATAGAGCTTTAAGTGTTCTGGCCACCCGTTCTTGAATTTTCTGGATCAGCCCCTGGTGGGGCGGTCTGAGAGTCAATATGCACAAGCCTTTAAACTGTTCTGATGCTGACTGTATGTGATGTGGAGATTGGATTGCCAATTTTACAATAATATGCAAATTCTAAATTTGTTATAGAAAGTAGATCATTGCAGTTATAGGCACAACTTTTGCAGTTGCGAAAAGAAAGCCTGAAAAAAATTCAGGCTCGTACAATGATCTACTTTCATATAATTCTTCATCCCACAGTTAACATATATGATTTTCATATATTCATTACTTCTAACTTTGTCTTGACTTTCAGTGACGTCATCAAACACCTACCTTTTCAAACACATGCCTTTCACTTAGAGCTGGACCATAGAACATCACACTATCTCTTGACACCACTGAGACCTGTCAAAATAGCCAGGTGAAAATTTTTGCAAATTTAGAAGACTGGATAAAATTAGCCAGACGGACAAGGCAGGAGATGGAAGGAAGGGTTGGGTGGGATCATGAAGGAGGTTGGAACAAAAAAATCTCCTGTCTCCCAATTTCCAGAGTCCAAGTTTTAATGAACTACTTGTAATTTGTGCTCACAACCTTACTATTTGTGCCACGCAGTAATTCTGCAAGGAAAAGTAACATTTTGTAGAATTCCAGAGAAAACTAAACAACTTACCGTATAAAGATTGGGATTGCTTTCCACATCAACTTGCACAATAATAAAGCTGTGAAGGAAGCTAGATTTTATGCAGTCGGGCACAAACTTGGTGTTTGTCGCTTCCATGAAGATGACGCACACAATGTCATTACCAATGTGCCTCTTTCTTTGAAGCTGAAATGAGAATAAATTTTTGACACTTTTTAAAATACATGGCTGGCATAAAACATTTTCCAATAGATGTGAGCCTTCCTCTCTATAATCAAGGTTGAGAATTCAGGGGTGGATCTAGGGGGAGGGTGCAGGGGGTGTGCACCCCCGGAGATGACCTGCGGTTTTCTAATACAACTGGTATTCTGCAGAAAAAAAAAAACTATGTGGTTTATTGGTGTTGAAGTAGAGCAAGAGACAAGTGCACCCCTCCTAAAAAAAATTCCTGGATCCGCCCCTGGAATTCAATGTAACAATACTCACCTTTTGAGAATCACATTCCTCAAATGGAAGAAGTGTTGATACGTGGAACATGATTTCATTGTTTGCAAACTTAGTGTAAACAGAGTGGGTTCCTGTTAAGTCGTTGTTGCTATCCAGTCCGGCACGATATTTATCAAAGCCTCGCAGCCTGACCCTTTGTCCCAGGAGATCAAGAAAATCATCAAAAGCTCTACTGTGATTTTCATTTCCAAACAGTTCTTCCTCGGTTTGCTGATTTTCCTTCATGTAAATCACACCAAATTTATAAGCTTGCTTGATAAATGCCTGCAAGAAATTGTTTGACAGCTTGTTTGAATTACTGTGCAAAGAAACCGGGGAGGTTACTCCCTTACAAGAGGCTAATAGGGATGTGCCCCTGGATGGATTAATCACGACTGGATTAACTATAATGGGGTCGCATTTTCAATAGGGTTACTAGAATGGGGTCGCAAATTGTCGGGTTTTTGGGGTCAGTAGGGATTCAAAGTGGGAAGATTCTCAGTTAAAAAATCAGAATGTTGTTGTTTATTAAATTTAACAATAAGCTCGCATTGATCGCATTACATTCCGCTGCTTGAAACCACATTGATAAGGTAGATGCATAAATAGAAAGTGACTAAGCTGGGATCGCGAAAATTACATTTTCCAAAAAGTGACTAAGATGGGGTCTATAATTGGCCAAAAAATAGGCTATAATGGGGTAGGGGCTCTGAGAGGCCAGCGGCACATACCTAGCAAACATAAACCCAAGTACCCCCCCGAGCAAAGAAAGTCCTGTCCAATTAGCCTGAGGTCTAGTGGATTTTGCAATTGGGCTAGTAAATTCTGTTCTTAAATTGCCAGACAGGCAAGAGAAGATTTTTGGGTAATAAAAAATAAAAAAAATTGCAGAAGAACTGTGTCCACTCCTGCTCATCAAAACTTTTTTCGGGCTACTTAAAAAAGACTCTTGGGCTAGTATGTGCTAAATGGCAAGCTATAAAACTGGCTTTCTTTGCATCCTGGTTTATAATCATATTTAAGGCTATGGCCATCTTGGATGAAGATGCTATAGATCAATTTAAGGTTTCTGGAAACTGCCCTCCTACCCCTCCCCTAACCCAAAATTTTGCTCCAAGTGAGATGCAAATGTTAACTTTGAGTTAGGGGAGGGGTAGGTGGGCAGTTTCCCAGAGAACTATAATAGTAGAGCTTGAGGTACCATGGCCTTTGGCTCATCATTATAGAGGCCCATACAGTTCTCCCACTAATTTTTTTGTGGCCCAGCAGTTAGGGTGATGGACTTGTAATCCAGAGGCCATGAGTTCAAGTCCTGCTTTGACCGCTAGCTGGATTTGTTCTTGGTATTTCTGAGTTCAAATCCTCGGCCATGCTTGTAACATAGCCAACTGGTTCGTTTCCTACCAGTTGAGATTCTTAACTTTGTTATGTTCCATTTAAACTGATTTGTTTCATTATCCCTGAAAAGCCCTTTAAGGTGGCTGAACACAGTTTTGCGGGCGGTCAGCGGTAGCGCGTGTTTTAAATTAGACAAACAAACATGACGGCGAAAAAAGTAATGGTACACAGATGACGATAACTCAAAATCTACTCATTAAAATTTTGTGATATTTGGCAGATTTTTTACTTTTATCGTATTTTTAATGATGAGAACTTTAAAATGGAAGTTGAACAGACGAATTTTGTGACACATTTAATAATTACAGTACAATTATATTATTGATTATCTAAAAACCCGTCTGTTAAAATTTGGTCAAATAAGTTTCAAATGGTAATGATTAATAATAGTAATTATTATAGTAAGCTGCGTGCAAGTTTATAGGAAAATCTAAGGAGTGAATTTTATGCAAACTGAGTAAAAGTGAAATTTTAAGGTTGTAGTCAATCCTTCATGTTACCATGGAAACTACGAAAAAGTCAAATTTTACCCGTCAGTCAAAATCTTTCATCAGTATATTTTTCACTTGCCAAGTTTTAGCTTGTGAGCTGCAACCTTTCTCTTGCCATGATTTGGCAAATGACCTATACTCAGAAACTGCCAAAACTGTGTTCAGCCACCTTAAGGAGAGAGGATAATTAAGTATTTATTATTATTATGAATATCATTATTTTATTGAGTACTAACATTATTTTATTAAATAATAAAAAATGAAAACTTACATTGTCCATTTTAAGAATATCTGCTGGTGCTGAAGGAACTGTTATCAGCTTCATGGGCGAACTGATACCAACTTGCTGGCTTAAGAACTGAACCACTTCTTCTCGGCTCAACACAACACCATGGTGATTTGATAGTGAGAGAAGTCCAAAGACAAGGTAGTATGGTGAACGTACCATAATCCTGGAAAAAATATTAAACAACAATGACATAATAAAAATGATAATAAATTGGCTTTTAATATCTGTGCATGTGTGATTGGAAGAGCTAAATGATTTCAGCTTTTATACTCACACCAGGTCATAGGCTTACCCCAGAGATTTTATTGATGAATTCCCCATGTGAAAATTAAATCCATTCGTCATTGCCAATATCAGAATCTTTACCTGTTTCTTTCTTTTTTTTTCAAAAAAATTTTGCCAAATTTTAGGCAGCAAAATTCCTTCCCCATGAAAATATTGTGACATTTTATAATTATCTTTATTAGCCTTCCTCACAGATATTCTTAGGGATTTGTCGAGGGTTCCTTCCTGACAAAGCCCTGAGAACATCTGTGCTAAAGCAGCTTATATCTATATCTGATTATTATCATATTAATTTTTTTCATTTCTTTTTAAAACAATATAACTTTTCATGAGTAGGTGGTCTCTTTAATGAAGTAAGTTCTCTAATCAGATTAATCCTCTCCTTGTCCTCAGATATACAGTAGTTCTTGTAACCTTTAAACATGCGGATGTTAATCTTAGAATGTCAGGCAATTCAAATAGAAGCAAGTGAGCAGTACTTTCTAGAGGTACTGTGTATCACGTGGAACAAGGTGACTCACTGGATAAAAATAATTCTTATGTGTGACCATTTAAATGAAAGCTCCTGAGCGATTCTTTCCCTTGGTACTGTTTATTCTGCTGTATGATGTGATTCGAACTTCTTTAAGTCTATGGATGAAAAAACAGCAGGGTGACAATTTAATCAAATGGAGCCTCTTTGGAACTCTATATATTTTTTGGCATAATTTTGGCCAATTAAACTAAATTTTGAAATTTGTCTTTCTTGAGCATTCTAGGGAGTGAATGGAACTTATGGAAAAAAATGAACAATGGCTAATTTCCTCCTAGATTGGCCTCCTACACAATCAGTTCTTTCAAGCCTATTGAATTTGTCAAGAGCCCTTATTAATTTCACGGTGAGGCACTGAAGGAGCCAAAAAAACTCCGGCCTTTTAGAAACTGAATTTCCTGTGAAACTGAATTTAATTTCTTCAGGCAGAAAAAAAATAATAATCATGGTGAGTGTTATGTTTTGTTTTATTCAATATAAACGACCAAATGAGATTTTGATAATTAAAAAGAGATCAGAGGGATTGTAATATAAATGTAAATTCCAGACACAAAGAACTTGAATATTTTAATAGACATCGCGTTATTGTTTTTAGCACCTCGGTTATAATTGTAACAAATTTAAAATTTTAAATACCTGAAAGAGCCTTTTGACTGAGGATTAGATTCAGGTTTCAAAGTAAAAAGGATTGCACCAATATGCTCTTCCTTTACACAGTAATTCCAATGTTTTACTCCATAAAAATAGTCTCGATAAAATCCCTCCGGAGAAACTGAACTCGCATGACCGATAAGTCTTGAAGAACCAAGATCGCAAAAGCTTTTAAAGCGATGCTTGTAATTCTTTATAAATGAATCTCTGTTAGGACAGTCCTTTTTGGGGCATTCTACCTCGTATCCTGCTACGCGCTCTACGAATTTCGGCTGACTGCAAGTGCAGTTGAAGCGAGAAATCCCCTCGTTGCTTTCGAGGCCGCTCTCTGGACCTTCGTCATCTTTCTCCCACGTTGCTTTCAAAGCAAGACTTCTCTCTTTAAAGTTGTTCAGTGCGTGAATTAGTCTCTCATCGTCAGAATTCTGGCAGTAGTAGTGTCTTGAGCAAAATAATCTTTTATCACTAGAAACGTTGTACGTTTGTAAATTTTCTCCATCTCTTAGCGTCGAGCCGCATACCGAGCAAGTAAAACACTTGTGATGACACAGCCACGGTTCAGAAACAAAACCATTTGCATTTGAAGGAGGATCAACGCTTTGAGCCGACCACAAGCTCACCACATTTTCGAAAGTCTCCAATTTGGATTTACACACAAAACAAGTCACACTTCCCGCCATGATATGAACGTTTAAATTTACAGCGACATTATTCAAATCGGCCGTGAGGTCCGATCGGGGTTGGGGTTATTAATGAATCCTTAATGAGAAGCGAATAACAGGAAACATTTGCACGTTGAAAACACGAGGGAAAATCCTTTTCAGGCGCTCAGTCAATTAACTTTTCCTTTAGAACCAATTAGGCCCTAATTCGGTTTTCAGGTCAGTAGCAAACCTGTTCGTGCAAACGTGGTACACGAATTCATGATGAGTTAATTGCGTGTCCTGAGGCTAGCAACGCTGCTCATAAAATAATTATGTGAAAGTATTGTTTGGGTTTCAGCTGACTGGGTCGTTGCTTGCGCTCCACTTGAAGAGCGATGACAGGCCATCACAAAGCAATGTCAACTTCCATTGTTTTTGTAAATGACCACGAATAAACTTGGTCTCGTGCCAGCGTTGTCCCCTAATGAAAGCCAAGAACCCAACAACCATCCAACTGTGTCCAACCGTCGTTTGTCTTCTGTCGCCAAAAATGCAAACATCGAGGCAGGTGTTACAATTTTAAAGAAAAGATGTTGTTCAAAAAAAGCCGCCATGATAATAAATAACGAGAAAGTCCCGGTGACAAGTTTCAATAGTTATCGCCGGTTCGCAAGGTTTGATGGGAGATGTAGAGCTACTTTTCAAGATGGCGGAATCAACAGACGAAGTGAAGGGACAGTTTCTGTTTTGTCCTGTCTGTCGTTTAAATCACGATCAAGGAAGGAAACACATATATACGAGGAAGCATAAGACATTACTTGGCAAGATCCTTTTGAAATTTGGAAAGAAGGTGAGTAGTTTACAGAGAAAAGATGTTTGCATCCACAACTGCGAGGAGAAACTAACAACATTTTTAAGATATTACGAAACTTATTTACGCCGACAGATCAAAATATCCTGCTTATCCTGGAGTTTGTACATTTCTTCTTTCCTCCAGTTGACACAACAGAATCGCCATGCGAGAGCTTGAGATACAGGAATATGCATTTCTATCAGCGGGGGGTCGACACCAGGGAATCCCCGAACATTTGCACAACGACGTTTATATTTTCTTTTTCGATCCTACGTGCTCTCCAAATCCTGGGGGTCTTTCCCTGGAGGTTCTACCACAAAAGGGCAAAGGCTATCCAATCCCCTGTCCCTGATTAAAAATTTGCAGCAACCCAGGTGGATCTTAACAAGATTCTTATTAAGATTCTTACCAAAATCTTAACAAGTTTCTTAATTAAGATTCTTGTAAGATCTTGTAAGAATCTTTAAAGATCTTTTAAGAATCTTACAAAAACTTATAAGAATCTTAATTAAGATCTTACAAGAATCTTACCAAAATCTTGCAAGATCTTGATTAATAAACTTGTCCCTTGTCCCATCTGTTCATTGAGGGAATCAAAATTGGAATTCACACTGTTCTCTTCTCTTCTCAAGGAAAGCCCGAAAATTGTGATTTGCGAGATAATGTTAACAGTTAGTTTAGGGTAAGCCTAGGTCAAATCATTTCGGATACAAAAAAGGTTATTGTACACAGCAGCTTATTTTCAGCCTGAGTACTCCGCCTTATTAGGAGATCAGCGTATACTAAGATCTTTGTTATTTTTGAAAAAAGTAAGATTTATTACTGAGTGAATTAACCTTAATTTACAACTAATAATATAACTTTTCATTTAGAATTAAAGATGTTATAAACTGTACTTTTTGCAGCTCAAATTCTCATTATGATTCTATAAGATGTTACCATGATTAATTAATTTTACAACGAAATCTTAATAAGAAGGCCAGTCTGAGATAGGTGAAAACTTTTGGCACCTCATAATTTATTAATAAGTTCTTGTTAAGATCTTATTAAGTTTTCTTTAAGGTCTTAGAGCTTCTTACTGGGAAATTTTTACCAAGATTCTTACAGTCACTTAATAAGAGCTTATTAAGATCGTATTAAGATCTTGTAAGTTTTCTTCAAGATCTTAGAGCTTCTTACTAGAAAATTTTTACTAAGATTCCTACAGTCACTTAATAAGATCTTACTAAGATTGTATTAAAATCTTGTAAGATTTTATGGATGGCAAAGACATTTAAGATGTTGACAAGATCTTATTAAGGGAGATCTTTTAAGATATGATTTCTTAATAAGATCTTACAAGAACTTAACAAGATCTTAATCTTAATAAGCATCTTAGAAGATTCTTACAAGATCTTACAAGACCTTACAAGATCTTAATAAGATTTCCACCTGGGAAATGTCAGCTATTCTTCTGCCATGCCCACGTATCTCCATGCATGATAGGTCATCTTCAGCTTGAAAATTACCTTTAAACCAATTGAGCATGACTTACAATAATTACTGTAAATAAAATATAATTTCCACATCTCAGGTTGATGAAGCAAGGAAGTTTTTAAAGAAACCCTCTGTTGAAGATGGTGAACTTGAACCTGGATCAAGATTCTGGTGTCATTTTTGTGGCGAGAACGTAGATAAACATGTGACAGATCGACAAGTATCAATTAAGTATGGTGGAGTTTTTGAGCATTTTGCGAGGTAAAAAAGATATCTAAATCTTTAATGGCACTTGGGTTTTTAAATTAAAATGAAGGGTTGTCAGAGAAAATTGAACACTTTACTGTTATAACTTACAAATTTTCCTTTTTAATTACATTTTTATTTTTTAAGTGAGGGCCACAGAAAAAATGTCCACAAGTACTGGTGGGAAAATGGAGCTGATAAAAACCTTAAAGACAAGTTCCTTGTTGACAGAGATACATTTAACAGGTTTGTGGTCTGTTTCCAGGAGCATGGTATCCATACTCGCTCATACGCCTGTCCTTACAGCTGAAATCTGGAAAATATAACATGTAATATATTGGTTATTAATCTTTCGCATTTTACTGTATTGGTGTGTTTACCCATCTGAAGGGTATTCATGTTGCCCTTTACTCATAACGTCCTTGATGTCATCACTGTTTTGTCTTTTTTTCCATAAACATTGCACCTTACTGATATCACTTAAGGTGTACATTAATTAACTATTGCATTTTCCTTCGTATTTATTTACTGAAAACGTCTTGTGAAAATGCGGAAATAGCATTTCTGAGCCCCTAAATTTGAAGAATTTTCTGGGGGAGCATGCCCCGAGATCCCTCTAGTTTACAGTACCTTCCAAGGTCTAACCTTTCTTTCCGTGCATACACCTTCAAAAACCTCACGCCATGCCCCTGTATTCTAAGAACAAATTCTGTTCTTATTGTGATGAAGGTCTCATTGAATTTGTACTAAAATTTGTTTCAGCTACAAAGAAGGTGTTGACAAGAAACTACAGGAGTTTGAAGCTGAGATGGAACAGAAAAGACAAAAGGTAGAAAACCCCTTCCTTAAATGTATATGGCTAGTTTGTCAGAAAGAAGAAGAGAAAGTGGTTTTGTTGACTTCTCTTCATGTACATGTACTCATAAAAAATAAAGAGAGAATGACATACAAAATCATTAGCCAGTGCTGTTTGGTTTTTCAGTTTTATCAGTTATCGTAATATTATTGTTAATAGGCAGTTTCCCAGATTAAACAGAAAGAAGTTACCCAAGCCTTTATGAGCCAGCAGGTCGGTGTTGTTCAAGCACTTCAAGCAGGGTAACAGTATCCTGAAATAGATATTTGAGACATTAATAAATACATGTATTTAACTGAGAAACTTTAGGAGTCAAAAAGAAGTTTATTCTTAGAAATCAGCTTGCAAAGTCTTTGCATACCATTCATATCATCCAAATTCTAATGTCACTTGTTGGTCACTGGTTACCATTGCAACAGGATGGCCTCTGATTTCACCCTTACCTTTAAAACGGTTGTTTGCATTAAAACAAATAAAGCAAGAAAGTCAGGAGCTCCATTCTAGCACAGGGCACAGAGGAGTGTTTTGTGATGGCAAATGAAGTGAAAATTTTACTGCCAAACGAACAAGTCGCCTCTGTTTAATGTAGAATCTATTAAGAATTTGACCTTCCAAATAGTCATACAATTGTGATAATATTTTACCAGGTTAGTAACACGATCACATGACTGTTTGAAAGGTCAAGTTCATAACAGATTCTACAGTAAACAGAAGTGACTCATTCATTTGGCTGTAAAATTTTTTGCTTCATTTGCCCGCACAAATACAGTCGACTCTCTCTTAACGGACACCTCTATAAGACGGACACCTCTGTAAAATGGACACTTAGAGTTGGTCCCTGCCTTTCTTTACGCCCTTTATTTGACTCTCTATAAGACGGACACCTCTCTAAGACGGACACTAAGTGCCGGTCCCAAAGGTGTCCGTCTTAGAGAGAGTTGACTGTAACTCCCCCACACCCTGTGATTCTAGGTCTCAGCATCTGTAGTTACCCTGAAAAAGTTTGCTATACAATAGCTCTCTTTTCACCCAGGGGATTTACATACATCATTGACCACAAAGTTGTTACATAAACTTGTTATTACCGGTAGCTAACTATTCTGGTGCATTATAGCTATGTATTAGTGAGAGGTGAAGAGACCACGGCTCCATTTTTTTATGTTAAAATACAAAAGAAGAAAATAAGGAATGATGCCAATATCTAGTCCCAAAAATCTTACGGGTATCCCAAAATTATTGGTTAAGTTTATTAATGTAGTTAGACAGTGTTGGTTTTTGTTATTACATCCTGAACATTTGATACTGCAGCCACCCCAGATACAAGTAACACCAGAAATTGTTTACAAGACAGTTCAGAATGAACAAGGAGTTCTGCAAAATCCAACAGGATGGTTTGTATTGTCAAGCAAGGGAGGATATCTAGAGAGTTTTTTTTTGTCATTATGTTTTCGTTTTTTTAAGTTGATTTTTCTTGCGCCCATTTATTTCCTAGCACCTGCTACGCAGGCCATGTTGCGGCTAAGCAGGTTACCTAACCTACCTGAAGTCACCCATTCTTACCCTCATCCTCTCTTCTCCCTCTCCATAAAAAAAACACACACAAACACCGCAATGAAGCCAACAGACCCCCTAATGTGAGTGAACATAATCTGAAAACCATACTGAGTATTGTATTGAGCTACGTTAAAAAAAAATCCCAAAATTTCACATGCAAAATGTGCTATCAGTATGTCATGTGCAAGTACAGCAAAAGAGGTTTCATTCAAATGAAATGATCAATGAGTTTGTCTCAGGTGGACCAAAACTAGACCTGTTCTTTGTTTATTGTTATAACATTTTTGTTTTCTGATCGTGAGGGTCTCATTACATGTGCCTCATTCTAAATCAAGAGAGGAAATGTATGAGGGTTGCTAAAACTCAAGGCTGATTTTCAGAGGTGTTGGGGGCCACTCCCTCAAGCCTCCTGCAAGGAGAAAGTCTGAGGGAGTAATCTTGGACCATGCAAGAATCATATTACAAAAATATGGTCTGATCTCAGGTTACCCCTCTTCTATACATTCACATACAGCTGCAGTTATCAGGGAATTTGACCCAACAGCATGAGTCCTGTTTTTGTCTTAATACAATCGTAATACTTGACGAGTCTTTCTTTTGTGTTGACAGTCATGAAGGGCGGAGAGTATGGGGTGGTGGAATTGTAAAATACAGGTAATTGGTTTTTGGACAGTTTCTTTACTGCTACTAAGAAGAGAAAGGGAAATCCATGGGTACTCAACCAATCTCTGTTTAATGAAATCATATAATCTAATATTTCTGCTTTAGATCGGGGTCTAATCAGTGGTTTCCTTGGTTAATGGATTCAGTCGACAGTGCCACTATGGTTGGTAAGTGCTATTTATTTGGTGTGAGTAGAGCTTTAGGTAAGAACTGAAAGCAGGGCTGCAAATATTAAAAACAGTTTTTTCTGTCACATTGTCCTACTAAAATATATCCTGATAAATTTTAAAGAGCTCTTGAAACATAGCCAAAGAAAATTCAGTATTGTAGTTGACGGTTTTGATGGCTCCTGTTCTCTTTTTGTAAGAGTAAGATATAACCAATGTCTGACAAAATCTTCAAACGCTTAGTCACGACGTCCGAACAGATCAGGTACCAAAGACTATCACTTTGAAGCGGAAGATTTCGGTAGCAATCAAATAACTTTTAGAAAGACAATACCATTAGTGTATATTCTTTGCCCGAAATCTTTTCTGATTTGTCCACAAAAATGTTAACCCGGTTGGACACGTGATTGTGACACATGCAGTTAGAATCTACTTATTTCAGTTCCAATGGTAACATCTTCAATTTTATCTGCTTTCTACAGGTTCTGTTACCGCAGATAGCATTAGCGCTCCAAAATTTCAAACTGCAGAAGCTTATGGTGAAAATCTAACTTGCATTGGTATTCCGGTTAGTATTCTTTGGTGATTATGACGTTTTCTTGGGTTAGGTTAACCTAGTCGTGGTTTTTTGGTTTTTGTAAAGAAAATTAATGAATCTTATTAAAATACGTTTTCTTTCAGGAGCTAAAAAAAGGCGAAGGAAATGTCCACACAGGTTCGTACTTAACAAGACTGATATTCTCAAACGATTAAAACTGTGCAAACAATAGTCGCATTAATATGCACCGTGGGAAAGGCAATTTTTCGATACATTTTCAGCATATTTATTGTGTTCTTTTATGTACTGAGATTAAGAAGACTAAAAGCGATTGCGCTCAAGTTTGTATCCCGTGTAGTCGCCACGTGTAGTTTTTCCTTTTACCACAAAATTTCGTAGCCACTCAGCTCATTGGTTTGTATGGTCACTTCCTTTAAACTATTGTTCAAGTTTCCACCGTATAATACACGCTAAATTTATCTTGGGAACGCGAGGCTACACACGCAGTTAAATTCTTACCTCGCCGGAGAAAGGCTCAATGTAACCGCAACTTATGTCTTGCCTTTAACAGAAACCGAGACGACGCATCTTGGCGAAAGGTGCAAAGGGCATGTAAAGCGCGGGAAGTGAGGCGAGGAGGAAGAAGACGCGCTTAGAGTACGAAAAAAGTATTTGGGCGGTTTATTACTTTTTTCTTTGATGCAATAAAGGTTCAGTTAGTTTTTGATGGGTTTTTGCAGGTGCTACACCGCCCTGGCTGAGAGAAGATGATGATGATGAGGAAGGTGCCTCAGCTGATAACCATGTCATTGGTCCATCATTTGATGCCTTTAAAAAGCATGGTAAGTTCACTCGTTATCCGTGGTCACTTTGCTCCCCGGTCGAAAGTCAGGTCCTATGGCCAGTGTGTCATTTAATCCTTAGTTCGCCACTTAAAAGCGAGAACGAGACTGAGCCGAGTAAACTTCGGAAAGACTTCTGGGACTGTTATTGGGGACAGGGTCAAACCAGCCAATAGCTAACCGGCACGTCACCAGTAACTATCCCAGAAACAATTGCGGGACACATTTCGGCTCCAGTCACCTTCGCGTTTCTAAAGTGGCGAATGGTGACTAACGAGTAGTTTTCCCTCTATAATATGACTGTTCAGTCTTGAGAGTTACGAAAGTGATCGTAACACTAAACATTGATTGATAAGCAGCTTCTCAGTAGTACCATGAGGAATTCATGGATAACAGTTTCTTGTATATAAGGGAATTTACGTTATTTAGGGTTAAACGTATAAAAGATCTTTAGCAAAATCCAACTAGTGGTCTATTATCAATGCTGCGTTCTGATTGGTTGAGCTACTACTAGGCTATATGTTATAGCCCACTAGTAGCGAAAGGCGCCGGCTTTTTGGCGGCAAAAAAGGATTAAAGGCTAGCTTTAAGTAGCTAATTTTTTTTATTCTCGATATTTTTGATCAACTAGTTGGATTTTACTAAAACAATTTATTCCTCTCGCCCATTCGGGCTCGAGGAATAATTGTTAAATAGTATTGCTGTAATTGCGTTTTTCTTTCAGCTGAACGCATGAAAAAGATCAACCACAAAAATCCTCACCGAGTTGGCGCGAATTTTGACAGGAAAAAAGAAACAAGTGAAGATTGGTAAGTTCTTGTTGAAACTCAAATATCTGACTATATCGCCCTTGAAAAAAGCACGCTGCGAAAATGGTATACGATTAATTCGTCCTGCGAGTAGTTTGTCCGACTTCTTGCTCCCATGAAACAGTATTTTAAGAAAAAATTTGAAAGCGCGATACAAGCTAGACCGGCATCAAGAGTGAAAAGTCGACTGAAATTTGAGCCCTGGAACTAGGAGCCAAGAGTCGATTTTTGTCTCTCCTGGCCCGTGTTGGTGTCTTTTGTCTTTCGACTAGGGAAATAGAGGCAGCTTTTTAAATATTGTCTTGTATTACATTAAATTTTTGTACTTGAATTGGAAGAAAAAAATGACCGTACAAACAGCTGCTGCATATTTTGGTGTAAAGCTTTTGTACAAATGTAAGTACGGTATTCGGAGAGCACGGGTCTCCGGGCGTTCCGTGCATGTGCTTCCCGCGAATTCTACGTTCCTGACGCTTCTTTACAAGCGGCAACTCGAGTTTTAGAGGACAAAAGTGACTGTTTTTCAGTCCATATAAAAATGACATTTGTAATTTTATTCAATTCAGAGGGTTGTTTTCTTTCTTTTTCACAGGCTTCCTTCTTTTGGCAGAGTTTGGAATCAAGGTCCTCGCTGGCAGTCAAGGTACATATCATTCAGTTCAGCTCATTCAGTAACCTACTGCGCAGCGTCCTGAGCAGCTGCTCGGGCCGTAGTCACGCAGTGCTCCCAGCTTCGATCGCGTGATCTTGGCCCGAGTAGCTGTAACGAAGACTAGCACATTCACAGCAAATTCTTTACCAAGTGCTTTTGTTACGTTTCCTTGAACGCTAGAGGTCCAGAAAACAAGATTGACGCCTAACCATGAACTTTTGTTTTCCTCCTTTAGACACGATTACAGACGCGAGAACAAAGTGAAGAAATCAAAGAAGTGATTGATTAGTTGAAATGTTTTATAATAAAACTGTCTTCTCTGAAATACGGTGTTGTGGTTATTCATTTCTAGAGTTCAGTGTATCAGCAAACGAGAGAACACCCAGAATGTAAAATCTTGAGCGGTTGGGGAACAATGGAAAAAAGATCGAACAGGAATCTCTCCACTCCGCGTTTGCTGTAAGCTAAAGTGATACTTGTATAACAGGCATGTGAAATGGTTGGAGCGGAAAGGAGATCAATTTTGGTGTGAATCAGGCTTAATTTGGCTAAATCTTGACTTAGCTTGCGCAGTTAGCAAAATTTAGTTTTCTCTCCTCTCCTCTTCTTTCGCTTTAAGTGTGTTTCACACCGCTCGCCTTGCTTGTTTAACTCTGCGCTCGCCAAGCTGAATAATCGACGTAAACTGTCAAAATTGACCAATCACAGGGTATACAAGCAGCTTGTACACCAGAGAGAGGCATTGTAAAACAATGTTTACAGGCTCACTTCTCCGTCTTTCCCCAGTCCTCATGCGGTTTTCGCGCAGCGTTATTCGATCCGCTTTTTCCCTACCATCTTGGAGCTTTGAAGTGATACTCTGCTGAGAATGCAAATAAAAGTACGTGATTAAAGCTGCGGAAACGCGCAAGCGAAGAAGTAACAGTTGGTTTGATTCTGATTGGCTAGAAATCTGGAGGCGTCAGTCACATCGGGAGCTCAGGCCACGTGCTCAAACAGCGCAAGCAAGCAGGACGTATGTCTTCGCAGGAGGCTAAGGGGGCTTAACTTATTTATTTCCTGATCTATACGTTTTCCGTAAAGTTATGAAAGATAATTCTCAGAGAGAGGTGGTTTTGCCAAAAAGGGCGTAGACATGAGGCCTCCTCTAGTCCTTTTCGATTTTTATTTTCATCCGGTTTGTTTCGATCAAGGTTAGCTCGATCGAGCTCTTCTACCGATAGGCGCGACAATCCCAAGAACTGTCGCTCGAGTGGTTAACAAGGAGAGTAGAGTTTTCCTTCAGATCAGGGTGGTTCAAAAGCTGGTTGAATAGTGCTATCAATTAGACAATCACCATCCAGCTGGTGGTGTTATCCACTTTTTTAACCACTAACACCCAAGCTCGCGCCTCAATTGTCAGTATTGTCTCAGCTCAATTTGCTGTTAGAAGAAAGGATCACGTGCAAGCCTTTCACTTTTGAACATAAGTTCCCTGCCGTTTAGCACGGCTCTGAATTCGCTCATCTAGAAGACGAACGCGAAAAATTAAACGCAGTGGAATAAGACAGATAAAAATTTAGCAAATCCTCCCCTTTTTAAAAATAAATAGAAGCCTTGATCATGATTGTATAGTTTCCCCGTTTGAATTTCCTGTAGTCATGAGACCGTCGTATTAATCAAAGAATCGTCATGTGTTCGAAAGAGTTCCAAAGGCTTCAAAATTGATTAAAAGAGTTAATTATCATGAGGGTCACCTGAGAGTTTTGTCATGTCTTGTAACTATTAAGTGAAACTGCTTCGGATCAAAACAAATAAACAATCTTCGTTGCTATTCAGAGCACATACCAGCCAGTCATATCCAAAGAGATAACTGGTAAGTAGAATTACCAGGTCCTTGTACTTACTTTATCTTTATAAGGTGTATCTGGTGTATGACATTGTTTTCTAAAGAGTGATTTGAAATCAAAGTGCTACAAATTGTTCTCCTGCGGTTTTGTTTTATTTTGGAAAGACTGAACTTTTTGTCACTTTTTATTGCTACCCGTCATCGACACCCATCGGCGTCAATCCCTGAGAGATCAATAGAGGGAAAAAATTGGTTGGACTGTAACAGCGCACATTTTTCAAATATTTATGAGGTATTTTGTCCCGAGCAATTTTTTGGTTTGTTTTGTCTGAAGAGAGACAAAACATAATGATGCGTCTGTAAACCCCGGCTGAAAAGTTATTCTTATTTACTAGCCGGTGTAGGGTATAAAATTCTGCCAACGGGTAATTATATAAGAAGTGTTTTAAGGTGTTATTGTAAAAACTAAAATCCCTCATGGTCCGATTGGAAAAAAGATAGAGGTCGCCTTTTAATGTCTGCAAAAAAAGGGTCTGAAAAATATTGGGTGTGCCCTTGGAAAAGAAAGTTCCTGAGGAGCTTTTTAATATGCAATTCAGTTAAAAAGCAGGGCGCAATGTCTACCTTGTCACCGTTTTTACATACGACGAACATTTTGTAATTTAGGCTTAAAAAATTTCTCCATCCACCCTTGCTTGCGGGTAAGTTGTTTAGAAAACAACTGTGAATCAACTATGGTAAATCACGTGTGTTGTCACATGTTGGCACACGTGATTGACCTGACCTTGCGGGTTTGATGGACAGTTTCCAATGGCGACAAGGAAGGGCGCTGGAAGGGAAGCGAAGTGACGTACTTATCATGTGATGTTCGCTGTCCTCGTGGTCAGTTTCGTCGTTTCTCTCTTCTTGTTCACATGACCAGTTTGTTTGACCCCATGACCACCACTCCGCACTCCAGTTCTCCAACTCTGGACATGCTCGACGGGTCGCTGGACCCGGAGAAAAATTCACCACTACAAGATCCCAAAGCTTCCGATCCTACACAGGTACCGGAGCCCGAAACTGTGACGGTGACGGTTTCGACTGTTTCTGACGAACAAACAGCAGCTGCTCTCGTCGGACAACAAGCGAACGCAGCGTTTGCAGATCCTGGTACCCTTCAGTTCCAGTACAGGCCAGACGGAAATGGCGTACAGGCGACGGGATTCAGTGGTGGTACACAGCAAATTCGAGTCGTCCAAGTTCAAGCTCCCGAGGCGAGTGGCGAACGAGTAGACGCTACTAACGCGGCGTTTGCACCGCAAGTTCAAACTGTTATTCAAAGCCCTTTCAGCAATGGTTCCTCCCCTACTCACACAGTCGAAACGGATACGACTGCGGACGGGCCGAGATTTACGTACTTTCAGCCGGCAGATGGGGCGGCCACTGCCACAGTGGTTCAAGCCAGTGGTACTGAAGGTTTAGACGGAACAAGCGCTTATACAGTGAGAAATATTCCTGTTTCTCTTCAACAGCCCTCCTCTCCGTCGCAAATGCCCATCACAATGGCCGAAGCTCAGACCATCACCACCGTAGGAACAGCTGCAGGTTGGTTTTTGTCGTTCATAATCAAGTAGCTTCGTTCTAATTTTTATTTCACTGTCGTTGAATGCAAAGTAAGTCCTGTTTTGCATTTTTTAAAGGTGGATTTTACGTGATGATGTCTCCTCAAGACGTGATGCCTGGCGGAAGTCAGAGAAGCATTGCTCCAGCGATCACTCATAAAATAGCAACGTAAGTTTTCATCACGAAAACTAATTCAAGAGTTATTTTTCTCTGTAACTCTTCTCTTTTAACTTAAGAATACTAAGCTGTTTAGTTTTGTACCAGTCTTTTTTCGATAATCTTTTATTAATAAGAAAATGTCCCTTATTTTCCTGCGATGATACACGACTGTTAAAATTTGTCATGTCTACATCAAATCATGTTAATTTCCGTGGATAGCGTGCTGTTCTTGTAAAGATCAGAGCAGTTTTCTAAGACAACTAGCGTTTGAAAATAGCCGATCGCTATGTAAACGATTTGTAAGGATTCTTTAAAATCAAGCTTCGGACAAAAACCACCCAAGGTAGTCAGTCGATGAATGTAACTTGATTCGGTCGCCGACACTCATATTGAATTCCTTGCCGTACGAAGTAATTCTTTCCTTGAATGTGTTCGCATTCGTGCTGCATCTAGACCAACAATAGCACTAAAGAACTTTCGTGGTTAGAGAAAATCACGATGTGTTTTGAAGTTGTTTTGAATTCACCGGCTCAAAGTCATGTGTTCGAAACACATGACGGTTCTCATGTCACATGATTTCTTCTTCAATCATGTGATGGTCATGTAAAACACAACAACAAAATCGCTGGAATGAAGCTTGGATGTGTATTCAGCGATCTTGTGTTGTTAGGAAAGGATAAACGTGATGGAAGTTATGTATATTTTAAGTAATTCTGCTGCCCTTAACAGGAAAATTGACGCGCCTCGGACAGCCCGAGATGAGAAAAGGAGAGCGACCCACAACGAAGGTAATGCTCAGAGGATTATTTTGAAGTTTCCGCTCTACCTCTAATATAGAATTTAAAATTTCTACCTTTAAGCGCAAAACTGGCCGATCTGCTTGAAAAAACAAACTTGTCAGCAGTCACTTACATTGATCACGAAGAAAATTATTCAACCCGTAGTGTCAAATGACAGTAAGATATATATTGTCACACAACATACCGTATATTCTCAAGGATGTTGTTGGTAGGTCTTTTTGTTCCACTAATATCCCTGCACTTTCTACGTTAACTTTAATTTTGGAAGTTAGGTTACTGACCCATTGAGAATAATAAAGAAAGACATGCATGAGTTTGTATTTTTACCTCATTTTAACACAATGCCATTCTTTTAGTAGAAACATTGGCTTGAAATTAATCATCCATCTATTAAGTATATTATTTTAGATAAGAGATAAAATCAAAGTGTTAGTGGGCTGTGTTTTACCCAAAAACCAGTCAAGACCACTACAAATGGAGTTTGAGAGTCTTTCCTCGATGCGTTGCTTTTGTTTTTCACTCCAACTTCGATGTTTCTTCAGTGGAGCGCCGTCGCAGGGACAAGATAAACACATGGATTAACAAACTTGCCAAAGTAGTGCCAGAATGTTGCCAAGAACAGTCAAAAGCAGGGCAGGTCGGTGGATCACAAAATATAGTAAGCACTTTTTGATTCTGTTTTTCAATTAAATTTGTGTCATCTTGGCAAATGGTTGATAGACATAGGTTAGCAGCACAATGTCCCTAAATGCCCTTTGTTGGAATGAAATTCACAGTGCTCCCATTTTATTCATTCCCTCAAGCAATGGCCATTTTGGTTACTGAAGTAATATACCAATCATGAGACACAGTATTTCATCATTAGATGAAACACTGAGAAGAGAATTGAAAATAATTATGGCATGCAGCAAAGTATTTTTGATGAACTTGGCGGCGTTTCATGTGAACAGAAAAGCTTGTTACCGTTAAAGATGTATAAAGAACCAGTATGGCCACAAGTTCACTGGAGTAACACAATCCCTATCCCTGCCCCATGCTTGGGATTCTAGTCCATGATGAGGCCAGGCTGTGTTGCCACCAACCATTTATTAATCTTGCTCCAGTTGTTTAAATGGCACTGCTTAAGTAGCTGAATAACCCTTTTAAAAGCTTTTGAAGAGCCTGGGCCTGGGTGAAAGGAGAGAATGTTAAGAAAAGTTTCATTCCGAAGAACCCATTGAGGTTCACAAGTTGGAAAAAGTTGGCAGCAGTTTTCCAAGGCAGACTTTCTAATCAGTGATATATTATTATTTTTTTACAGAGCAAAGGTGGCATTTTATCGAAGACAGTGGATTACATAAACGAGTTAAAACTCCACAATGCACGAATGGTCGAATCGATCAAGGACAATGAAAGATTGCAAATAGACACAGAGCTTTTACGCCAGCAAGTAGATGACCTCCGACAAGAAAATGCATTACTGAGAGCTCAACTGCAGCAGCATGGAGTTGAGTTGGCAACGGGAGGTCCCAGTGCTTAAAGTTACAGCTTTTTATGCAGTGTCTAGCGACACAAGGACATTCATTAAGAGCACTGTTGCCAGTATTTATTTACTGCAATCCTGATACCCCAGTGTTGCACAAAACTTAGGAGTAGCATGCTGGTCATGTAAAGATTCAGTAGGTGTTATATGCAATATCCCTTACAGGGACTTTGGTACAATATTTTTGGTTGTGGTGTTTGAGTCCAAACTTAAGTCAACCTCATCGTGTGACCACCTGTGTAACATACAAAAATCTGCTAAAGAAAACATGAAAACAATACCTTACATTAATTGACTGAAAAATATGCAAACGGCCAAAAACCAAACATTGGCAAGTTGTTTAGCCACTTACGAGGTGGTTAACTGTAGACTGAAGTTATTGACATTGAATTGGACATGGACTGTTTTGCATTAATATAAGCATAACCAGTGTGGACAGATGCCTTTTTCAGCTTTTTTTTTTTTCATACGCATTGGCATGCCCTACATTAAACTTACATACATTCTTTGTACTTAATAAATTGTGAGAGTGTTACCCTTTTAAAAATATTCAAACTAATAATTCAAGACCGTTTGAGCCCTATATAGTGGAGAGCACTAAACTTCCTCCTTACTAAAGTTTTTCATTATGACTGATGTATGAAATATGAGGTCGTGAGAATATGGGAAATAATCAGATATTGAGATAGAAATTCTTGGTATCATGACTATAAGCATTGTATGAAAAACGGTTTTAAGAAAATGTATGTTGATATAGAGGCTCAGTGGGTCAAACTCGAGACTGTGTTTCTGTTGTTAGTAGAAAATTAAGTTGTACAGAGAGTTATGTTATTTAGTTCAGTACAAAATAAATTAGTTATGTTTGTCATCTTAAATTTGTATCTTTGGCTTTTGATATATTCTAGTTTAATCGGTGATGGTTGTTAAAAGTCATACAGTGTTCAAACTGAAACAGATATGAAAATGCAGGTGTTACAATAATATTGAAGATTGGGGCTTAACAGTACTGACAAATGACACCACAGGAAGGTACTACATAGCAGCTTTTACTTGATAAGGATTTCTTGCTTTTCATGGTCAGGTTGCTATAATTTCTTTTGACGCATAAGCTTAAATCATGGTTGAAGGTGATTTATCAGTTATGTTGATAAGTTCTATTGCATACGTATAGATTTGAAGTAGACGTAACAGAATAGAATTAACAGCCCTGATCAAAGTAAATTTATAATTTTACTTTTTTACTCTTCTCTGACGCAAATGCTATTAAAAGATATGCAAAATTCAAGGTATCATTTTATTCCTATATTTTATCCTTTCCTTTTTCTAATCTCCCACCCAGATATCATTGGTGTTTGTTGCTAAGAACTGTTTGTTGCACCTTTTCTTCTTAAATGTTTGTCAAGTTTCCCTCTAGTCACACACAGTCTTTCTCAGGGTTTTAATACACGTTTCTACCCTTAACCCTTTAAACCCTAACATCAAAATTCAAATTCTCATTTGTTATCCCTATATGTTTTCAATAGAAGTAGTGGGGAGAATTTGTTGAAGTATCAATTATATTCATCTTGTGTGATCATGTCCTTAATTCTCATGACCACTGTGTTTTATAAAGCAGTGATATTACAAGGAGAAATTTGATGCTGATCACTCTTAGGGCTTAAAGGGTTAAAAAGAAACCCTGAAAACATCTTCATAGGAGGCTGCATCAGTAGTTCCCACAGTTCTCTCATCAATGATTGATTCACCAATATTTGGCAGGTGTCTATAAACTAAGACCCTGTGCAACATGACAAGTCTGCCCTCTTCCTTTTTTTCCCATGGGTGTTCACTTTGTACAGAATTCATACATTACTAGATTCTAGATGCAACACCCAGCCAGGGGTCAAGTTGATAAAACTTTAACAAGTGTAGCTATTGTTTCTGGACCCTAAAACGTCAGCTACACTGTTAAAGGTTTACTTAATTGACCCAAGGCTAGCCTGCTAGCAAGCTCTCCATGTATGGTGAGTGAGAGAAGGCGTGAGCGAGTAGCACCCTTGCACTTGTGGGCTGCTTTCGCGTGACTTCTCGCGACTCCCTCAAATGTAGAGCTTGCTCGCGAACTAACCCCAGGCCAGAAGAGAAGATAACTCAACCTCTTTCCCAGGGCCCTCTCATCTCCGGAAGAGAGAGAACCCTGGGAACTAGGGGCTGGATTGTCCTACCCCAGGAGATTATAACCCAGAATGAGCAACTCACATTTACGGCACAGTGTTTTCACAGACTGGGTTATTTTTACGCATCACTTTACAGAACTTTTTCCGGCGGAAATGGAAGCCCCGCTATGTCGGTGAGGATCGAGATTCGAAGTTTATGATATGAAAAAGAAAAACTTCCCATCCTTAAAACATCAAAAAATACCATTTTCAGGTCTGTTGGTTTTGCTGACTGGTTTGCGCGACTTTAAAGATATTGTAAATTCAAGCCAAAATTGTTCCAAAAACAGATTGGACAGTGAGCATGTCATGACACGATTACCTAGAAGTTGTTCACTCTGGGTTTTGACTTCAGACTCACTGGATAAGGGATAAATTAACAGAATTTTTCAAGTTTTATTTTTAGTCATTTATTTTTAAACATACGAAGTAACTATATTATGATCTGACTTGCTCTATACATCCTTCTAGGTCCTTCTAGTGTGTTCAGAAATATAATTAGAATCAATAAGTTAAAAAATACGAGAAATTTAAATATCTTTTCTAACATTCTGTTATCATTGTGATAGCAAGCAGAGCGTAAAGCCTTGGTTTTGCATTGGTACGGCTTGGATTTTTTCTCTCAATTACTGAGAGGAGAAGTCGTTACGTCTTGGAACTCAACGAACCGTGGTCATGCAAATATGGCAGGAAAAATATGACACGTGCAACTTTCCTGTGCATGACTTTCACTTAGCCTGTGTACAGACGTCCCCCCTCCCTCAGAGGGAGGGGGGACGTCTGTACACAGGCTAGATTGCAATCTCGAACAAAGCAATAGCCCATATCTTTCTTCCATCGTTCAGCAATGTAAATTGCTGTTTCCGCCATACGCAAATTCCCACCAAATTGTGCAGACTTAAGGAAGACTGTTGAGATCCACACATTTTGTTACCATGGTCATGCGCGTCATACTTCTGCCCTCTATTTAATTAGCTTCAAGATTCCCACAAAAGCCACGCCCCTCAGGGATAGTCACATTTTGGGTTACCACGACGCTCTCACAGTGAGTTGTTTACTTTGCTAACGAAACAAAAGACCGTGACACTCCCCCGATCGAAAACAGACGTTTCTTAGAGCTATACCTGTCTCTGCCTGTTTACCACTACAGAAGTTCACAGACTCGAGGTCAATTCTCAGGGGTATACTCCCTATCATTGTCTGTGAGGGGAGGCTCCGCCCGAAAGGGGTATCTCCCTCATGAAAGGTAGGATTTTCACTTGATGAAGTATACAAAAGGGAAGGGATATTCGTCATTCTGGTAAATAAAAAGGCCCAAAATGGCCAACAGATGCATTTAAAAAATCTGGTTTTGTGATTTATTCAGAGTTAATTTATATAACGTACAGCAGAAGGGACTTGGTATCTAAAAGCGGTACCATATGTCAAAAGAAGGTATACAAAATGGGTGCCGTTTCTATCAAAAGTGGTATATAAAAGGGTAAGAGGTTGAGACACAAGGCGGAGCCTCCCTGTCGAAAACTTTGTTGAGTACCCCCTGGGGGTCACTTTTCTACCAATATAAATGGGGTTCTTCTTCAGGTGACGTCATCAGACACTAAACCTCTAGCACATGACCAGTCTTGTAGGGCGTGATTTAATCGAAATATCCCTGAATGAACGGAAGAATAACCTTGTTCCCAGGTTCTCTAGATCAGACAAAAAATTAAAAGAAAAAGGACTCCTCCCTCAGAATAAATTTTGTTCTGGAGACAGGTGACCAGACCCAACCAGGGTCTCTCTCTCTCTCTCTCTCTCGCTCCATAGGGACAGGTAGGAGAGAGCCCTGGGAACGAGGTTAATGGCAGAATGGGAAATTGAACACCGGAACTTGTGTTCAGCACTTTGTAATGTTTTTGCTTGCTCACTTGATTTTACGTTGCCTCTGTTAAATATGCCTAAATAATTCATGAATCATCACGTGGAGAATATGAAGGAAATCACTACCTAGAAGGTTTGGAAATCGGATGATCTTAAATACTCTAAAATTTTGTGAACTTTAGCTTTGAATTTTTACAAAAATATTAATAATTTGAGTTCCACTGGAAGAACCTTGGTACACTAGAAGAAAGACTGCACTATAAGATAAAGAATCTATATGTTGGTACAACCGCACTATAGGAATCTATATATCGGTACACCATAGGAATCATATATGAAGTATCTACCCAAGCCTATCTTGGCGGTCATACCGGAAAACTTCCCATTGATGAAGTGTGAGTGAAAAAAGGTCTCGTTTGTGAAAATGGATTTGCCATGGAGCCAAAAGACAGCTGGCTAGCTGGTAGTGTGTCCATGCCAAACGAAGATTGGGGCTGAAAAGAATTGACTGTGGTAGTGATGGGTGCCAGTGAGAAACCAGAACTTGCATTACTGGCTGCATAAAACGATGAGGTGATACTATCAACAGAGTGTTTTAAAAAGCTGGTAGATGTAGCAGAAATGCTGTTCACAGCTGGGATTATTCCTTGCTGATTTGAAGACCCTTCTCTTGTTCGTCTGCTATCCCCGCTACTTGTAATTGTAAACTGTACTGGCGCAGAATTTGTGACAGAGACTCCATATGCACTGTTTGATATATTAGAATTAAAAGTTCCTGTTGGCTGAGTACCGGTAGCTGCAGATTTCTGTTCTGCTAGGTCTGAAACAGTTGCGAGTATAGAGTTGGATCCTACATCGTGTGCCATGTTGGGTTTAACAGAGTGGAGTAAATTTGGATTCACAGACACCATTGCGGTGCTGTTGAAGTTTGCGTCAGACCGTGATGAGATTAAATTGTCAATAGCGTACGATAAACTTGAATTTAAATCACTGGAACCAATAAGAGACTCTGCGCTAAAATCAGAGTATGTTGTCCTCGATGGCCTTGATTGAATTTGGGATTCCTGTGCAATATCCCCTATGAGCTCACTTCCTCCAATAAGCGCCTCGGCGGAATAGTTTGAAAAGCTCTGTGTATGGCTCTGTTGAGTAGCTGTATTATGCACAGATTGTTCATTGGGTATACTGTGCACTGACTGTTCATTGGATGTACTAGGAGGTAGTACTCCTCTGGTATTCTGGGCTGAGGGAACAATGGCTAATGTGAAACTACTTGGCTGATTTGAGCTATTTTCGGAAACTGAGGTAGTTGTTATGAGTGGAATGTTAGGCAGGATGACTTCACTTGAAGAAAGCAAAGACTCGGCTGAAAAACTAAGATTCCCTGGAGCAGATGTTGACACTTGTTGATGTTGATGAAGGTCTGTTGAAGTTTGTTGCTGTCCTATACTCTGAGGTAGTCCCGCTAATGATGCAATACTATGTGACAGGCGTGGCCCATGCGCTGACTGACTCAAAGCCACAGTAGAAACAGGCAATGTTTGTTTACCACAATTATTTCCAGTAGGAACAATATTGGCAACAGATGCCCCCTGAGGTGAAATACCAGAAATTAAAGCACTCACATTGAAATTCTGTAGCGTAATTATCTCCTCTTGTGACTGACACACGTTCATATTTCCTTGTGACTCCTGGGAGCTGAGCGCGTTAGATCTCTTCACCAAGCCAGGGTCATTTGTACCTATTAAGTGTTCCACTCTGCGTTTATTTGAAGCTGAGTTAGTGTTTCCTTCAAACGAAGCCCTGCTTTGTGAGTTGCTCCTTGTGTTTTGAGATTTAGAGCTGGTTTTTGAAGATGCTCTGTTCGCAGTAGCACTTTTTTTCGTTTTACCACTTCCGAGGTTTTTTGAGGTTACATTTGAGGTCTTCTGTTGTTCAATCGCTCCTTCACTTTGCGATTCTTTCAAAAGAGATACGCCATTTTGAATGGGAGAACTAGTGACTTGAAAGCTACCAATTTGTGAAGCTGCAACTTGAGCAGAGTTTGCTTGTTGAGTTAAAATGCTGCTTGATGCCGGCAAAACTGAAGGTGGTAAGGGCAACATGGTGCTTGCATTTTGAACAATACTAGGTGTGTTTATCACTGTGGGTTGGACATTTAAAACAGCAGTACTGTTATTTCCGATTGAAGGGTTTGCCAGTGGAACAGCATTCACCAGATTTACCGCAGAGTTTGACATACCTGGTTGCAGTGTAACCTTCATTATTGCGGCAACACTGTGTTGAGAGAATCCTGCATGAGAAGGTTGCAAAGCTTGTGATGAGCTGATTGGTATGTTAACAGTTTGTAAAGCTTGTGGGGTTGAAGAGCTTGCTAAATCACTTGTAGCCTGAGGATTAACACTCTGATGAGAATTGGATAAGTAGTTTGAAGAACTGTTTGAATTTTGTTTCGGTTGGTTAAGCTGCAGTTGTCCAGGGTCGCTAGCTACATTCTGTGCAACAAGTGGGGTAGCAACCTGAACCACTGGAGAAGCTGTAGCCACAGTGCTTGTTGTCATGGAGATTGGATTTGTCCCAATGATAAATGGAGTAACGTAAGCAATTGAATCTTTCTTTGACATATCATTAGTAGAACTTGTGACAGAAGCAGAAGTGATTGGCACCTGTGTTACCATAGTGACAACAGGAGCATTGACTGGTACTTGGACAGGTGCACATAAAGTTTTTGGCACTGTCATGGATACTGGAGCTGATACTGCCACAATTTTAGGGCTGGCCATAGTCAAAGAGTTGTTTGTTATTCCAGAGTTATTAGACGCAGATGAAGAAGAATCCTGCGCAGTGAGGATTTTTCTTGGAATGGCTATACTGTGTTTTTTAAGTAAATCTTTCAAGAGCTTGTTTTCCTTTGTGATATTCCCAAGTTGATTCTTTAGTTGCTGAACCTCTTGGGCTGTAAAATGATGCAAGTCTTAGATGTCATTACTTTCCTGTAGTATTCTTTCTTATGCTACATGTGTATAAGGTGTTTCTAACTATCGATGAAATCCTAAATTGTGACCATTCGAATGAAAGCTACTGAGCAGTACTTTGCCGTGATACTGTTTATTATGCTGTACAAGGCGGTTCTAAATTGAGTCTGCGGATGAAATCCTAAAGTGTGACCATTGAAGGATGTGACCATTCAAAGGAAAGCTACTGAGCAGTACTTTCAAGTGGTGCTGTTTACCTTGCTTTACAAGGTGATCCTATCTTTTGAATCTGAATGTGAACTTGTGAGTAGTACTGTTCTGTACTGCTGGAACTTGTGGTTCTCTTTGAGTTTTGATGTAGCCATTCATAGGAACAAAGAAATTAATACAGGTGTTTCTGTAAATTTCTTACCCAGTTTTTGTTCTCTTTGCTGCAAATCCCCAAATGCCTTCAATTGCTCATTTACTTGTGTTACATACTCTACAGTCTTTTCCAGAACAATGTTTTTACTCTGAACACAAAAACAATTCAAAAGTCAGTGGAGATGGCAACTTCTGGAGATCTAAAATCTGGAGACTCTCTCTTTTGTACTGCACCCCCCTACCCCAGAATGTCAGTTGACCCCCCCACCCAACATATCGACCCAGCCCCCAAATAATAACATGGGAATGGGTTAGGACATTATATCAAGTCTTACATGAATAAACTATTACATAGCGTAAAAATTCACTTCCATCATTCTATTATGATGAAATAATCTTTTCAGTGACAAAATATGTGCAAAAATGCCCATAAACCTTACTATGAATAGAAAAATTCAAATTTTGGTGAGCTAAATTTCAAACTAAAGAACAGAAAAGCACAAAAGTTGCTTTTATCAGGAAGATTTGTGACTTGTACGACAGGCAGGGCAGGAGAATGGTGTCGTATTCAGAAGACTCCCAGATAATTCAGGAGAGTTTGCATATGTGAAACACAGATCCTACAAATCACAAAGTGGCTGCTGAAGAAAGAGGTGGACGTGTCTAATTAAGCAACCTTTTGCAATGGCAAATAAAAATCAGAGAGGGCTAGCTGGAGCATGACTTCACAAACATCTTTGCCACTGCTAAAAATCAAACCCAGTGATGAAGGTTCTAAAACTTTTAAAGCACCTTAAGACAAACTATAGTGAATTTCTTGAATTTGGACAATCCTGCAGAACTTTTCTCTTTAGGTGGCATGGACATCACCAGTTGATCACAATCCCCACCCCATCCTTCTGACCCTTACTTTAGCAGCTCATTTTTTAAACAAAAAAGAAAAGAAAGAAAAGATAAATAAGACACTTTATTACATAGTATAAGCTGTAACCAAGACTACCAACTGGACTTCACAGTGAGTGACTGATAGCTGTAGATTACAGATATACAGTCAACACTCTCTCAACGGACACCTCTATAACACACACACACCTCCGTAAAATGGACACCTAGAGTTGGTCACTGCCTTTCTTTACTTCCTTATCTGTCTCTTTATCAGACAGACATCACTCTTAGTTGGACACTAAGTGTCAGTGCCAAATGTTTCCATCTTAGAGAGGGTTGACTATATGCAGTACTCTACTAGCCTGCAAAGAGCAGACATATTTCCAGTCGTCACTTCTCTCCCTCCGAAAAATAATTTTATCAGCGGGTGAAACAAGACCGAAAAATGCGTCTGTTCCCCACAGGCTAGTTAACTATACCTGCTTTCCCCATTTGCACTGTGGGACAACATCGGCCAGCTTAAATATCCAGCTGTTTATTTTGTCCTTTCTCCTTCTTTCCACTACAAAAGATAAATTACAGTATGCATAAGGCAATTTTGTTCATTATTTTCTGTTGAACATTCCCTCTTATTGGAATATTTTTTTTGTTATTTGTTTGGACTGACACTTATCATCATGAAGTGTTAACTTTTTTCCCTTACGCAAAATAATACTTAGAACCACCTTGCACACCATAATAAACAGCACCACAGGAAAGTACTGCTCAGTAGCTTTCATTTGAATGGTCACACTTCAGGATTTCATCCACAGACTCGAAAGTTAGAACCACCTGGTACAGCACATTTATAAACAACTCCACAGAAAAGTACTGCTCAGTAGATTTAAAGGATCATAGGTTAATGTCATGCTTTAGAAGTTCAGCCACAGACTCAGAAGCTGACTCAAAATTTACAAATTTTGGACAACCATAAATAATTGACCAGGAAAATGTTCTTGATATTCTTGACAGCTTTTATGAGGTATCACCCATGTTATGGTGTGCTATCTAGGACGTATACGTGGCAGCTTAAATCTGTGTAAAAACACAACCATATGAATTCTTTTTGTTCTCTAATTACTGAACTAACTTTAAATTTTTCTGTGGCTGTATTGTCTTTTCTCGTATATTTTTTAAATTGATTGGTAAATTACCATAGGTTCTTGGCACTTATACAAGTTATTGTGTTGTCTTAATTACCCAACCTTCATTATGTACAATCCTCCTTCTTGTTTGCTGTGCAATGCCGCCACTATACAAAAATTGAAAATAAAAGTTATCACTTAGTAAAAGCTTTGTTTACAATTTAATTGACAGTGGTTTGGGAATTTTTTGAGTGCATTTCCATGATTTTAATTCGTTACAAATTCAGTAAAGAAAAATATGTTCTCCCTTAAAGAAAACACAAACAGGCCAATTTCATTGTACACGTAGCCTTCCCTTGTGGGGAGGGGAGAATTACGAGCTTCCCTAAAAACGCCTGCCAGTGAGTGCTTTCTTGGTATTTGTTGGTACAACCAAGCTGCTCCATTTGTGGCTGAGCAATATAGAGCTTTTAGCTTGTTAGCCATCTTGACTGTTGTGCTTATCTTACAAAGGCAGCCAATCAAAATGTGCAAAAATTGCTATCCAGACCACAGATTTGATAAATTAATAGAATAGCACACACTTACCAACTTTCCTTAATTCAAAGGCACGAAATTTGTGATTTGTATGAGGACTGAAAAAAACCTTTCTGCCTTTCAATGTTAGAGTAGAGCATTACTTATTTTTTTTAACATAAGGTGGGTCAAAAGTATCATTGGTTGGAAGGAGTTTATCAAAACCAACTGTTAATTTCACAAAGTACAATGTATTTTTTCTCAGCCTGCTAAAAGATAAGCCAGGATGTAATCTCTTGACTTCAAAATAAACAGTTTGTCTATAGGTTACAGCATGTCATATCCTGCAGCACTAACATAGACAAAACATTAACACTATCTTACCTAAGTACTATATCTGATGAGACATAATAAGGAGTCTGATTGCTGGTGGGTGATGCAAACCTGTAGGAGAACACACTTGGAGGGATCGGCTTGGTGGTATTTTGAAGTGCAGGAAATTCTTTCTGGACCACACCATTAGTAGTGGACACTAAAATTATCAAAAGGAAAGGATTATATGTATGGAATTTTTATTACATCAAACACAAGTGAATTAAATAATATGCTTTGTACGTTATTATCAGGCTGAACAATTTCACTTGGTTTCTGATATGGTAATTTTGCTGAAGATGATTCCGTGATTGAATTGTGTCACACACCTCATTTATCATTTTTAACATCACCGCATCACATGGCTATTTCAGCTCAATGTGAAGGTTTGATTCTCATCTTTCTTTGTCACCTAGCCCTTGTCATTACCCAGAAAAAAAGTTTTCAAAAAAAGGGTAATTTAATTTTTTGTTTCTGACTTATGATTAGGGTTAGAAGACAAAGATAACCGTGAGAATCAAACTAAATTAAAATCATTTTGATTTGAACTAACAACAAGGTTGTTGTTATTGTGAAGAAACCAAAACTGCATTAGAGTGACACTGTGACAAAAGTTTTGAAAACCTGTAAGGAAGTCATCGCTTTTTAATGAAAGAACGTCAGTGCCACTTTTTCATCCTTACCATATTTTGACGTCATCTGTTATCTACTACTGAACAGAAGCACAGCAACATGGAATCTAATATTGAGAAATGAGTTGTTGTCTTTCTGTTTGTTTGTTCATTTGTTCTATTATTACAGTGAAAAATTGCTGTTTTTTAATGCTGATTCCAGGTGAAGTTTCTTAATCACAGGCAAGAAATAAATTGTCAAAAAGTCTAGCTATCTAATCCTGTTGCCAAATATTGTCATTTGGTGATTAGGCTGATTTACCGGTATCAACAAAACAGGAATGTCAGTTGATGATGGCATGCTCAAATCAAACAACTAGCTTAACCAATGGCGGAGTGGCAAATTAACCAGAAGTCAAGTTTAGTCCTTTCCGTGTACTTTCCTGTCGTAACCTGACATTCCCGTTCTGTTGCTAAGTCAGCCTATTATCGGCATGGGTGTGAGTCATTAAGGAACAGGGGTCAGGGATTTCTCCCAGCTTCTATGAACACGTAGTGAAGTCTGCGAAGCAGCCCCAATATCCTTGTTCTGGGCCACCAATGGACTCAACAAATTACTGCAAATATATTTCAAATTTCCCTTCAACCTGATTGGCAAATTGACTTGTAATGGCTTTTTTTACAGGTCAGTCATGGTGCGTACTCAAAAACTGGTACAAAGGTGGGGGCCCAGGATTTCGGTGCTGTGTTGCAGACGGACTTAACCAGAAGTTTAGTTCCGTCTGTAGTGCAGGCTACTATGAATGTGACCCCTGGCTCCTTTCATTATTAGGAAAATAGAAGAAATTTATAGAACCAAGAGAAATCCATCGCTGCTTGATTCTCCGCCTACTTGCTGCATTCACCCAGTATCGTGAAATCTTAGAGACAGCCCTGATTGGTGTATAATTACAGAAAACAGCTGTTTAGTGCCCCAAACAGCTGTGCTAGATCCAGCACTGCTTAGTAGGACTAGTAGGACACACTTCTAATTCACTGGCTAAACAAATATGAATAATCTGAGTAATCGATTATAAATTATCTACAAGTGAATCAGTCCATTAAAAACGTGATCGTGAAGCTTCTATTGAAGAAAATAATGGTGAAAGATTTTACCCTGTGAAGACACATCTTAACTCTTGTACATCCATTTCACGCAAAATATATGGCCCACCGAGTTTCCCCTTAGAAAGTAAGAGGTTTTCATTTTAGATGAAACAAATGAATTATTTAGAGTGACACTCATTTCAGGTATATTCAAATGTAGCCAATTCGAAGTTGTTTGTTTTGTTTTTATAGCTTGCATAGTTATCAAAAAGATATACAAACCTAGCTAGAAACCTAGATATGGGTATTGATAATCACATATCATAATAAAATTAGCTGCTTCTGCATTGAAATCACCATTAACCACCACTGAGGTAGATGAACACTGGATGAACGTAGACGTAAGGTAAAGACTACAGTACAAGCTAAGCCACCATTCGCTCCCCATATTAACGACAAATTGTAGGCTTTAAAACTAGTTATATTCCTTTAGTTTCTGCAACATTAATAAAAAGAAAATTATTTAACTTACCTACTGGAGGAAGTGATGGCGCTGGAACGAAGATTCCTAAAGCATTTTGCTGAAGCAAAGAGGGTCCTGAAGAGACATGTCCGCCATCTTGGATATTGTCGATGTCCGCTGAAGTTTCGCGACCTCCGTTGTTCGATTCTTTTGAGACATTAGATGGTTTTTCTACAGACGATGAACCATCGACAGTGGCCATACTAAAAGAATTAAATAACTTGTTGCAATATCCATCCTTTCCAATAGTTCTCGTCAGCCATGAAATCTACGAGAAAGAAAATAAAAATTTGTCAGTTTGGAGAGTTGATAATGTGATCAACACTCGAGATCATGAATAAAACTCCTACGTCTTAATTAATATTTTCTGATAAGACCAACAACTATTATTTTAAATACTTATTTACTCAGATTACGAAAAACGTAAAATATCGGGAAACTCACCCACAATAGCCGAACAAGAGCACGACGAATGATTCCTATACATAAATTCTCCTATGAATACTATAAGCCTCAAAGAAATCCTCGATTCTGCAATTTGATTGGTCTAGCTCGCTTGGAAGAGAGCCAAATCAACCTCAGCAACAGAGAGCTCAAAAATTGAGTACTTTGTTTAAGATATTTGTTCTTCATTGATTATTTGGATGATACATATTGATTATATTGATTATTTAGATGATACATATTAGCTTCGAAGAAGCAGATTTTTCGCGGAAAAAGTATTCTAAAACAATGCGTGAGTCCCGGGGTATCAAGTATGGCGGGGAGAGGGAAATCTGTCATTTCCGGTCGTTAAAAAGGCCCAAACGGGCAAACAGAAAAAAAATGTCGAGAAAACGTTCTGTTTTTTTTTTTTTTTTTTCATAGGCTCCTGGATTTATTCATATTTTTAAAAAGGTCAGTGCATTTACAGCAGTGACAAGGGATGCATGCAAAGTTCTAAACTAGGTATGTGAAAGGGGTAGCATTTTTCAATTGCACGTATACGAAGGGGGTACTTTTTCTGCCCAAAATGGTATAATATTGTAATTCTTATCATAAATTCAGTAACATCTGTAAACCTGAAGAAGGCTGGTATGGCCGGCCGAAAAACTTGTTATGAAAAAGCACTGAATATACGTCTCGTTGTTATGATCAGCTTTTCAGTCAGGTCTTTGGACTTCTCTTTTTTTGGTATAAAAAAGTCCTCGAGGTGGAGCCTCACTGTATAAAACTTTGTTGAGTACCCCCCGGGGAATAAGTCTATGCCTCACTTAGGTGAATAAAGGAGTTAGTTTTCGGAAAAGTCGTTGGGAGGGTAAAACACACAAAAATGTGGTTTTAATAATCTATTAGTACTAGATTAAAGACTACAAACTCAGGGCGATTTTTGTTTTACAAAGCGTACTATCGAGTCCATATAGCTATAATGGCACATAATCAAAGACGGGGGAAGATCTATGCGGTTTCTGAGTTCTTCTGATGACTTCCGATCTTCTATGCCTATCCGAAGACGGTTTCAGTCTCTCAGGTTGTTTTTAAGAAATAGTTAAAAAAACGATTAAACCGTTCGTCACTTGTTCTCTCGTGACTAACTAATTTTACGCTGAGAAATTCATACAGTAAAGCATTGAACTCTAGTTTATCGACGTGAGCACAAAAATCTATTTTTTGGATTCGGAAATCTGGATTTGGATTTTCCCAAAAAAACGCACCCTAAATGGTGAGGCTTTAGCAAGAATGTTCCAGACTCCTTTTAAGGAAATTACAATTCACTTGCTATCACTTTTATCTAGTTTCTCATTAAAACGCATAATCAGGATGAATCCTCAGACGGGAAATGGAACGGGAAAAGGAGCAAAATGAAAATTAAGTTTAAAGACTATAAATATTGATTCCCGATCACAGGACACCCAAGTTCACAGGACTCCTACAAGCCAAATTATTAAGATAAATTAAAGTGTATGGGAATTTATCGTAGCTCGATAAAATGGTTAACTAATGCACATAAACTGTCTTGAGTTATCAAACTGAACACGGCTCACAGAGACACCCTCGACCATCGGTATGAGGTCTGTGTGTTCAGTTCAATGGCTGTTTTTGTGCATTCTAACTGTCTTATTGGACCCTGCATCAATTCCCTGACTTAACAGACCCTTCCTCATTTCTAGTCACTTCTCGAACAAATTTGATAAAAGCGCATTGCATTGTTGGAGAAACTTTATAATACTATTCCCAGGTGTTATCACTTTAAATAAGAGGATTATGGACTGGGAACAAAACTATTGCAAGACGGTTTTCCTAATAAAGGTTTCATTGATGATCATACCACAGAAATCCTTTCCTAAATTTTTTCGCTCCAGAGACCTCTAAAATTACCATGAAGTACAGTTTTGTCGGAGTCATTTCTTTTGAAGAATTATAAATGAATAAAGAAACTAAAAAGAAAAAGTATGTAAACTTAACCCTCTGCCTTGCATTATCAGATACGCCTATGATAAATAAATAATGATTTGGAGGTAGCACATCGACTTGCTGGTTCTTCGTCTACCTGATTCCTGGTCGAATTGGAATTTGAAAATCTTGGTTTTTGAGGAGGGGGAAAAAATGGAGTACCCGGAGAAAAACCTCTCGGAGCAAAAGAGAGAACCAACAACAAACTCGATCTACATATGGCGTCGACGCTGGTATTTGACAATGGCTATATTGATGGAGGAGAGTGCTCTCACCACTGCGCCACCCCTGCTTCGTCGTAATACGGAAATCAGCTAAATCCCGGAACTTAAATTAAATTACAGTGAATTGACTGAAAAGTACTCCCGCTGTTACGGACTCTTGCTAAGAAAGACACTAACTCGTAGATCCAAGGGAGTCCCCAATAATGGAAGTTACCGCATGAGTAAATGGAAAGGATGAGGGTGTCGAAAACCCCCAGGGGCAAAAAGAAAGAGGGGAACTTTTTTTTCGCTTGTCTCTGCCTACCCTTTCAGGCTTGCTGTGCAGGGTATTGGAGCCACGGACATTAACTTCCTTCACATCGGATATTAGTTTCTGCATACCTTTTCAAGATCCACTTAGGCGAATTTAATTCCACCTCACGTGAAAAAGAAAAACTTCCCCGCGTCGTCTAACAGCGGTGGACAAGAAATTCTCCTCAGATTCCCGGCAAGCGAAGCTCAACGGAACAGAATATTTTCGGGTGACATCGTAAAGTTTACTTAAACAAACTCACTGAACATGGTCGAGCTAATTAAAAGAAATATTGAAATAAGTATTTATTTTTTGGATTTTTTTTCTACCTTACAAGTAGAGAAACTTGCTCATAAGGAACGCTTTTTATTTCGTATTAAATGAAGAAACTCTCACTAGACTTAATTTGCCTGTATATTTCTTAACACCAAATGGGTCAGTTATGGGGTTAGATTCATTCATAATTCCACACCATTCTCGACCCTCCCAGTGCTTACGCTTTGCCATTGCGCTTGGCGGTCATGTTCTCGTTATTCTAAGAGCTTGGCACCATATCGAAACCATGTTTAAAGCATAAAAGCCAATAACGTCTGCCTATTAGGTTACCCCAAAACACGAACCGTACGTGTTCTGTAAAAGTCTTCATAGCTACTGGGTAGGCATAGTTGCGTAACAATTTCATTCACAAAGAATCGTTGTTCGCCGTTTTGTCGGGATTGATCGTGTCAGAATCGGCCGTCAATCGGAGAAATATGATGAAACCCAAAAATCGAGCAAAAAAGCCTCGGGACGCTAACGGCAAGGGAAGCAGTCGTTTTCGTCATTTTCTGACAATTTGTACGGTTATTCTTTGGCCTCTGTTCGTCCTCCTTCTAGGATACAAACACAAAAACCCTCTGATATCAGCGGAAGAACCTTCTCGAACCTTAAGAAAAACAGTCCATTGAGCAACAGTGTAGTAGAGGCAGTGAAAAACCTATCGGAGCTGTCAGCTTACGTAACGCAACACAATAACGCTTGATAAGCTGCATTCATGCATTCTCAGCTGACTGGTGATTTTAAATCAATTGCAAACGTGGATATCGCAAGAAATTTTCAATAAGTTATTTCATCAAATTTTTAAAACTTGCAAAATATTTTACAAACTAGAGAAAGTTAATAAAGAACCTATCATAATTCATCATTGGCTGGCTTTTTCGTTTCACTATCTTGAGAAGATTGTTCTTGTGTTTTTGAGCTATCCGCGGAGGACGTAGTTCTTCCCGCGGGCTCACTAGACGAAGAGTCGTCTGGACTTGGTAAAGGTAATGGCTCTTCTTTCTCAGAGTCTTTGCTTTCACTTTTCTCTTTCTTTTCTGTTGTTTGTTCCTGATTTTCCACCTTCTCGTTTGTCTTCTTTTCGTCTTCTTTCTTCGTTTTCTCTGTAGGTTTCTCCGCTTCCTTGTCGTTCGTCTGTTGTTGTTGATCAGCGCTTTTGTCTTCTTTCTTGCTTTGTTTTTCTTTGTTTTCTTTCTTTGCATCAGCTCCTGGTTTTGTTGTATTCGAGGCTTTAATGGAACAAAAACAACAATTACAAATTAACTCGCTTAAAATAAGCACCATCAAATTGGACACGTAAAAAACCGTTCAATAAGTGAGTCTATTAGAAAATTGGTCAGCCCATCACTCGGACACTCTTCAAGCTCGATTGGCAGACAGTCAGTCTGTCTGTCTGCTAGTCTCTCAATCACACACTCAGTATATTGTAGGAAGGGAAGAACATTCAAATGAAAGCTACTGAGCTGTATTTTCCTGTGGTAATGTTTATTATGCTGTATACAAAGTAGACCTAACTCGTTTGAGTCTCTGGATAAAATCCTAAAGGTTGATCGGTTCAAAAGAAAAATACTGAGTAGTGCTTTTTTGTGGTACTGTTTATTATACTGTACAAGGTGGTTCTAACTTTTGAGTCTGTGGAAGAAATCCCGAAGTGTGACCATTCAAATGAAAGCTACTGAGCAGTACTTTATTATTATGTACAAGGTGGTTCTAACTTTCGCGTTTGTAAACTAATGAAAGTAAGGTTACATCATTTAAATGAAACAACCGACCTACTATGAAATTTTGAAAATCACATGAAACCCTATTGGCAGCGTGGATACATCTCCTTTTTACTAGACTGGTTGGGTACGCCCCATATTGGTCGAGCAGCACATGCAAATCACGTGACTGTAGACGTAAAGAACACGTGATTCGTACCTGTTTCATTGACCTTTGGCTTTGGAACGTAATACTTGGCCTTATTCAACACGTAGAGCAGTTCACGATCCAATTTTCCTTGTTTAGCTTCGATATCCTTGACAACCAACACGGGATTATCTGAAGGTTTTGCTTCGGCCTGCTTTTTCACGTTCGCTTCCAGCCATTCCTGCAAACAAAGGAACAACAAAAAACTTCATGAATCTTCTTTCTGTTTCCTTTTCAAAGTTCCAGAACATGGTTCCGACTGTGATCTACTTTTCAAATCTGTTAGCAAAATTCTTAATGATAGCAGAAGAAGATTTTCTCTCTTACGAGAGGCCTTGACGGTGATAAAAGTTTCTGTTTTATGTGAGGCGGGGTGGTGGGGGCGGGGGAGGAAGTAAGGGTGGGGTGGGAGAGGCTTTTCAGTTAACGGAACGTCTATTACTTTGGACGGTTAGGGAAGGGATTTTAAACATTTGGTTGGCGGGGAGGGGGCGGAGGGGTTAATTTCAGTGGAGACGCACTTCCTCGGAATTTATTTACCGTTGTCTCGTTGATAATTGTTTGGAGTTCTTCCAAGTCTCTGCTTGTGTAAATCTCGTCCTTGTCGGTAATATTGTTAATCTGGACAAAGAAGGTTCTAGACAAGTTTAAACTGTTTCTCAGTAATTCTATCGCTTTGGGCCTGGCCTTGTTCTCCTTCAAACGATATCTGAAGTCCACTGACTGTTTTTTTAGCTTCTGAAGCTTGTCATTGTATACCTGAAAATGCGAAAGTGAATATATCATTCTATAGGACTATGCTAAATGAAAAAAAAAATACCTAAAAGGCAAGGGTAAAAGGTAAGGCGAGCCTAGACATAGGTTAGACAGTCAATACTGACTTGAAATTTTTTGGGGGGAACAAATGGTCACGCACATATGATTTCCTGCGCTTTCGGTTCCAAACTTTCCAACCGCTTGTGAAGCCTCGAGTGAAAAAAATGCGACTACAGTACAAAACCTCCACAAGCACTTGTCCGACAGGACGAGTAAGATATACGTGTGTAATATTTTCTTCAGTTAAACTTTCCAGGGAGAAGATACCCACCAAACGTTTTCCCAGTCACGCCACACAAAGGGAAACCAGGTTTATTGGCCTCTGGGCAAACACAGTTTCCTAGCTTAGATATTTAATCAATAAGAAAACTATTTAGGTGGCCGGGTTCGGCACGTTTTCCCGCATGGTGCTCGTCAGTGGCAACAAAAAGGCTATGGTAACAGATTTTCCCGCCCTTTGTACTGGCTACAGGGTTACAGATTTTCCCGCGCTTGAACCAAGTTACACAGCTTCTCCGCCTGGTATCGGCTGCGTATCATTGAAAGACTTTTGTTTTAGCCTTAAATACTCCGGAAAAAAAAGAAATAAGACAATAATGAATTATTAAGAAACCACGAGGGTGAGGGCAGAGACAAAACAACAAGTGAAAAGAGGGAGAAAGAATGAGTGCTGTTTTCATTATTGCTGCCATCATGGCAGAGGAAAGTCCTCAATTCCAAAAATTTACGGTTACCATGGCAATTTTTTAGGGTTATAAGCTTACGTCAGCAGTCGAGTCCCAGCCCTCGTCGTCCAGCCACTCTGAGGCCTCGCTAAGAGCTTGTTCAATCTTTTCTCTCTCCTCCTCTGTAGAAAGTAACTGTCCTTCATCACCCGAAAGTTTATCGCGCATGTTAAAGATGTGCGACTCCAACAGATTCTTCGCGTGTTCGTTTGCATATTTAGCATCGTCACGTGCTTGTAAGTCCTTGAGTCTAATTGAAGAAAACAATGGAACCGATGTAACTTTACAGGAAAGCAGTGGAAAAAGAAAGAAGGTGGGGGCACAGGGAATTGATCCACTCCCTAGAACTAAACTGTCATTTACATTACGCGGGATCCTTGGGAGAAATGAGTATTTAGCAATGAGTGTGTGGAGTCTGGGTAACTGCCCACATACACCTCCCCCAACCACACCTTGTGGCCTAAGTGAGAAGCTGGTGTTAACGTTGGATTAGGGGAGGGGTAGGTGGGAGTATTTACGAGCATTGTGTGCAGTAGATTCTGCCGGATAACCGCCCACCCACCCCTTCCTCAACCTAACATTAGGCCTTAAGTGAGAAGATAGTGTTAGCGTTGGGTTAGGGGAGGGGTTAGTGTGAAAATTCATAAGCAATGAGTATATAGATTCTGGGATACTAACCACCCACTCCTATCCTTTTAGTTTAACCAAAGCTTTGCCCTTAGTGAGAAGTCATTGTTAACGTTGGGTTGGGGGAGGGGTAGGTGCGCAGTTTCCCAGAATCTAGTAGGACACGTGCAGAGTGAAATAAAAGACCTTTATCTGCTTGTCAAAAGACAACGTGTCGTATTTTTCCACTAAAATCGCCAAGGAAACTTGCTACCGTACATAACGCAGTTTACGCACACAGGCGTTTTTTTAATCATACTTTTTAACTGAGGTGGACAGAGCATCTTCTGAAGTGTTGGCCACATCCTCGAGTTGCAGCACCATCTCGAGCGGTTCACGAACAGTTACAGGTTTGCTTGGTTTCTTTTCTTCCGCTTTAGCTTCTTCAGTCTTGTTGCCTGCCTTTTCATCCTGTGAAGAAGGACAGAGTTAGATTTATTCTTTTAGCAAGAACGAATTTACCATAAGTCGAGGGGAAAGCACTGTAGTGATTAAAGTATAAACTCGGGGTAAAATAGGAACTAAAGAAGACTTTCGGTTCTCAAGTCTTACGTGGGACCACACAGAGCCCACAAAAACTGGGTATTCATGGCGGTATTACGATATCAAACCTTTTCGATATTACAACAAATTTTTCTCAAAACAGGCCATTTCGGAGTTGCCCCAAGCGTCTGTTTAGAAGCGAAGATAAGTGCAGAGCCACTGACATGAAAATAGTTTTCTAAACTCACGCAAACTGAACAAAACTCATTTTCACAACAAAGGTTTTGCACTTAGCGTCGTTTTGAAAGTGAGAGTTTTAGGAACTCGGAAAGTGACCTATTCAAACAAGCGAAGGGTCATATAGTTTGCGTGGCTTCCCTCCGGTGGCACCAATTTCTGTAATCGTACATTGAATGTAGTTACCAAAGAAACTATCCTTTTACCTTGCTCTCGGCGTCTTTTTTCTGCTCATCTGATGGTTCTTTTTTCTCTTTTGTATCTTCTTTCTTTTCTTCTTTTTCTCCCTTCTCTTCACTTTTCTTCTCTTCCTTTCCATCTTTCTCTTCATCACTTGTCCTTTCCTCTTCTTTCTCCTCTTTCTTGCCCTCTTCTCCTTCTTTCTTTTCTTCTGCCTGTTCTTTTTTCTCCTCTTCTTTCTCCGCTGGTTTTTCCTCGGTTTTGTCGCCTTCTTTCACACTTGGTTCGTCATCTGCTGATTTTTCCTTTTCGGATTTTTCATCTTCTTTTCCCTCGGATTTATCTCCTTCCTTCAAGAAAGCAAATTCTTAAATCGTCAAACGGTTCGGATCGGGGTCAAATATCTTCTACGAATTACGTCTACCTCACAACGCGAATAAACGAAAACGACTAAAAAAAGGCAGGGAACAAATCAAAGCGACCATTTTAGGCAACGACGCCGGTGAGGACAGCGAAATTAACACTTAAAAGTAAATTGCCCCCCATAAAGCTAGACCGCGAGCAGTCGCTCTGTTTATTCATTTCCGTCTCTCTTGCGTTTCGCTTGACGGACTAACAAAAAAGGAGAGACTACTCGTAGTCTACCAAAGAGCGTGAAATTAGGACGTTTCACGTCTTGGTCGTGCGATGACGGCACAGAAATGTACAAGAAAGTGTGATGCACGCGCAAGCTGTTGTTTTGCAGTGTCTCCTTGTGTCCTTAAGACAAAAGCCCCTATGACTGGTTAGCCAATGATATCACAATGAGAAGGACCGATTTCCGCCACTCAGTTAACAGCGCAAGCAACAGGAAATAAAATAAACCCACCTCAACCTTGCTCTCTTTGTTCTCGTCTTCTTTTGAGCTACCAAAGAAACTTGAAATTTTACTTCCGATCTCTGCAGACAAAACAAAATTAGATTTCAAAAGATGATAAAGATACTGACTTCTCAGGCTTTAAACGAACGCACGAAGATTAGCACTGACGAACTCAGGAAAAAGGCAGGGATAAAGAAGAAAATTCCCCCACCCCACCTCCCATTTTATGCTTTTAAACCGGAAGACCCCCAGAGGTTATCGAACGCGATTAGTCTTCACAAGCAACAGGAAAAAGGGGAAAAACAGGCGACAAAGAACATCTGAATAACATTAAAAAATTAGAGACGGCAAAATTAGAGACGGTTAACAAGACGTTGAATACATTTCTACTTTTTCATTCTGTAGACGAAATCCTGTGATGCGACCATTCAATTCAGTAAACGTCTTCAGCAGATCTAAATAAAATATGGGATATTTGTGGAGTTCGATCGTTGGAATTGGATAAAAAGAACAAGAACAAGAGCTTACTAGCAAATGTTGACTGTTCCTCCTCTGGTTTCTCGTCTGGCTGCTTTTCAAACACAGACTCCACCTGAAAACAGACAACTTACTTGCATTGAGTCTGCAGAAGGTAATTACTGAATGACGTCACAACATTTACAAGTTTTACAAGATTTCAGGCTTGATTCTCCATCGTAAAATTCAGTTTTGATAGGCCATGTGGGCCAAACGCAAATTTCAGTGCATCAATGCCTTAACAATAATGGCCGAGTCTTTTTAACGAATTCTTTTTCAGAAACACTTAAGAATATATGCTGCCTGAGTTTAGCACAAACTTCACCCCTAAACATTTAATGCAAAAAAACCCCACAACATGGCTAATTTACGAGAATTACAAGCTAGGATAAGAATAGCCCATCCTGTATTTTGACAGCGCACCAAGTGAAACACGAGAGAAAACACAATAGCCTACCTTCTCTAGGTTCAATAGTCCGTTCTCGTCCATCCTGAAGTATGCCTTGACCCCTTTTGATTCTCCTTTAGGGGAGTGCTTATCCAGGGCAGCGGCCACGCCTTTAACCTCGACTGTGGTCAAGTTCACTGATCCAAGCATTCTGTGTAAGAATATGCCAAGAAATACGATCAGCAGTGCGCTTGACATCATATCTAAGTGCCAAACTGGCCTGTATAGCAAGCGTTTCTGCACGAGTTTGACGAGAAAGTTGGAACGAGAGCACAAAAGAGGAATCTCAAGGGGGAGGGGGGAGAGGATAGAAGGAAACGTTTCCTCTTTTCCCCTCCCCTCCCCTCCCTCTTCCTTCGATCTTCCATTTCTTTCGCTCTTGCTCTACCTTTCGCGGAATAACTTGATTGGAAACGGTTGCTAAGCAGGCTAATTCCAAACTATTTAAGTTTGTAATAAATGACAGTTTTTCAAACAACAGCACGTGGAACAGACAAAGCACTTTCTGAATAGCTTTAGCCTGGGAAGCCTTTACCCTGTGGAGTTGTTTTCGCTCTGCCAGTCTCTACCGCAAGAAGCGAGTGCCGAAGCCTCTCCTCCCCATTCTCCGCGCAGCTTGGAAGCGCCTCTGGAAAACTTTGCCCTACCATTAACGAAACTGCCGGCTACGCAGGCTAGAATAGCTTAAACAGGTTACGAATGTAAGAATACTTCCGAAGACCCTTACCCTAGTTCGTCCTCACTCAAGAAGTCTAAATCAGTGTAACATGCGTGGAAGTTAAAATCTCCCATGTGTCTGTTGAACGTCATGACCTTCTTCTGTGGTACAAGGTTCATTCTGTGGTACAACATCCGCTTGACGTGTCTCACAGTCTCACTTCCGTCGTCAGCCTTGTTTACTCGTTCAAATGAGACCTGCAATCAAAATCCAAAAAGATGATTTCGTCAGAAAAGCATTAAAGAAGCTGTCTCATGAAATTTACCAACATTTACAAAAAGGGAACTGGATATTTTCTACGTATTTTATTTCTTTTGTTTTTATCTATGGTACTAAGCTGTAGACCAAACTAAAACAACACAAGGTGCTTTCCAAAAGCCAAAATTGGCCGGCCAAACCATGGCTTTTTTTCGAGAGTTTTTTCTTATGAAAAACTATTTCCTTCATGCATGCTACTTAGGATTTGACTGATTTGGCTGGATAGCTTTGATTAAAAGTGAATTTCTCATTACGACAGGAATGGCCTGGCTGGTCTGTTCTGACACATGGAAAGCACCCTAAGAAAAGTCTTCTCACTAACTTGTATTGGGTAGACATTAGCATCTTTAACAACAAATTTCTTGACTTTGAAGCCTTTTCCTAGCTCAGCTGCTTGATAAACAGCACCTACAGGTTAAACAAAAAATACCAGTAAATTCCAGGAATCTCTTTTTTAATCGTAACATGAGTAAGGACACGGTTTCCGATAATAATTATTTTACCAAGTGCAGCAGCTTCATCTGTGTTAACACTCTTTCCAAGTTCAGACCTGAAATTCACATTAACAAAACAATAAAATCAAATGCTCAAATACAATGTTATTATTACTATTATTATGGAAGTAATGGTAATTACAGTCGTTTTCTGAAAAACAGTGCTCAGTTATTTAAATTTGACACTGATCTTACTTGTTGATCATGGACAAAAAGCACATTTTTCTAAAATATCAACAGTAATATTTTTTAACATCCATTCAACAGGTCAACAGCACCAGAAAGAGAATAAAACTTACTTTTTAACAGCCTTTAAAAGCAGCTCTTGAACCTTTGGAACACGTGTTCCTCCACCAACAAGAATAACACTTTCAATTTCATCCTAAACAAGAAATGATCACAAACACTTAAAAAATTTAAAATGGCAAATGTTTCTATACACATAAAAAGTGTCCCACAAAAGAAACAAGCAAAAGATGTGTGATCAGATTAGGAGTGATACAAGATTAAATTGCGCATGATAAGGTTGCATTCTATGCATTTAATTCATTCTTAACAGACCTCCGAATGAATGCTGGCTGCATACAGCTATTTCAAGAAAGGTTGTCAGAAAAAGTGCACAAGACAATCCCAAAAGGTGTGGGTGATTTTGAGTTTAATGTTTTTCAGAGAAATTTCAAAGAATTGCACGAGAAGCCATGGACATATGATTGCGAGTGCTAAAAGAAAGTAACAAAAGTAGATTCGACAGCTACAGTCTCAGGAAAAGTGCATTGATCATATCCCATATTACCTATGGGGATTGTTGCGCGCACAGTTTTTCTCCCAACTTTTCTCGAAATAGCTGTATGTACTGTGGATCAGTGCATGCATAATAGGAATCTCGAGATTATTATTGCGCGCTTCCCTGGTTGCCTGCAATTAAAAGGTTAACTTACCAAGGTAATGGCTGAAGATTTGAGAGCCTGTTCAACAGGTCCTGGCACCCTGTCAAGCAGATCACCACACAACTGTTCAAATTCCTCTCGTGTTACCTTGGCACGGAAATCTTTTTCTTCAAAAGCACCCTCAATCTAAATTCAACAATAAATATCATTACAATGCGTAAGTGACTAAAATATTTGAAAAGATGTCATAGCATGGGACTAGCAGGATTTACTCCACTGAGCTATTGAGATACTCGTGGGAAGAGAGAAGACATTTACTAGGTTCTGTGTATAAATAGTGAGCTGGTTTGCCTCCAGCCATTTGAGATTCTTAACCCTGTTATGTTTATATTTGAATGATTTGTTTCAGACATTTGCTCGGCCCCACTAGCAAAAGTGCTATAAATACTGCCAAGGGTACAAAAAGGAATTATTATTATTATTATTATTATTATTATTATTATTATTATTATTATTATTATTATTATGCCCCACATGCTACTATGACAAAAATGTCAAGGGTGTACTGTGTGGTGGAAAATAGACATAAAAAATTTTAGGCTTGGCAGTGAAAGAGAATGACGTCGTATCATAAGCATGCTGCGGAGAAATTCTTGACATAATGGCAACATCTAATATTTTTCTTTCACCAATGAGTTTAAAAAATAAGTTTCACCTTTATCAACTTTATATCAACCATCAATTTTCTCCTAAAGATGCATTATTTTGTATCAATACATTAAGAAGAGAAGATGTATGAGGATTAACAGGCTGATCACTTAAGGGAAAAAATGCTCTGACTTATTATTTTAGGGAGATCGGTTTGGAGAATTTGTGTGTAAATTCCGTAAAATAATGCTTACCTGTGCAAAAATCTCAGTGTTAGCACTAAGCACTTGTTTTACTCTGGCAGCTTCCTTCAGAAACTTGGCCATGGCTCGGGGAGACTGGGTAACATCGCCCTGTGTCTTGTACTTCTCCTACAAAGATGTAGAAGATAAATTTCAAAGTGTCCATGCTTCCACTGCACAAGGTTCTAACTTTTGAGTCTGTGGGTGAAATTCTAAAGTGTGACCATTCAAATGAAAGCTACTGAGCAGTGCTTTCCTGTGGTACTGTTTATTATGCTGTACAAGGAGGTCTAACTTTTGAGTCTTTGGGTAAAATCCTAAAGTGTGACCATGATTCAAATGAAAGCTACTGAGCAGTACTTTCCTGTGGTACTGTTTATTATGCTGTACAAGGTGGTTCTAGCTTTTCAGTCTGTGGATGAAATCCTAAAGTGTGACCAATCAAATGAAAGCTACTGAGTAGTACTTTACTGTGGTACTATATATTATAATGCACAAGGTGGTTCTAACTCAAATAAAAGCTACTTCAAAGTGATAATGTTTGATTTCCAAAAGTCATTAATTGGTAAATGTGGACTTGCTGCTTTTTTGATCCTATATATCTATCCATGAATAAGTACCTTGAAGATTTTGATCAAATGATCTCTTAGTCTGATGTCCATAGCATGGCCTCCAAGAGTGCGATCAAACCTGGAACACGGATTTGAAATAATCTGTAAATACATGTTTACTGTTTGTGATTTTCTTCATTTACTAGATCCATTAGTGATGTTAATAACTGTGCAATCCATGACTTACCCCACCCCCTTGACGGCCACCTGTGGTGCTGTTTCTGTAATTCCTCTGTCTTTGTGTTTAACAGTGCTATAACCTGTGAATAGAGATTTAAACTTCACTAAGATGACTGTAAGTATACCATATTTCTCTGATTTCCTCCCACAATCACCCTGGAGAAATATGGGATGTCTATAACATTTGAACAGGGTTCTCAATAGAAGGCGGCACCCGGCGATTGATCGCCGCTTACTTTGGGATTTATAGCCGCTTACTTTGTGTTTAGGTCGCTTTTCTTTGCTTTGTTTTGACACCTCTGGCTTAGCTGAAGAGCCTCCTACTTTATCAGTGATCACCTCCTACTTAAAAATCTATTGAGAACCCTGTTGAAGCTGTACCCAGAAATAAGAAAATGTTAATGTATGACTATTCATATGAAAGCTATTGCAAGCACTTCCATATTGTATCTAACAAGAAGTTAAAAAAACACACTAAAGGATTAAGAGTTTTTTTGTCTGTTATAATGTTTGGCCACAAAATATCAACAACTTATCAACTGCTTACCAACAATAGTTGCCACAGTGCTTGTTGCTCCCATGTCATAAAACATGATGTACTGTCAAAAACAAAAAATCAAATAAAATGGTTTCTGAGTAGCTAAAAGTAGAATAGTGTACAGCTTTTAGATTTCAAATTACAGTAGAACATTTTTAAATCAGCCACCCTTAGGGAATGGACAAGTACAAGCAGCCACTCCTCGAAAGTTGGCCTAGAGATTCTGTTGAACTGTTTACTTAATTATAAGAAATACTGGCCAATTGTTTTTTTTCTACAATACAGTGAAACCTCTATAAAACAAAGGGCCAAGGGACTGGCAAAATTTGTTTGCTATATCAAGGTTTCTTTTTCATGTAGATAACAAGCTGACCTCAATTTTCCATGGTATACACTCTTATAGACCATAGAAATGATGTCATAAAAAGTTCAAAACTCAAGTGGAACCAAGAGCCGCAGGTGAGTGGTTTCATTGCAAAGTTTTGAACATTTTATGGCGTCATTTCTATGGTCAGTAAAAGTGTAGTCCATGGAAAATTGTGGTCGATTTGTTTTTTACAATAATATTTTTCAGTTTCCTGCAAATTTCTTGGAAAATCACGCGCGCACTATGTGACATGTTATGTCATTTTCATGGTCTATACTCTGATCATAGACCATAGTTCTCGACCAATCAGCGCGCAAGGATTTGCTCAGTTACTGTAAAATTTACTATTACTGGGGTAAAGAAAATAGTTTGCTACACAGAGGACTTCATTGTATCGAGGTTCCACTGTACTCCGATAACTGGTGACTAAATAGAGGTTGACTGCCTAATAGTGACTAAACATGTCTGTCAAACCGTTATTTTTTGTTACCTTTTCAGTTGTGTTAAACGAGTTGCGGCGGAACACTCCATAATGAAGGGCAACTGAAATAACAGACAAACAGTATAGAATTAAGATATGTAATCAAATAAACCACAAATCATTAACTCAACAAGATTATTCTCAGTTTTCCTAAACTAACCTGCAGTGTTTTCATTCATCAGCTGCAGAACATTTAAACCAACCAACTTTGCAGCCCTAAAAAACACAGTATTGTACAATAATAAGTGTTGGGGGTGGACTGATATTTGCAAGACAGATAATCCGCAGGCAAGTAAACAGGACAAAGAAAAAACTTGCAAATCCTTGACAATATTCCAACCTGTTAACAAAGGGTGCTTTCCACTCAACCAAAACATCCACTTTGATTTTTCGTCAACTTCCATTAGCGAATGGAACAGCATTTTCAAAAATTTCCAAAAAAAGCACAACCTCGCAAGGTATACCCAAATTTTCAAAATTTTTCTCCCAGACAGGGTGCAAAGAAAGTCATTTTTACAGCTTGCCATTTAGGCAAACTGAAGCTAACATTTAGTATCCCAAACATCATTTCAACTAGCCCCAAAAACGTATTGATGAGCAGATTGATTTCACAGTTCTTCTGTAATTTGAATTCCTCAAATAACTTTACCTGCCCGTTAGGCAAGTTGATAACACAATTCACTAGCCCAATAACAAAATCCAGAAGCCCCAGGCCATCGGACACTACTTTCTTTGCATGCTACCGGAAGTTTTCTATCAATTAAACTTTACTCTCAGAATTTCTAGAATTTTTGGTTGAAAGGTTTGCATTTCGGAAATTCAGCAGTTTCCGGGATTACTGGAAAATTTTCCAGGAACTTTCTGTACCATTTGCTGCTGTTTCCAAATTTTAGAAAGTTTTGGTTGAATGGAAAGCACTGTCACAATGTCCACTGACATCCACTGAGCGACTGAGAAACTCACAGATAGCAGGGTCAGTTACAAGTCAGTATTCAACTTACCATATTTTGAATAAGGATTTCCTTTGTTCATAGCCCATATTATTTTGTAGGTGAAAAAGAAAATTCTTGTTTAACCTGAGAAGGGATTTTACCTACAACATACACAGACACCAAATCTTACCTGATAACAGCTCGTCTCTCGGCCTGGTTGAAAAATGAAGGAACTGTTATCACCACATCTTTCATTGGATGATCTGGAAAGATGTACAGAGAGTTAAGTTTGCAAGCAACTATTACTTTGCAGACAATAACCCAATAATAACTTGAATGTACATACTAGCCTAACAACCAAAACATAAAGTCAAAAAAATGCTTGTCCTTTTGAAAGATGTGAAAAATGGGGTGAAAATGTATTTTTCTTCTGGTCACTTATTTACATGTCCAGTCAAAATGACTGGCAAACAGGAAGTTTGTCCAGACAAACAGTCATCTTAGCCGGAGATTGTCTTATCATCAGCTGTTATTTCGAACCCTGAACAAAGAAACTTGACTTGCAAGTCTTACCTGCAAACTTTTCAGCGATACCTCTGGAATGATTTAGGATCATGCCAAGAATTTCCTCAGGAGTAAAGGTGGTCTCACTGTCATGCCGGTAAACAACAGTTCCGGTTTCTTTATCTTCTTCAAGATCATACCATGGAAATCTGGCCCGGAAAGCAGATATCAATCATTAACATAGTAATTTAAACACAAACACAGAAAAGGATTGGAAATCTGATCTTAGAAAAGACAATAAACTTTGCCAGACTTCTGTCCTACATTTTTAATTTTGGAACAGTGATATTATTATCTTGCATATTTAATCAAATACTTCAATTCACAAATAAACACACCTTTGTTTATACTGCTGGACCAGTGGATTATTAATCTTTTTACCAAGAAGATCTTGCACAAAAATGTAAGAATTCTTTGGGTACTTAACAGCCTGCAACAAAAAAAGTAAAATAAATAAATAAATAAATAAAGACCGATAAACACTCAATATGATACCAATCATAAGAAATAATCTACATGGAACAGACTTCTGCTGGATTGGAAGATAGTTTTGACAGGATAATTTACAGAAGAACTCAGTTCAATATTCAGTTCTACCATTAAGGAGAAACCAATAATAAAAAATGAATAATCAATCATTATATTTACACTGCACCTGCTAGCAACTTTTATCTTTATCTTGGAAAAACAACTCTTAATAACAATTATTTTTATTAGGAAATGAGTTCACCCCTTCATTCTTAGACAACACTATAGCAAGATTATTTTTTACTCTAACTTAACCCTTTAAGTGGCAATAGTGACCAAGATAAATTTTCTCCTAACAATATCCATACACTGTCAACAGATAGGTTATGAGAATTAATAAAGTGATCACCCAAGAAAAAATACCTTGATCTATTATCAAATTCTCTCAACTCATTCTTTCAGGAAATGTATGCAGATCAGTTTGGAGAATTTGTATGTGGATACTGGGGTTTAACCCTTTAAGCCCCAATATCCACATACAAATTCTCCAAACTGATCTCTATACATTTCCTTCATGGATGGGTTGAGAGAATTTGATAAAAGACAAGAGCGTTGTCTCTCAGATGATCATTTTGTTAATTCTCATAACCTAATCTCTTGACATTGTAAGGATATTTTTAGGAGAAAATTGATGTTGGTCACTACTGGGACTTAAAGGGTTAAAGGATTAAAGACTTGAGAACGATAATCTTATAGTGTTAGCATTGAAATGAAGCCTCTTTAGCAGAACTTTTTATTTAATTCTTAGGATAATACACATAGAGCGATTTTTGCAAGTGTTTCTTCAGCCAATATAAGGATTGAAACAGTTGCTATTATTATACCATTTAGTTAATACATACCACTGTCATGGCACCATCACTAAATAAACGCTCATTATTTTTCATGGAAACTGCAACAGGTGTTTTTCTTCTTGATTCCCTAAAAAATGTGGTTGACTTTATGTGAGAACATCAATCAAAGATATTTATAGAGAATGCCAAATTGACCGTTCTCTCATGCCACTGGCTGCCAAGCAAAACTGACCTCTGTAGCCTGGGCAGGTACAAAGCTTGGGGCAGATCAACTCATATCAGACTATACAGGTATGCAATATTATTTTATGGAATTCCCTGGTATGTAAATGAGTTGATCTAGCTCATGTTTTGTACCTGTCATCACAGCCTGACTTTTATATTGTAAACTCAACATTTCTTCAAAAGGGGAAATTAAATGAATAGCAGGTTTGTATAAAAGATAGATTACCAAATATACAAGTACTAATTTGAACTTTTTGGGTGATGAGTGGCTGGGAAAAAGCCAGAAGTGGCAGACAACAGCAAATACAACTGCCCGCCAAAAGTCACATGATTCATGTGGGTCCCAACGGTGTTTGTGAGAAAAACACAATTGTCACCTTTTTCCTTTACAGTTCTGCTAACATTAATCACTACTACGACTTACTACTAATTTCACAGTGAAAAAACAACTTACTGATTTAGTGCAATTTCCATTGGTACACCAGGCTGAAATTCAAAAACTCCATGTTAATAGAGACCTTAAGATACACCATTTCTGTATGTATGGGTAAGGGTAAATTACCCATACATGTAGCCATAAATATGGGTAGACTGCCTCTTACCCCAGAGAAACAGGTAGGCTACCAGGTAGAACGGTGATGCCATTATCATGGTATCTGTATCTGTACCTGGGAAATCAAGGCGAACTTTTCTATAATTACGTAGCAAACATGTTGAACTACCCACACCCATAGGTAGAAACGGTGTATCTTTAGGTCCCTAATGTATCAGAAAATTAGCCCAAGGTACATGTAACGTTGCAGCAGATTTTGATGCAAAATAAATTTTGCTACCTTTACTATAGCAATTTTCATAAACTGGCTTCCTAGATCCACAGACATAACTGCTAGGCCATCTGCAAGAGACACATTCAAAAATAATTAGATGCCAAACTAATACATTGTAATCACTTTGCATTTATAGTGACAAATTAAAATAGCAATATTTATTCAGAAGGAAAATATCACTGTACTAGTTACTTATTGAACCACTTGGTCATGCCTCATGTTTTAAACCTGATTAAATATTTTCATCAATACCTGAGACAGGTATGGTACCACTTCTAATAGTTTATAATCAAACAAGTACAACAACACAAATATATTTTGAATCTCACCTGAATGAAATACAGCAAAGGAAAGAAATACTACTGTGGCAACACAGAATTGCACCCCTGGTTTTCTTATTATCATGGCTGGCTTCTGTGAACCACACTTACTGGGAAAAAAGGGAAAAAACATTGGATTTGTATATAATGGACTCTTGAATTGTTAAGAAGTCAGCCTAACAGTTTTTCCTTGAGAGCTAAGACCATAAACATCTAGAAAGCTAAATAATTACTTTGTGGGACCAAACGCATACCGGTAGTATACATTTTTGTGTTAAATTCGGACCAGTGCAATGCTCATTAGATGGAATAAATATAATACATGAATAGCATTAAAATAATATTTCAAAAAAACTTGAAAATATTATGTTTGTATATTTTGTGTTTGTGTTTATTTGACATTGTGTGTCTGGGGGACAACAAACTAAGCCATTGCTGTTGTTTTTACCCCAACACTGTTACAAAAAATAGTTTCAGCTACTTTTTGTCTCAACAAAATTTCATGCTTGCATATAAAGGTGGCAATACACATAAAAAGCTGGGCAATTTCAACCTGAATTACAAATAAGTTGACATAATGATCCTGAACATAACATATCTGATGTCAACCTCCATGTCTGTTGTAAACAAACCTTTTTATGTCTACTTCATTTCTACATAAAAATCAGTTTATAGCAGGACAAACCAAATGTTATCAGAATGGTCATAAGTTTCACTACATTCATTGAGACAATAAGAGCCTGTTTACGAGGTGAGCCAGCTGGCTTGGGCCAGCCAAGATCCCGGTTTCTTCAGCCAAGACCTCATCATCTTCGCAAAGACCCAATGTAAATTTTATAAAGAAACAAAGCATGCATGAGCCGAGCCAGCCTGGTAAAGTGGGCCAGCAGCCATTTCTCAAACATCGTGGTGACCTTTCGGGCCCAGAAAGCTGTTTTGTGTTTGCATTTGAGATCAAAGTGTTGATAATTTTGAAAATAATATAATGAAACTATCGGTTAATGAAGCAAAATTGACTGGTTTTGTAGGCTAGGAACTGTGCAGATTTTGGTTTTAACATTTTTTAAGTTGCTGGGTCATTCAAGAAACGGGCCCCAGCCTGCTAATTAACGGGGCTGGCTGACCTAATAAACAGACGCTTAGGAGTAGAATGAGGTTTGCCAGTTATCTCAAAAGGTACCAAAAGCTAAATTCAGACAAAAAAATCTTTTAAGTGAAATCCCCTGGGAAACTGTAATGATTGAAATCGGATCCTTACTGATTTCTGGGTTATGTACAAAACCTACCTTCTTCCATGAGCAGTTTTGAATAGAATAGTGATCAAAGTGAACTTAGAAATTAAGAGTTTCTGAATTCACAGAACTATAAAATTTGTTCTACCTCATCATCGTCGTTAAATTATTATTCACTGATTATTGTACACATTCAGTTCACCTGATTGCGTCACATTTGTCTAAGGGTGAGTGAATATTTTACAGCGCAAATAATCCAATCTTTACGAAGGAAACAGATGAATCCGAAGCTATTAGCTTCAATACTGCCCGCACAAACCACACACTATCAACGTCAAAATTCATTCAGCTAAGGACTGCGCTGCCATCGTCCGGGTTTAGCCGCTAAGATAGCAGAAAATTTACACGCAATGTAGCAATTTCAGCATCAACACATGACCTATTTTAAATATTGGTCCTACCTTGCAGCTGGAAGAAACAAACCTTGCTTCTTGCTTGTTTGATAAACGGAGAAGTTAAATTCAATCTAAAGAGAGTTGAAAAGACCAGAAAATAAAGTTGAAAATGCCGGTGCTTCCATCTGAACGCGGCCAGCGCTGATTGGCTGAGAGAACCGGCGAAGAACATGCGTACTTCCACGGAAGTCCACGTGGCTGAAAATTGCGGGTCCACATTTACGCGACTGATGCAACTTTTTTTCGTGGTTGGATAAGTCATACATATGTTTTTGCTAGCTTTCACATTTTTACTACTCTAATATTTGCAGTGTTGTTACTGAACCGTGTAAATAAATTCGCTTTGCTCCGGAATAATGGTAATTTTCGATGGCGAGAAAACCGGAAGTCAATTTTTTTACTACCGGAAGTCTACATGCTTTTCCTCTGTTCTTGCACTTTACCGAGAATACGGTAACTCTGAATTTTAGAATGTACAATTTTTTTTCTTTATTTCTCCGTACAAGACGAATCAAGGAAAGGTGCTAGTAACGGTCTTTGGACCCCTTTTGTTTTTACCTTATGTTAATGATTTACCGTTTGGGCTTGAATCCAAACCAGATTATTTGCTGATGACTGCCTTATTTATAAATTCATTACCACTAAGGAAAGGCGCGGAAAAGAAAGGTCAGATCTACTGCAGATATGGACAAACTCCAATCTGACCTAAAGAAACTAAAACTATGGCAGAACACCTGGCAGATGGAATTCAACCCTGAGAAATGTTTCCTTCCAAGGAGAGAAATCCACCTTTACGAGAAAATGCTTTCAGTAACACTACCTTACAGTATGTTGAAAAGCACCCCTGTTTGGGAGTCACCCAAGATGTAAATCTGAGATGGAATCACCATCTTCATGATTTATCCTCTAAAGCTACCAAGACCTTAATTCTGATCAAAAGAAACTTCTGGTTTTGCGATGAGGATACCAAATGTCTCCTGTATAAGACTCTTGTTCGACCCAAATTGGAGTGTGCATCAATGGGACCTGCACTATGATGTGATGTAAATAAACCGGAAAATATTCATAGGGCATGCAGCTACTCGTTTATGTAAAGGGGATTATAAATATTCTTCAAGTGTAACTTCTATGATAAAAGATCTGGAATGGAAACCCCTGGCCTCTCGCCGCATGAAAACAAGCCTCATGATTATGCATGCACAATGTACAAAATTTCAAATGACATCATTTATGTAAATGAGTCTAAGTACTTGACTCCAGCAACAAAAACTCAGACTCGTGGATCTCATGGTTTTAAATATTTTGTTGAACATACAAGTACCGATGTATTTAAATACTTCTATTTTCCTAGAACAGTAAGGGGATGGAATAGCCTTCCTTCTGATATTGTATCTGCCAAATCTTTAGATATTTTTAAGAGTATGTTAAGCTATTACTTACGAGGAGATTACTATGAGGTGACCCTCCTCCAGTATTTATTTATATTTATATTTATATTCATATTTTATTATATTTCTTATTTTTTGCTAAATTTTATATCTTTTTTTTCTTAATTTAAAGTTAGTGTGATAACTGTATATAGTTTCTGCTGACTGCTAAATGTGGATGTAGATGTAGATATATGACATAAATGTGAGCCAGTGAGGTTCCTGATCGCGTGCAATACCTGAGTTTCAATATTTTCTTAAAATTATAATTTTCTTTCGTAAGAAAATACGTTTTTGAGAAACAAAAATAGGAAACTTTAGTACAGTGGAACCCCGCTCTACGGACACTCATTTAATACGGAAACCCGCAGTATGTAATGGACAGTTTCGTTTGTCCCGCCACTGAAAAATCTCATATGATTTTCTCTGAAAAGTAACACGTTTATTAGAGACACAAACACAATGGCATGTCCCCTTCAATGTCTGCCTTAGAGTCCCTATCAACTGCCTAGTTTTAGAACTTGATCACTACAATAACAACTCTTATGAAAGATAAATCCTTGCCATGACGATCAGAAGGTTTGCCTTTTTATCGTTCATCTGAGCAATACCCCTGCAGCAGAAACCAAAAATAAAAACGTATTGTATTTATAGAAAAATGGATGGCAATAAGACGACTTTATTAATCTCAATATTTTCTCCTTTCGACCTGAGACACACCAAGAAGGGAATTTGAAGGTTTTGATACTTTCATGTTGTGGTTTCGGTCTTTTCTTTCGAAGGGGAAGTTCGAGAAACTACCAAAGAAAGATCGAAACCTGTCATTTTCCACGTTAAAGGGCCGAAACATAAACCTGTATTTACTTTCTTATCTTTCCGCAGCAGTGTGTATTTGATATTGTTCGAAATATACAAAACACACCAAAGAACTGCAGTCACATTGTCGGCAAAAACCAATGGTACGTTTAAAAAGCTATGGTTTTTTATAGCGTGGCATTTTTAGTCTTATTTCTCTTCACTGGTCTTTAGTACAGTTTGTTCTTTTTCAGTTAATTAAACCTGTTCCACTTTCAGCAACAGAGATTTTCTAATTTTCAATGTCGCATCACTGTGTCGAATGCCGCGCATGTGGATTGAATCAAAGACATACCAATACTGTTCATTTTGAAAAGTACAGTAAAAGTACTATTCCCGGCTAAGAAGTACATTGATCATGATATAATTGTGGCGAGGAAAAACGAAAATTCGTTTTAAACTGGTTTCGTGAAATGAGCCGATAAGTTTTCAAGGAACATTAGTGTCAATAGAAGATCATAGAACTCGGTTCTTGGATAAAACCTGGTCTTCCTAATGGCTGAATTCGTTTAAGACGTTGGTAACTTCCTTGTCAAGCAAAGTTACATTATTTGAGAGGGATGCTTATAATATCCTGCGACAAGAGAACACATAAATGTTCTCTTGCCCGGCTCACTCCTCGCCACTATTGGGACTATGAGGGGTGAGGAGAGGGGAGGAGAGAGGGCTGTTTTCTCAGGCTACGTTTGTGATTAATCTTACTTACGGTAAATTGGCTTTGCAAAATAGTCTGCAAAACCTTTCTCGCAGTGAAATATTTTCTTTTTGCTAGGCTTTTGGTCGTATAATGAAGATTGTTGTTCTCCTGTTGTTCTTTTCCTGTGCCGTTTTGGACCTTACACAAGCTCAAACGTTTATTGGTAAGTACAATATTTATGTCGATTAAATCAAAACCAATTTTCGGCTAACTAATAGCTGGACAAACGACTATAATTATTCCTGTTCTCCCGTTCCCCTGTTTCCCTTTTCCTCTTGTTACCCCTGTTCCCTCTTTCCTCCTTGTTGCCCTGTTTTCCTGTTCCCCTCTCCCCCCTGTTCCCCCTGTTCCACCTGTTCCCCTGTTCCCCTTGTTCCCCTTTCCCCCTGTTCCCCCTTTCCTCATGTCCCCCTTGTTCCCTTGTTTCGAGGTCTTCCTGTTCCTCCTTACCCCCCGCTTCCCTGTTTTTCTGTTTCTTCTGTTCCCCTGTTTCCTCTGTTCCCCTGTTTCCTCTGTTCCCCCCTTTTTCCTCTTTTCCCCTTTCCCCCTGTTTCCCCCGTCCCCATGTTTTTGGTTCCCCTTTTCTCCTGTTTCCTCTGTTTCCTCTGTTCCCCCGTTCCCCTTTTCTCCTGTTCCCTCTGTTGCCCTGTTGCTCTGTTCCTCCTGTTCGTTTGTTTTCTTGTTCCCCTTTCCTCCTGTTTCCTTGCTCCCCCTTTCCCCCTGTTTCCTTGCTCCCCCTAATCCCTTATTCCCCTGTACCCCCTTTCCCCTGTTTCCTGTTCTCTTGTTTGCCTGTTCCCATGTTTCCCTTGTTCTCCTTACTCCCCTTGTTCCCCCTGGTTCCCTGTTCTCCTTTTCCCCTATTCCCCTGTTACCGACAAGGCAAATATTGCCCCGTATGACCAAAGCAAAAATAGCGCAGCTTGGATGCTTTCGTAGAGCCCTTAAAACGCCAAAAAAATAAACACTTTAGAAAGGCTAAAGGGTTCCTAAAACATTTTAGTAAAAACATTCATGGAAAATAGGTCTAGTTTAGTGTAGTAATCATGGGCTTTGTTAGTATTTCTACTGAAGATACTTCATAGATACGTCTAAATTGTTATTAGAAATAATTATGTAGTTGTATTTTATATTGTACCGGCCTCATGAATTTTTACCGTCTTAAAACAAAGATTTGATTGATGGATGGACTTGATTCATTGTAAAATAAATGCTATATTTTGGTTGACAGGTAAATGTTGGAAAACGTGGAGTCGTTGCACCCAATGGAGCAGCTTTGCAACTGGAACACTGTGGCAGTCGTGCAACACAAGGTAAATACGCAGGTTTGCTGCATCTTCGCCACCGGCGCCTGCTCCAGACATAAGCATGAATAACCCGAAATTGTAATATTTCGTTAAAATAAAAGAGCGAGTAAAACACATGGTTAGAACGAAAGGATTGCTAGTCACTTGCTCATCGAAAAAAATCAGTTTTGAAATAGACCAGTTTTGGTAATGCTGACTGCTGAGTGTTAAAACCTTCTTGCTAGTCTCGCTATTTTATTCACTGATTCACTAATAAAACCTAAACAGCATCCTAATGGAATAGACAGAAAACAGGAGCCTTATTCAAGGCCTCTACTTGTTGCTAATAATGTTCAACAAAAAATTTCCTATTGAAAGACAACACTCGCAGACTTGAAACTGCAGCTACTCCCCACTTCAGTAGCCTGCGAACAGCAGACGTATTTCCGGTCGTCAGGGAGAGAGGCGACGACCGGAAATGCGTCTGCTGTTCGCAGGCTAGAAAATGATTGCAAGCTTTGGGCGCAGTGATCTCTGGGATCGTTTGGATGGTATTCAAGGCAAACTTTAACCTTTAACCAGTCGTTCACCCAAACGAACCCAGAAATCGTTGTGCTGAAGCATTCCCCTGTAAGTTTCTGGACTGGGGGACTGGGGAATACAAGTGTGCGTTCCGTGTGCTTCATTTCCCTCACGTGATCATGTACGCCCATCAAGTCTCTTTTCCATCGTTACATGTAATCACATTGAGGGTTGTGCGAAGTCTGCCATCTTTGAGACCAAAAGAAAAAAGGCCAGAGAGCTGATAGTCTGCTGCACAGCCGTTTTTAGTGGCATCACGCAACGCTCCTCCCCATCGGGGACCCAGGCATTAGCGGCCTTTTTTAGTGGCGTCAAGCAAGGCTCCTTCCCACTGGGGAGGAGCGTTGCGTGATGACACTAAAAACGGCTGTGTAGCAGACTAGAGAGCTGACTACAAGGAGAAGTTGACTCAGTCATTTAATATTTGTCGTAGGTGCAAATGCCTGGGTCGAGGTTATGGGAAGTGTGTCGAGACGAGAAGTCAATGCCCATTTAGCCGCTATGCATGGCAGTGTCGCTGTTATGGTTCCTATGGCAACCTTAAAGGATCGTGGTGTGGGCTGTAATACCTACATCCAAGACAAACCAAGCTTTAGCGTGTAACAGGCGATCGGTGCTTGATAAAACTTAAAATAAGCGACTTAGTAGCTTAAGGACGCAGATAACTGTAAGGAAAATCAGGTTGAATTGTTCCAATAAACAGAAATAAATACTCAAGAGTTGATTAAGTATTAAGAGAAAGGTGACTTCGTAACGATGACTGGATTCACTGAAAAGACGTACAACCCAACCCCAGTAACATGAACTGGCCTAACTCCTGTTTTTTTTTTTTGGATAAGAACAGACTGGACAAGGATTTGTTCTAGAATGCATAGCCTGTTCTAGTCGGTTTCGTCACTAATCCTCTCTCACTTAAAAAAATAAAAAGCGACTGACACCAGTCTTAGACCGTGGGAAGGTCGAGTCACAGGAAGGTAAGCGATGCAATAAGTGCTTTGTCGCGGGCAATCGTGGTGGCGAGTAAGGCAAGCATCCTTCAGATGGAATGTGCAGCTCGCGCGCGGTCGTGTCTCGAGAGTTTCACTCGGCGAACTAAGAAAAAGAGAGACTGCTTTAAGTCTAGTACATTAAAAGTCAAACCCGTTTATGTCAGTCATCATAAACACCCACAAATGAGCAGACTTTCCTCAACTTATAAAACATTTATTGCTTGTCAATACTTGAACCATAACGTTAATCGAGGTACTCGTTTCCCAAAGTCCGTGAAAAACGGTGTTAACAATATAAAGATTTAGTGTACTCTCGTCTTATAAATATTATAAATTTGAATAATATTATCTATGAAAAAATGGAATAAAAACTCTCTAGAGAAACGGAAGGTAACGAACAATTAGTGGCGGATTTGTAATCATTATTTGATATCTCTCAGGACTTAATAATGAGCACTCTTGTCACTTATTTACAACGTGTTTCTAGATTACTTCTTTATAAACAAAACAGTCAGATAAATGAAAAGCAAGTCTTGATTATGTCAAGTAATAAAATATTTTTGTACTTATCATTATGACGATCATCATCATCATCATCATCATCATCGACATCATCATCGTCATCACCACCACCACTGTCATCATGATCATCATCATCACCATCATTTCATCATCATCGTCGTCACCACCACCACTACCACCACTATCATCATCATCATCATCATCATCACTTTCATCATCATCGTCATCGTCATCACCACCATCATCATCATCATCATCACCATCATTTCATCATCATCGTCATCACCACCACCACTACCACCACTATCATCATCATCATCATCACTTTCATCATCATCGTCATCGCCACCACCACCACCACTATCATCATCATCATCACCATCATCATTTTCATCATCATCGTCATCACCACCACCACTACCACCACTATCATCATCATCATCATCATCATCTTCATCGTCATCACCACCACCACTACCACCACTATCATCATCATCATCATCATCATTTTCATCGTCATCGTCATCACCACCACCACTACCACCACTATCATCATCATCATCATCACCATCATCATCATCATCAACATCGTCATCATCATCAACACTACCACTATCATCATCATCACTTTCATCATCGTCGTCATCGTCATCACCACCACCACTACCACCACTATCATCATCATCATCATCATCATCACCATCATCATCATCATCATCATCAACACTACCACTATGATCATCATCATCTTCATGAAACCATAAGTCAAGGAAACTTAAAACTTCATACTAAAATAAAAACACTACCATTAGAAAGTAACGTTCTACAGATTGTGAATGTCACAAGTCGTTAAATATATGCTTCAGTAATTTTGTAAAAGCCCTTCAAGAAACCTCTATTTGAATAGTCACAACAAACTAGTTTCATGTATTCACAGATATGTCTAGAGGCCAAAAAGTTAATAAATATGAAAAATTAAATCAAGACTTCATGAAATGACAGAAAGGTCCTGAAATGCACTGTTAGCCATTAATATTTAAAGAATTAATCCGGGATGTTATGCCTCGTCCTCCTCCCTGCCAGGCTAGCTGCTGCTGCCAAGCAGGTGGGGGCATAGGGGCGTGTCCTGGGGCGGGGGGATTCATCGCTCCAGCATAGACTTTTGGTTTGGTGACAGGGGCTCTTAATGCCCCTCGTCCACCAGGGAGTGGCTGTTGTCCTGCCCTTGCCCATGCTGGAATGCTGTCTGTGGAAGGTGGTGCATTTTCAGAGGCAGCGATGCTGCTCCAAGATGGATCTGTGGATAAAAAAAATGCAATGAAGTTGAGGTAAAAAAGCAAGCATTACTACCGTTACTTAAAGAAATAACAACTCTGAATTAATTTATACATTTCTTTAAGCAGCCATTCCTGTAAGGAAATGCAGACACTGGTGACTGGGTGGGGGGATTAGTCTCTGTTTTGTTCTCAAGGTTCCACCGCAATAAACAAAACTATTGCATCATCTCTATATTCATAGCTCAGTATGTTTCAAACATTTCTCACCATGTTTTAAGTAGAACAAACCCATATTTAGCAGAAAGCTCTATTAAGCAGGCACTGGTGAAGCTTCAACTACTTCAATGGTGACCGAACATGCCTGCTGTTGTCTCACCTTGACTGGCAGCAGCAGCAGCAGCAGCAGTACCTCTTGCCATGCCAGGAAGATTTGGTCTCCGAAGAGGCTGACTGGATTGAAGACCCCGCCCTCTTCCACGTCCCCTACCCATGTTAAGTCCTGATGATGGTGGTGGAGGCCGAGAAGCTTGTGGTTGGAAGTTCCAAGCAGCAGCTGCTGCCTGTGGTGGTGGATGTCTACCATATTTTCTGTTATCATCATCATCATCGTCATCATCATAGAGACTCTGTTCATCATATGTGGGTCCCGAACGAGTGTAGGTCCCTGTTGAGCATTCCATGGAAATTGAAAAATACTGTAAAATTTCGAAAATAAGCCCCTTCATGTATAAGCCTTTCCAAATATAAGCCCCCCAAACTCGTTATGCAAAAAACCCTCCGTTAAATCGCCCCTCCAAATATAAGCCCCCCAGGGGGCTTGTACTTGAAAACTGCCCTCAAATACAAAGTAAAACAAAGCGAAAACGGTAAATTTACTTCCAACTATAAGGCTAGCCCAATCGTTTTTGAAACGCAAATTTCCCTCCATAGATAAGCCCCTCCGAAATATTATATACGCCCCTCCAAAAATAAGCCCGTCAAAAAGGGCCTTTGAAAAATATAAGCCCCTGGGCTTATTTCTGGAATTTTACCGTATAACAAGATAAATAAGTAGGCTAAGCATGATCATCTGGGGGAATCTAGTCCCCAACTGGACCATTGTTGACAGTGACTGATAGTTGACTGACATTTTGTCATGAAATGACTACTGGGTTCAAACCTTTCACAATAAGGTAAATAGTATAAATTTATTAGTTGTAACATAATTTTCTTTTGTCAAATTGATCCAAACATGCAGTCTATACGAATACAGAAACCCCTTCAAATGTTCAGGTTCTGTCCTACACATTTTTTTAAACAACACCAGAAAAATGAGGCTCAAAATGTAATTAAGCAATAGACCACACTTTCTATGGGTTTACCGGCTTGATACCCACGCAGGATGTTGGGAGAACACTCGAAAAGCTTGTAAATCAATCGCACAAGCTTTTCGAGTGTTCTCCCAACATCCCAAGAGGGTTATCACGCCGGTAAACCCATAGAAAGTGTGGTCTATGGCTTTTATAAAATAACTTTAAGTTTTCTATGAGTTTACTGGCACAATAAACCACCGGTTTTTAACCAGTCAGAATGCACGCACCATCTTAGTTATTTTATAATCTAGCGTATACACCTAAGCTGCTGTCTTGGAAGGGAAGCAACACAAAAAAGTTGGTTTGATCATCTGAGTTAATAAAACCAACTTTTTGACTTGTTTCTGTAAGATGCAAGGCAAGGCACTGTTACATTAGTTCTGCCATTAACAGAATAGAGTTTCTATATTATAAACGTGCTATGCTGGACTGACTCTTGTTGCTCAGAAATCCTGAATAATAATAGTAATCAGTCTTGTGTACCTTGATTGCTGGCACCTCCATTAGAATAGCGATAATCCCTTGAGGCAAAAGGTCCATTATCTTCCACTGGCCGTCTCCCACCTCTTGGTCGGGTATCCTGTTGTGACAACCTGCTGTTTTCCGGTGCATTAACCACAGCACAGAAGTCTCCCTCTGGTCTCTCTGGCAGGTGATTTGGTGTTAGTTGTATTCCGTAAACCGAACATAAGAAATCAGACATACAGTAGCTGGGAAGAGAAATGCATTGAACGGTTTGAAAATAATATTACACAAACAAAGGCTTGGATGTGATCATTTAACCCTTAAGTTCCAGGGATGACTGAAATCAATTTTCTCCCAACAATATCCATGTAACAAAATGCTTTGATCCACCTTTAAATTCTTCTTCAACTTATTCTTTAACCCTTTCACCCCAGGAAATTTTGCCTAAAACGTGTTTTGAAGCTAAACTGGTTGAACAGTTTGCAGTCTTCTGACCCAGATGAAAAATATTAGCTTTTGAAGTTCAGGTATGTGCCGAAAGCAAAATTATGTGCTCTTCCAGGGCGAGCAGATGGGTTAAGGAAATGTATGGGCATCACTCTGGGGTATTATTTTATACGTATACCAGAAAAAAAACAAAAACTTTTTTCTCACCAGTAACGCTGAACGGTTCCCAATGCACAGAATTTAACCTCATGTTTCTCATGCCAATCACATCTGAAAAAAAAAGAAAATGATCTTACGGGAAAATAGAGGACTGTGAACAGTCTACAACCTTCCAAGATGACAACGTGCTTGGGGACTGGGTCAGTTGGTGTCACATCAGAAATGGTTGAACTATCTGGTGGGTTTGTCATTTTGTTATTGTGTGTTATAGTATTATTTTTTTTTAGTAAAAAGCAAAAGCCTTGTCACAGGCACTTGTTTTTAGTGATGACCAACCAATCCCAAGTACTTAGAAACAATCTTGAGCAAACATGCTTTGAAACAAGACAATACTCTGTTATATAACTTCCATCTGTACATTTATAGTTTTCTGTGTCCTGTAAAATTAAAAAAAAACCGAAAGACAAAATTGTATAGTGTGACCACAAAATAAGATTAGGATTTAGATTAGAATTTTTGGTGTTGGCGACCATTAACACAGAATGATTCGTCACATACCGTGAATTCGGTTCATAATCAAAAATGGTACTGGATATGAGCTCTGTTGCCTTGGATTTCGATATCCCCATCATACTTCCTGACTCAGCAGTGAAGTGGGCGTGTAGATCACACACCAAACCTTCCAGCTCATACACCTTCTTCAGTTTATTGGGCATCTCTATAATCAGAATCAGTTGTAACAATATCCTCAAGAATCATGTTACTTAAACATGTGCTGACTCTAAGTATGTTGTCTAGTTTCAATTAATTCCTGTACTCTAATGAGCTGTGCACAAAATTAATATGTACAAGTAAAATTAGCTAGCTAGCTTTACTTTTAGAGGTCTTCAATATTTCCTCTTAGACTTTTCTAGCTTTTTTTTCCACATCAAACGAGCTACCACTTTCATCGAAGATGTAACATGATTATTGGTGCATGTCAAGGCAAACAAGTGACTGTTCTCTACCTTAATAGAGTGATATATGCCTCCCATGGCAAAGCCATTATTATTATTAACAGCTATCAGAATGGGGCATCTTCTAAACAGATCTGTGAGTGAACTGTTTCCTGAACTTTTTATAATTGGGCTTGATTTTACAGATCTACTTAAAGAGGAATCAGGCTGTATGACACAAATATAAAAAGACTGTCTTATGACGTATGATGCACATTTAAGATGGCTTTTTCTCTCAACCTACCTGCCTTTCTTGCCAAATAATGCAGACAGTACTCTGTCTGCTTCGTTTCTGAAATCTAAGAGGAACACACACAAAAGTTTATTAGTTATGAAGAAAAGCAAAATGTACCAGTAACAATGCCCTCTTAGGGGGTTTACATACGTTCTTAGTCTGACATACTTGTTGTTTGTGTATTGAGGAGGAAACGATGTCGCTGTCAGTATTATGCTATTGTATTTGTGCTTTTCTCCATCCCTGTCGGTATTTAACCCATCGTCATGTCGTTTGTGGTTATTTCCGATGTCCTATGTTGCTGTTTCAGGGCCATGTCGCTTGTCAGAATTTTTAACCCTAACAGGGGCTCAGAAATTTAACCCTTTTGTTGCTAAAACAAGTCAAAAGCAAATTTCAACCAAATATCCAAATTTCACAGGCAGAGAGGTTTGATTTGAACGATCACATCTTAGGATTTCGTCCATAGACTCAAAAGTTAGAGACGCCTTAAAAATCAAGAACACTGGCAGTGACAGGGTTAACCGAGATCAGGCTCTATTTTCGTTTTGCTTTTTAAATACAACTCTGGCGGGAAAGGTAAAACAAAAATTTTACATGTTCATCAGCTTACCCGGCAGTACACAGGAGGGAAAATGGCTGTTTGTTCTGGATTAACAAATCGTAAGAGTTCAAGCCAGATCTTCCGAAAGGTGTCTTCCTTCTTTGCCAAACCCTCAATGGGTATTTGGTGGGTCCTTTCACCTAACAAACAGAAAATGTCAAATTACCACTGAAGTCCTAGACCCTCATTGCATACAATGCTCCTGACAAGCTACAGTAACAACATGTGTACGTATGAGGGTAGACTTCTTTACTCTAGTCTCCCTTAATATTTTTCCCTTGTCAATTTTTCACTGGTGTTTAACTATCTGAATGCCTGGAATGGGTCACTAGAATTTGGTGTCACATTTTTCCCCTACATACCTTAAATGACCAATTATCAACTGGGAGAGGGATACTGAACTGCAATAAATTTTGGATAGGTGTGTGCTGGCCAGGGTCTTTAATCTTGACCCTATTTCAAGATGAGACAAACAAAAGCTGATACTGTATTTAAGGCCAGAACCTAAAAAATGACACCCAGTTTAAGGGAAAGAGAAGACCTGAAATTTCAATGAAACACAAAAATCCACCAGCCTAAAGGTAAAGTTGAGTTTTAACAGATGATTTGTTTCTCATGTAGCTAGGCATTCAAGAACTTGAATTTTATATTTAGCTGGTATCATAATGGTACCCCATCTAGGGATCACATCAGGAACACAATGCCAACAAGGGCAAAATTGATACCCCTATTTAAGAATGGAGAACCTCAGAAACCATGCACCCCATTGCGCAGCATATACCTATCTAGCCTATCTGTGGGGGTACCCCTGGGGCTTACCGCTGTTTCCAAAGTGGCAACTGTGGCAAAGTTTGACTCCTCAGCACTGTGATAGTTTCTGAATAGAATTATACTATAGGACTTACTTGTACTCATGGCTGCATATCGTAAACCCATTTTTATTTCCCCTACAGGAGATAATGGAAAAAGAAATTAGTCTTTCAAATAAATATCTAGTACGGTTTATGCAGTACCACAAGTTAAATAAAGAATAATAGTGTGGTGCAAATTAAGAAATGAAAAATAATGACTTTATAAGTTTATTCTCAAATTTAACCTAATGTTGCCTCCTTGTATGACAAAAGCTTGGCGAAAAGAAAGTGGAATCACTTCCTTTAGTTGCTAAAGACAATAATACAAAAAACGATTTTGGGTCTTTTAGCTTTCTCAGTTAATTTTGGTGATATGTAGCACAGTTCTACCATTTCAGGATGGTATCAATTTACTTCAACAACCTGCTTTTATTATTATTTTAATTAAGGTTTGAGTTAAAAAAAAGCCAAGCTAATCTGCTTGTACAAAGAAAAAAAACCCTGAAAGTCTATTGGTACAGATAAGCAATAATTCGAAAAAATCATCATCATCATTATCATCATCATCAGCATCGTCATCATCATCCTGACTGAGACTTGACTGGACTTCTGGGGAAGACCCTGTGTTTTATCAAATAATAATAATAATAATAATAACAACAACTAACCTGGTGGCAGAAAGAAATGTAGCCTGCGTAGGATGCCTCCATTAAGAGAATATTCCACAGCACCAAGCTCGCATGGAAGGTAGCCTTCATTGGGAATATCATAATAAGACATGAACCCAACCATGTAGAATTTCTCATCACAGACAGCTGTAAAAGATGGACAAGCTCCAGATTAAACACGTTGTTATAGCCTGAGGCAGGGAGGTACACCGTTATATAAGCCATATAGGTATGCGCCACCCCAAAGGGTAGGGTTTTTGCACTGTTTTGGTCTGAAAATGGGTATACATTTTGCTCATTTTGGTCTGGAACTAGGAATGGTTTTTGAGAGATCTATGGGAGTGTATAAGTGTGTCTGTTGTTTCAGTTCCAAATGAATATTGAGAAAGAAAGAGTAATATATGAATTCGAAGAGGATTATTTGGCATTCTGATCTTAGGAATAATGACATAATGTCTTAGATACCGAGTCTGAAAATGGGTATGGATTTTAGGGGCCTTGTCTGAACATGGGTGTGGAAAATGACATTGTTTGGTCTGAAATAGGGTCAGGATTTGAAGAACTGGGTAGTACACCCCTACCAAGAATTCCTAGGAGTACCCCCTTCCCTGGGTATTATAGTTATCCCCTATGAGGTAAGGTATGATATTCTTACACAATGACAGGGATGTAGCAAAGGAAAAGCTAAGCAGGCTTTTTGTTAGTCAAGCCAGTCTTTTCACTCAACTGCACCTTCAAAGAAGCCCCATGTTTTTTCTTTCCCGGGGCCATGTCGTATATCAGAAATTAACCCTAACAAGGCCTCATTCGCACATTAACCCTAAGCCCTAAGAGTGATCAACATCAAATTTCACCTTGTAATGACAATGCTTTGTAAAACAGAGTGGTCATGAGAATTATGGACATGATCACAAAAATGAATTTGCTTTATATTTCATCAACTTCTCCCCAGGGGCAACAAAAGAGAATTCAAATTTTGATCTTAGGGTTTAAAGGGTTTACAATGTTAGGAGTATTACACAGCCAATCAATATCTTATGTTTTTATGTACATGAAAACTCGAAAGAAGACACACTACCTCTCCCAGGAGTCCACTGCCGCTTTACTTCTTCACGTTCTTCCTTGCGCCGCTTGTCATTAAGACTCACAGTATCTACACGTTTCTGGAATGACAATTCAACAAAAAAATTTAAAATTATTAATAATACTTTACTTCACTCTCAAGGTGAAATGTCTGGAACATTAATATTATTATGCCTGATTAATGGCTAGATTATCCTTCCATTTCTACTGTATGCACTTTTGAATCAAAGGAAGAATTTGATATTAGATCAGGAGTCACTAAGGGCCTAATTACGAATCTAGCAACCAGAACATATGGTTTGATAAAATTAAATATCATCACTACCGTTCCCTTCAAAGACTAAATAAATGGGGCAGGAGAAGTTTTTGCAGGGACCCTTATAAATTCAATTAAACTTGGTAATTAATAGGACCTAGGCTTTCAGAAGGTTTATATGTATTTGAGTGGTCCAAAATTTCCAGCCTGAAAGAGAATGAATTCTAGATATAGGCTATCCAATAAATTATTATTTTTCAAATTTTCCTTTTTTTGTTTTGTGTCAGCGCTAGAGCAGAAAGCTGAGTTTCAGGCTATCCAATAAATTACTGTTTTTCAAATTTTCACTTTTTTGTTTTTGTCATTATCTTAAACACATGTCACAAAAAATGGAAAATAACAATGAAACTAAGGATAAAGTTAACTATCAACTTATGTCTGTCCAAATTTTGCCCATAATGCAGGTGGAGAGGTTGTTTTGTTTACTCTAATCCTCAATTCTTCAAGTACAACCATTCTGGTGTTTCTTGGTGTTGCAGAAACCATCGTTGGTTCACTTTTGTTTTGAGACGTGGGTATTGTTAACAGGTTTTGTACCCTTTTTTGAACAAAAAATTCAAGGACTTTTAAGGACACATTTCCCATTTTTCAAGGACTCCATTCAGCTGTGCAAAAAAGAGTCTTGAGTCTATGGCTTTTTTCAGTTCTTCCACAACATGAGCAATTTAATCCTGAAGGTCTTTCTATGTTTGCTCTTGTCAGGCACTTGAGAATTCCGGTCGGATAAAGTTAGCACCAAAATTCAAGGACTTTCTAGGCCTTCATTTTTCTAAAATTCAAGGACTTTCAATGACTTTCAAGGTGTGTGCGACCCCTGTGTTGAGTGTTTTTTCAATCTTTGTATTGTGTCATTAATTGGTGACTGCACCCACCCACAACACCAAGAAAGTACAAACCATTCTGATAAATGTTCTGCGACTGCACTTACACATTTGCCCGGGAGGAGGGGGGGGGGGTACTGCCATATATGGGCTATATAGGTATGTGCTGCTGTGAAGGGTATGGCTTTCAAGCAGTTTACTCTAGGATAGGGTATATAAATCAGAGCGTTTGGGTCTAGAATAGGGTATCATTTTTCAGAAAACTGATCAGTTGGTTGAAGATTTTATCTAGACTAGGGAAACAGCTACTCTAGGATAGGGGGATTTTGGGGAGTTTACTCTAGTATAGGGTAGCAAAATTCAGCTGAACTACCTCTGGTTTAGGTTAAGAGTTCCAGGGTCTAAGCGGCACATCCCCATCCAGAAATTCCTAAAGTACCCCCCCCCTCCCCCGGGCACATTTGTTTTTCACTACTCCACAAAATATGATTGTTTTATTTTAAAATTCTGATTTAGGATCTGATCTATGAATATTAAAGTGAAAATGATGAGCGATGTAGGCTGTGCTGTATTAACATACTGAAATATATTCTCCAGTGCAGTCCATCCGGTCATTTCTCACTGGATGATACTTCTTATTTGCTTTTTCCTGGCGTGCCATTTCCTGGTAGACTTCTTTTTCATGCTCTGGTAATTCCTGAAAACATTTCATTAAAGGGAACCTCCACTTCAACAAAAAGATAACTTTAAATCACAGGAAATAAATGTTACAGTCAAGTCAATCTAAAATATTTTTAAAGAAAGCGTTTGTATCCGAAAGAAATAACTTTTAGATTCGCCTATTTTTGTTTTCAAATTTTGCGGGCGTTGCCATCTTGAATAATTGTGATGTGTAATGGTTGCCCTATTGTTATTAAACAAAAGCTCTTTGTGTCAGAACAACAGAGCAACCATTACACGTCACAATTAGTCAAGATGGCGGCGCCCGCGAAATTTGAAAGTGAAAATAAGCGATTTTAAAATTCACTTTTCCTGATATAAACACTTTTTTTAAGACAAATTTCGAACAAATTTGTTTATCGACATAATTTTATTCGATTTAAACTTATTCTGTAGTAAGAGTGGAGGTTCCCTTTAAAAAAAGCAGTATTAGTAATTGACTGAGCACAAAAGAGTAAATATAAAAAAAAAAACTGTATTATTTTATGAAATTATTGAAGTAGAAAGCACAATCACCAGAAAGCTTCCGTGGCTTCACTCAAGGGCATAACAAATTGGTGAACACATGTCGATTGTTTGCTCATCTGCAACTCAAAGCTGTGAAAAAAGCTCTGAAACAATGGTTGCAGTTAAGTTTGTACCAAAATGTCCTCGATTCCAGGTAGCCCTAGAATAGTTAAAGAAAAAAGCACTTCTGCCGGATTCACAAACTTATTTTCTTTAGTGAAAAGACCAATGTGTCACGGAACGACCGAACGGAAATTGAAAACAAAGGTTCTTGTTTTTCAAGATGGCCCCTTCCTGTGATATTCTTCTCGTTCTGAAAAAGAAATACTTACTACTTTGAGAATAGAAGAGGGCAGATATACTGGGGTAAATTTGAAATAACAGCATATGGTTATAGTCCATATTTTATCATAAACTCTCTTTGTAAAGTTAAGGTTGAAATATAAAAAATTTCAATGACCTCACGTAGCCTCGAGAAAAGAATGTTGTAAACACAATACCTTCCATCGAGGGCCAGCAATTTCTGCTAAAGATTGCATCCCATTTTCTAAAACAACACCTTGCCTTTCAAGCTGGGGTTTAAGAGATACCATAAAAAAGTAAAAAGCATTTCTGGCAGCGTTATTTTTCTTCTTATTCGGCATTTTGTTCCGCGATACACACGTTCTTCTTGCTATCGTGTTATTTCGAAGGCCGGTCCGAGGTCCTCTTGCACCAAGAGGTCACGTGACCAATGCTTCCTCTATTAAACAATGAGTTGGAATCTTGATGCCAAAAATTGACAGAGCACGTAAAAATTATCTTACACCCGAAATTTGAGAGGAAACACATTTAAGGGAGATATTTTGTGGCCCTTTGATTTTTCAACAAAGTAGTATGATTGGCCGCCATGTTGCATACTGTTGCCCTCCAACATGACAGCCAAAACTACTTTTTGCTTATATGATATGACCCTCTAACCGTTTTTCGAAGGCAAAATCATATAACTTTCATTTTCATAAAAACAATGTCACATGTCCCCTCTAGGTGCAATTGGCCTATAGGAAAATATTCCAAAAAATCAAGCCTTAATATATTTTTTATTGTTTTCAAGATGCGTTACATCAACTAATCAAAAGTGCTTACTTCTGGTTCTGAATTCTAACAATTATGGTTATCTAATGTACAAATTCTACTGAGTTGTGATCAAAGAAAGGAACAGTGAGATTTTATCTTTGGTTTATAATTTGTTTGTCCACCGGAGTTGAAGCACAGATAAAAGCAGTTAGAAAATGTTAGAGAAAGGATTGAATCCAATTATCAAACTTTCTCTTGGTTTGAAAGTATTGCAAAACCAGTTTTAGTTATTTTTTAAGTTTTTGTTATTTCTTTTTAAAAATTTCCCTGTGTGGATTTCCATAACTTATCTATGCAAAAGGAAAATGAAAATGCAACTAGTTTAAAGATTTCCAACCAAGGAAAAATTTAAACCTCAAGTTAACAATATTTTAAAGGTCAGAACACATCAGGTTACATCTTGCAGCAACATGTTGCAGCAACATGTCGCTTTGTGTGTATTAGCCTGTTCACAGACCCTCTATTTTCTCTTCAAAGTCTGTCGAGCACACATGATAGAAAACAAAAACACTGGGGGATTTATTGACCACTCCACACTCATTCTTACACGTTGTGTGTTCTTAGAGAGAAAAAAGAACAAAAAGAAAAATAGAACAACGTCCATGTACTGTCAGGCTGTGTGTGTATGAGAGAATTTTTGTCTCCGCAACAGAATTCTGTCACTGTAGCAAGTTGCACAAAATCAAATCAGGCAGAATTTGTGCAACTTGTCACAGTGACAAAATTACGTTGCTGAGACAAAGATTTCCACAAAAATTCTCCAGTACAAACGAAGCGATGTAAAGCTGTGACATGTCATACAACTTGTTGTAGCAACTTATCACCCAACCTGTGCCGCTGTTGTGATTTGTCACTCCAACATGTTGTGGTGACATTTCACCTAGTGTGTTCCAACTGTTACAATAATAATTATTATTATTAGTCGAGCAATAACAATCAACCAAGATTTTCGCAAAATAATCTTTATTGGGTAGCGATCTTAATATTAATTTAATAATAATTTAATTTAAACAAATATGTCACTATAATTTAATTTGAATATTTAAATAAAACGTTTCTTAGAGCTATTTGCACTAAGTGCAAGCTGTTTGCTGACTTTTGTTCAAATTTATAAATATTACTTATATTGAATTTAACTGGCGAATTTCCCCAGTCAAAAAATAAATTTTTTCTTGTGGGAGATCTGGTGACCCAGATAGGAGACCATGATATTGGTGCTGTCAATCTGGGAGACATATAAATTGGCTCCAATGAAACTTGAGGTCACACTACTGCTGAGGCCAAGTTACTGGGTACAACAACTGTAAAATGGATGAATTGTCATGAATCGTCATGGTATTCCTCCGACTCTTTTACAGCACTGTGAAGGGGGAACACCCCAGTTGTAAACAAATGAGTTTCGCAGATGAGTTTCGTGAGAGCAGAGTTTCCCAGCCTCTTGCAGTTGTTTGTGTTTCTGGTACATGTCATCAATGGATTGTTTGTGGCTCACAATGTGCTGGTTATTACACCCTCTGGAGCGATATTCAGTGTTGAATCGGTAATCATGAACTCGGCTTACTTGAAGAGGAGCCAGCCATGCCCCTACAACACAAAATAACAAAAAAGTACTTAACAGTATCAATCATGTAACAACTGTATATTGTGATGATGATGATGATGATGATGGTGATGATGATGATGATGATGATGATGATATGGGTGACTGTTGTGTATTACCTGGAGACAAAAGACAAAAAAGAGCAAAGTGACATATAATGAACATCTGAACTAATGGGAGCCTGGATTAATGCCCTTAGAGTCTTGTGGTGAACTGTGTACAAATCATTGTCCTTCCAATTTTCCTCGTTTTGGCTTCCAAAAATGAGAACTTCACTTAAGATCAACTTTCATTTAACCCTTTAAGTCACGAAAATGAGTAACAAAAAAATTACTTAGCTTTTTATATTGCTCTTACCTACTGAGACATCTTCACTGTTAAATCTCTGCAACAAGTCAGCATTACGAGCAATAAAATTCACCAGTTCACCAGATAAAATATATCCACCACCGTGGGCATAAGGTAAATACCTATCACAGAGATGCCATCTTTTTTCAGCCCACGGTCCTTTAAACTTGACGTGCGCATCGCCACGAAAGAATCCCCAATAAAGATTCTTCGTCGACGGAGAAGTACTCTTAAGTTCAGATAAGACGACATCGAGCCTAACAAAGCTATCATCATCGACCTTGAGAAGGTAAGAACTTTTAACATTTTCATCTATCCATTTTATGGCTTGTAGTACTTTGTTAGTTAGTTCAAAATAGGAATCTTTAAGCTCTGGAAGAAATAAGATATCATGGTGGGTCTCTAACTCAGTATCTAGGTTCTTTCTATTTTCTTCGGGTAATTCTTTAACTCCAATGACAAATCTTGCGGCTACTGAAGAATCTAGTGACTTAATATTTGAAAGCCATGTTTTTCGTATAGCATCTCTTCTTTCTTTTCCCTTTGGCGAGGTTAAGATCATGATAAATAAAAAGGTTTCTGAACTCCATTCTCGTGATATTGATTGCTCATTCCTGTGGACGCCAAATTGATAAATTGACTTTCCAGTGTTTTCGCAGTCGACTTTTTGGTAAATATAAAATACAAATAAAAATGTGACTATACAAACAAGCAGCAGAAGGCTTTCATTCCGTCGAAAAAGCTGTCTTTTTATCGCTCTGTGACACGCAGAGAGATCCGCCATGCTTGAACCAATACATATTTAAGGACACTTTGCGAAAATTATTTGACGTATTCTTCATCAACTAGTTCCCAGTATTTGCTCTTTCCTGTTCCTCATGACCTTGCGAAGGTCAGTAATATTGGCCACTGAAAAACGCCTTTCAGATAATTTGTGAAATTTTCAACGGGTAGTCAAAACACAAGATTTCCCAAGGGGTACTTTCCTTTTGTTTTGTCTCATGACATTTATATTCCATCCACCTTCCTCCCAGCAGTCCACAAGTATCCGGTCAACGTTTTACGGAAACCCGTTTCAATCGTTACGGTCATAAATGATACCTTTTGATCAAATTCATAGCATTACTACGTATTTGAATTACCAAAGGATTTTTAATGACCAAGAATTTCTTTAAAAATCAGATTGACCCTTTACAAAATATCAAGATGTCATAAGAGCTGTGGTAATAAAAAACACACGACGTTTTAAATTCACCTCTTTGATGCTAGACTTATTATGAAAGTGACAGAAGGTGTGGTTAGATGCTCTGTTCCAGAATAATTGGTTTCTGCCAAAAACACGTTCTTTTTTGAACCGGATAGTTTCTGCGCAACGTACTTGTCTTTACGTTAAACCTGAGGTTTTGGTAATGAATTGTTAGGGGCAATTTAAATATTACTTTTTTAAATACATCTTTCTGCACTTGTTTTGCTCTTGTTTTTCAGGGGAGAAATGTCCTTCCTATAACAACGAATTCATTTTATAGGTGAGCAGAATACACAGCTTCTTCAGTTGTCCGGTCAGAGTTGTTTTTAACCAAATAATCATAACAAAATTTATGGCATATACTTGTTTTGAAAATGAAAGATTGATTCGTTGAACGAATTTGGACAAAACTTGGTTTTTTGCAACACTTTGGATTCACCCTTTTTCAGTTTGAAATGTGTTTGAATTCAGGAGTGTTTTTAGCAAAATTCTATAGTAAATGTCATTAGATGCGTTAGTAATTGAATAATCGTAACGGAATTCAATTTCATCTTTTTGATTCCCATTATGAAAGAAAAATAGTAGTTAAATTGGATTCCGTTTTTTCATTAACATTGTTTTTGAAGTGGGAGGGTCTCTAAACAAACAATTTTTGTACATGTTATTAGATTTCTTAGTAGTGAATTAATCATAACGGAATTCACATAAATCTAGCCGAGAAAACAGGCATCAAATCATAAGCTTGTAGCTCCTTTGGCTCTTCCATGCTTTAAAGTCTTACCGGGTAAGTACTAATGAGACGGTTTACTAGATTTTTGAGAAACTTTTGATTTATAAATGTTGTCTTTGTATAGCTCTGCACTCTTAAACTATGGGTGCTTTCCATCTGTCAGAACTGACCGGCCAGACAATTCCCGTGGTAATCTGAATTTTCTTTTTAATCAACACTGTCCAGCCAGATCAGTTAAACTCTACATAGCTTTGGCACGAAGGAGAAGGGTTTTCAGTAAAAACCTCTTGGAAAAAGCCTATTTCATCGTCAAAATGACTGGTCCAGCCATGGTCCAGCTACCGGCCAGTTCTGACTTTTGGAAGGCGCCCTAAATAGCCCCGTTTACTTAACATGATGTTATACTCGGAGTTTTTTTGTGCGGATAGAAAAAAAAAAAGAAGAAATAGAGGGTTGGGACCACGTCTGTGAACTAATTCTCCTTTATTTTCCTGTCATAATTGTTCAAAGGCATTAGCGCCAACCCGGGGTTACATTTTGATTCGAGTTTGGGTTTCTTTTGTTCAAAAGCAGTGTGTTTACTGTAGAGGTATATATTTTGTTTTAGTAAAGGTCTCCACCTTAAAACTAAATGGCCCAGATTTCGTTTACTTAAAATGTTGAATTTTGTCTGTTGTATTTCTCTATTCGTTTTAGAGCATCCAATCATCAAATTTTAAACAAAAAGAATTCAACCGAATTTGTTTTTTAAGCGTTCATATCTAAAGTCAAATTTTGGACTAACCCTGGCAGTTATAAAAACCCAGCTTTGAACAACCCCGGCCCTGCTGGATATCTGCCATGCACTCAGTTTTTTTTATTTAATAGAGAGCACTGTAAAGTCTTGTGAGTCGTCCTTCACGTTCTTACAGTACACAAATATTTTAAGATCTTTGCTAGTTAAAATCAGAAAATATAAAACCTTTGATCCAAGTCAGATTCTATTGTAACGATGCATACTTTGTTTTGTCTTTCATCTTTTAAAAAAATCGTTCTGTCGTCAAAGAGGACTAGAAGATGAATCTGTTGGGTATTGTGGCTCTTAGTATCCTAGCTGTGGGTTATGCTACGGACTGGGAAGCAGGGTTGAAAGCTGAGGATCTTGCCATCCGAAGATGGCGTAAAGGTGATCTTACTCAAAGGTCTAGAGGCTACTTCCACAGGGAAATTTTGAAGTTCAGTTGTGTTTTTAAATTGCAAGAAATGCAGCTAAAACTAATATAATTCTTTAGCTATTTCATTACCTCAATAGCTCGAAAAGTCGAAAAGCTAGCGCTCATGTGAATTGGAAATTCATCGGTGGAAAGATACTGAAATTGGCCGTTCTCAGGGGTATTTAAGATGGCATAAACCTCCTGCGTTGGTGGAATTTGTCTTCCGACTCCTTCGACGAGTATTGGCCTCGTTGTCGCGGCTCGGCCACTCAAATGAGTTTCAGCCATAAATAGTCAGAATCACAACATAGCATGTTTAATTTTCTAAAAGACGTTTTCATGTCCATTGAGAGCAAGGTAATATATTCTCGTCAGATCTGACGTGGCATGGTGACGTTAACTACTTCCTAGTATATTCCAATAAGTTTAATTTGAGGAGGAAGAAAAAAAAGATTCAAGTAAATGAAGACAATCCCCTATCAAGATTTACAGTCACTGATAAAATATTCATTCATCTACTCTTTTTTGTCAAATTTAATCAGTGCGGATTCTTTGCTCAAAATTGGGCGTCTCCCAAAATCGGTTCTTTGCGCGATGTTTATCTGAAATTTTAGCAACACTCGTCTTGAAAAAAATTAAATGAGCTATTTCAACGGAAAAATAGAAACAAATGGATGAGAATCAGTCATGTCAGTTAGGAAAATTTAATCACAGACATTTACCAAAAGGTGACATGAGTAATAAATAACTGAAGTAGTGGGTTCTTTCTCCTAGAAGAGTGGTAAAAAACCGAAGAAAAATATAGGTAACATATAACAACCCAATCCACTACTCACCAACCCCCACCCAGGTTCCTTCCTCCAAATTGTATGTGGGAGGTATAAGTTACCAATTTACTTTTACAGGCATACGCAATTCCTGTGTGAGACTCAACGAAGGGGCTAAGTGTATCAAAATAGGTAAACCCTGCCCACCCGGAACTGAAGGGTGCTGTGACAAGTTCTCTTGCTGGAAGAGAAACACGAGATGCTGCTGCCCGAAACCTGAGACGACGGCTAACCCGACGACTGTGCCGACGACTGCCGAGCCGACACTTGAGCCGACGACTGTGTTACGTTCAGGTAGATTAATGCCCAGTTCTATAGAGCGTTTTCACGTGACGTCACGGCGGCCATATTGGTGTTCCAAAACAATGAAAAGGCGCCATGTTGGTGTTCCAAACCAGTCCGGTGGGAGTTGAACTCTTTTCTTATGTAAAAACTTTCCTTTGTTCCAATAAATTAGCAAAGATGCTGACCACGTCAGTGAAAACACTCTACATCACTTGTTGTTCTTGAGCTTCTGAATAATTATGTTAGACCAACATCAGAATGGGATACGTGTAGTGTACTAAAAAATTCCAAATGCGAATTTTTAAAATGAAAAGCATCTCAATTAAGGAGACAATAAAGGAATATACTGGCATAATGATTGCTTTAAAAAAATATAAGAAAGTAGATTAAAGCCTGGTTCCTTTACAGATTTTTCAAATTATATAATGGGGAGTGGTCTATTGTAAAGTGTTTTTGACGGATCCTAACAACATAGTATCATATATTGATTCTCAGCCAAGAGCGTTGTTCATGCTTTATTTTTCGATGCTCCTACTGCATCCAGGATAGACTCATGCGATTGCACTTTCTTTGGTCTTCCGTAGTAGAAATTGACCATACTCGACCTCAAAAGATCTCAACATAAAATCAACGTTATCACCCTCACTCTAATCTCACAGTGAGAACGTTCTCCACTAGTTCCTGGTTAGTAGCAAAGAAATTATTCTTTTAGCTCAATTTATCATCTCGTTCTCAAACGAAGTAATTGGTGATTTGTATCTTTTGTTCCCACAATTAAGACTGTCACGTTGTATATGACTTCGAAGACCAAGATTTATCAACGTGGAATTTGACCGGAGATGCATTCAATAATCAGCCAACATACGGTGATAACCCTCACGCAAGAGAGGAGGGCCGACATTCCAACCACCAAGGGGATTATTGGATTGGTACCTTCGAGAATCGGCCCGGTCCCAACTATCCGGCTGGCGGAATGCAAGGTGAAGGTCCTCAAGGCACAATGACGTCACCCAGTTTTCTGCTTTATGCAAAATACCTCAAGTTCCTGATTGGTGCAGGTTGCGTTGAGGCTGATACTCCGGTTCACGCTCAGCTTCTTATTGATGGACAAGTGGTTCTGGAGGAGACACCTAAATCGTGCATCGATAAAATGACAGAGAAAACATGGAACATCGCGACATATCTGGGTAAAAACGCCCAGTTTCGTTTGGTTGACAATTCCTCAGCGTTCTGGGGTCACATCAATTTTGATAACCTTCGACAATGCCAGCGTATGCTTATCAGGTAAATTGAGAATATGGATCTTTCTCGCTGTTAAACTAATCAAATTTAGCAGTTGAGTTCAACTAAACGAAATATGTTTTACTTTCTGGGACAAAACAGTACTGTCAGGAACTGAGGGGATAGAATATAAACTTGAATGTAGGTAATCATTATTATTGTCAAGTTAACTATATGTTGTCAATAAATGCTATTAAAAGGGGAAAAGGCTGTCTTACTTGCCTAATACTAGAGCGCAGAACTCTATCGATTTTGTTCACTTCGATTCAACTCTAGTTTTGTAACCGCAAGTTCGGAGTCTTAGTCAAATTCTTCTCCAAGTCTTTTAGTCTCGTGTCACTGTCGTTAGGTTTTCCAGGAAATGAAGCTCGATATTAGAGAGTTTAAACTTCACATATACGGCAAACGGCAAACGGCAAACGTCAGATTCAAGTTGCGAATTTCTACAAAACATTTTACAACTTTGGTGGCATCCAAATATTGTATTACTGACCATTCAGAATTCAAGATGTATGAGGGGGAAGTTGTGTATTTGAAAAAATTTCATAAAAACCCTCCTCCAAAGCATGCAGGATTTTGATTGGTTTTGTATCATATGGAACCCATCAATGTTTTCAGAAATTTGTAGAAAACTGTCGAAAAGGTGCAGGAAACTTTGTCCACGATTTTTCGAGTTACTACGTTAGAAGGCTGATCTCCGTTATAACACAACAGGTTACGTGCTGCTGCACAAAGCACATGCCAATTGGTGCTATTTGATCATTGCAGAGTTACGCCCACTGTATGACTCCATCCCAATTAACTTGCGAACAGGCTCCCAAGCCGAGCTGGGAAAAAAGAGAGTCGGTGAGCAAAGCGAGCCGAGAGGGGCCTGGGGGAGAGGAAATGGAGGGAGATCCTGTTTTGATGTCTCCAGTCTTGGGTGTCTCGATGCGCCCGCGATATTCCCACCCGACGGCTGGGCGCACGGGCTTAGCTACTGTTAAAACTGACCAATCAGAAGCCAGCCCGCAAATTGGAGACTGAGCCTAGTATTGATGCCGCCCTTTTCTTTTCCTACTCTTCGTCTATTACAGAACACCATTTCCTTAATTCAAGGGGTATGATTTAAACTCTGGCTTTTTTTTTTGACAATTTGCATCACTGAAGCATAGTGTTTGTCAGTGCTCAAGGTCGTGTCAAGATAATCGAGTGCATAAAAGGGTTAAAATTCAAGTATGCGGCTCAATCTACACTCCCATTCACCTCTTCAAAAACGCGGTGGAAACTGTAGCCTACAAGCGTCCCGCAATTGTTTCTGGGATAATTATTGGGAACACGCCGGTCAGCTATTAACGGTCAGCTATTGGCCAATTTTTTCCCCTTTCCCAGACGTCTTTGCGTAAGGTTACTCGTCCCAGTTTCTTTCTCGTTTCTAAAGTGAAGAATTAAAATGAAACAGACAACAGCAGTAGAATTGTAGTTTGACCAGTTTCAATTATCTAAAACATAGGAATAGGTATACAAGAATCCGTGTTTTTTAAATTTGGAAATTCGAGTTAGATAGTGAAATCAGGGTTTTGTCTTTGAGAATTCCCCGACAGGAGAGGTTAAATCTTTTGTCCATACGCAGTAGTCCAGTCCTATGCTTTCTTGTTTGGTGTGGGTTGTTGTTTTGGACAAGGTGTCTCGCAAGAGTTATCGCGGTTGCCAGGGAAACACGGTTTGCATGCAGCAGATCGCAAGGAAAGCTCTGTCTCCTGTGAATCAATAATTGGATGAATAATCAGTTATTTGGTCACAGCTAAACATTATGAAATAAGTAAATATAGATTATCTTTACTACGTCAACTATGTATTTGCAACAAGACTCGAGAGGAAAAAAACTAGAATTGTGAAAATTGCACACGTTCTAAAAAAATTTTTCTTTTTTAGCTTTAGCTTATGCCAAGAAAATCCAGAAAGCAACGCCAGTGCGCTTCTGGTTAGTATATTTCATGTAATATCAATAGTTGATGTTAGCATGAGTATCGCTATACAAGACGTTGTTCTGTCTTTGGATTCCGTGGACGGCATTGTGGCCTTTTAAAAGAAAAGTGTTCAGCAGTACTTTCACATGGTACCATTTGTTTTTCATCTGTCTTTTTTTTTTTGTGCACACTTAAATTTGGTAGTAGCCTGACAAAACAGCCGACATTTGGCGACGCTACCAGTGGTTTCCCCGCCAAATGACGCCTGAGAAGCGAGCTCAGAAGTTCCATACTGATGACGCGTCACTACCTAGATCTGGGTAGTGCTTCTGATTGGTTGAAGAAAATTTTTAGCCAATTAGAAGCACCACCCATATCTGGGTAGTGACACGTCATCAGTATGGGGATGATTTCTACGCTCGTTTCTTAGACGTCATTTCACAGGGAAACCAGTGGTCGCGTCGCGAAATGTCGGCGAGTTTTCTCAGGCTAATTTGGTAGATTTTTTTCTTTGAATTTGGTTTGAACATTGTTAGTAGTTAAACTGCTGACAATAACTTGATATTTATTGATAGAAGTTTAAATACTATTTTTTACTCACTTCATCTTGCGTTAGTTGAAAGTAACCATCGTTTCGCGAATTACAAGCCACTGTTTCGTCCAAAGGCGATTTACAACTTGTATCAGCTAATCTGTCAAACTTGAGAAGCCTAAATAAACGAGATCTGGAAAAATCGACATAAGCAATAGATTTAGTCAATTTTAGCAACAGATCATTGCCGGAAAATTCTCTAGATTAATACTGCAGTGTACAAATAGGCCGTTTCCGAGTTCTCAACTAGCTCGCTTTTGTAACAAGGGGATTCTCTTGAAATACAAGGCTAAACCTGTACTTTCAAGAATACTATGTTTTTTAGAGAAAGACTGGGTTACCCATCATTACTTAATTGGGACATGTCTACATGAAAAAGCATTGCCTAACCAGTTATCGCACAGCTTTTATGAAGCATTAAAACGTAGACGAGAATCCTCTTTGGATTCAACTGCAAGGTTCACCAGGTTTTCTTGCATGTTTATAACGGAGTTCAATTGAGTGGTGGTTTTCCTCGAATTATTTAAGGATTTTATGAGGATTCAGCGTTTTTGATATTCTTCCTTTGAAGAGAAAGTATCATTTTTAAATTGTTCCAGTAACCGAATAACAATCACATGGTGAACTCTTGCCAAGCGGGAAAACAAGAGAGGATAAGCGCGGGAAAAACACGCACATGTCTACGGCCTGGGGCGAAAATACGCGGGAAAGCATGACCATGGCCAATCCAGTGTCAATTTGCACCGGGTGCAAAGAACAGGAGACTAGGCAGAGTCACGTGCTTACTATCCTCTTTGTCCTCTGCCGTGTTCCCCACTGAGATTATAAGGGGAATGGGTACAAGCTTTGAGTGCAGTGATTCCTTAAATCATTTGGGTGGACAAAAGTTAGTTATGATTGGTCGATGGTATTCAAGGAAACAATTAACCAATCAGAACGAACGCGTGTCCACCAAACGATCCCAAAACCCGTTGCGCCGAAAGCTTGTATCCATTCCCCTGGCCTTGCAGTTTCTGTACTTACTTGAGGCGGGAAAAAAATTTGTTTAGTGTGAGGGACAAAAAAGCTGCTAGTAGTTCATACAATAACACGTGGTACAGAGATAAGTTCATGTAGTAAAGGAAGAAAAAGAATGTAGGTGCTGTGAACCAAACCTGGAAAACAACAAAACAGACATAAGATAAAGCAGAAGCTAAAGGTCGTTTATACAAAGTCGTCTTCGTCTTCCGTAAGAACAGATGTTATGGGCTCTTCATAGATAAGACGTGTCTGGGCTTAGTCGAGTCTTATTTCAGGCAAAATGCGCTATGTGTAATGGCCCTTTTCTCTCAATATTCTCTCAACATTTGATATGTTATGAATGTATAGCGCGAGGTCTAGACCGGCGGGTCGAACAGGGTCGCAAAATTTCCTTGACCTGAATGTCAATTACTGAGAGTAGAAGAGTTGCGTAGTTGTGTAGCATTAATTTTACAGATGAAAAGTTAAAAGAAAACGGTAAACGAAAAAACAACACACATACAACCACAAACAGAGCCAAAAGTGTTAATACGCTTCCAAGGGAAAGAAAATAACTTCAGCTTACCAGCCATTCTGTGTAGCTATAAAAAATATCTGCCAAGTAATAATAGTTTTCTCGTTGAAGTCTCAACATAACTATTGTCACTATAAACGATGCGAAGATAAAACTATAAACTCCAACCATGAATCGATCAGCTAATGTTAACTCCTGCAAAAAAGATTAAATAAAAAGGGAGCGTTTAGAATACAGTGTAGCAATATGACCTATTTTTTTATGGATGCGAAAATGATTGAATATTACCAGCCACAGCTAGATTCGTAAGCGGATAATCTTCATGTACTATAGATTTCTAGCTAAGCTGACAAGCTAGGTTGGTACGCTGTACAAGTCAAACGGCAAGACTCACCGGCGTATCTGGAGTTTGTTCACTAACACTTGCATGGAACATAACGGCAGAAACTAATAGCGAACTGAAAACCAAAAGAACAGACCGATAAATATTTTCAAACAATTAACCCTTGCAAATGACTACATGATGTCTGTCAGTAAAGTGATCTTCATATAGTCTAACAAAAGCAACAACAATAACAACAAGATTTGCGGGGTCCCTACGTAATGCGATTTTACAAAAAAAACCCCTCCATTTTTATTTCGACGGAGACGATTCAAGCCCACGCTGCGAAAACGATTATGTCTTTATAACCAGTCATTAGGAATATAACGTACAATAAAAATGAAATCAAGACTCACCCATCAATCCAAAGTCTCATGGAGGCGTCATTCGGTGGAATAGAAAATGAAAAACATACCTTCAAAGAGAAAGGGGTTACGTATAAAATAGAAAGTTAATCCGGAATAAGTGAACTATAAATGAAAAAAGTTATTCTTGACAAAAAAAGGAAAAATCTCATTAATTCCATGATTATCCGCCTTGTAAATTTTTCTATTAAGATACGCGTATGTTTTTCTATTCGTTTTATTTATAACGCACAAGCGAGTAATTGCATGCATTTGTTTTCAAACTTGCACGTGCCCCACGCGCCAAACAGCGCACGTGTAAATGTTTACAATTGCCCCGTTTCGTTTTTACCGAAAGTTGATCACTTGATCAACCAATGCAAAAGGCCTATTTTCCGTTGACTTGTACTTACCACTAGCGCTATGAACAACGGAGGTAAAAATATCTTGAAAAATGCTGCTCGTTTGTGTCTCCTCATGTGAAAGAGAAACTCGTAACGTGACACACCCTGGTCCAAAAATGGGTTATATCTGAAATGAGTAAATGGTGTGAGAGTTAGCCTCATCTGTTACGTACGGAGGAACGAAAGTTATTGTATATTTTAAGGTGATGTCCGCACTTGACGATTAGCAAGGGATGATTTTTATGGTAACAATGTTGGAACAGCGTTGTAACTGTTGGAACAATGTTCCAGCAATGTAAGCATTTAATCCTCAGAACCTTTCGAATGATGCAATTGTCCAACAGAATAGAAGTGATTCACACGACTACATGGAGGAAATCAAACTTGAGAGTAGAGCCCTCATGAACTTTTGCTGTATGTTCGCGTACCTTTCATAAACCATTTGTGACCAAGAATTGGTATCGAACAGCCATCCTGTGTAGTTAAGTGTTGGAGACACTCCTCCGCGGAACTTAAAATCACTGAAGTCAGCAGGCTGAAATCAAACGGAAGCATTCAGTACAGTTGTTTTATTTCTTTCTCGGATTCTTTCCCGTTTTAATTTGACCCTAGACTTGCCCACAAGTCGAGCTGAAAACTTTTCTCGTGCTCAAGCGCGAGTTAGAAATTTTTTATGTTTTCGGTGGCAAAGCGAGCGAGAGAGGAGGAGCGTCGGGGCCTACTACCGGGACTGGAAACGAGAAGCGAAGAACTTTGAGAAAGTCTAATTTGACATATGTGAGGCCGGTCTAAGAGTGGAACATTGGCAGTTTTCATTTCAGAGAAATTCTCTCCGTCTTGGCCAGTTATGCGTGTTCCTTTCAGTTGGCGTGGTGTAGAAATTAAGGAGGGAAGAATTATTGTACTTGCTAAGCTCTCTGTCTCAGATACCGAAAGATGCTAGTTCAATTCGTCTTGACAAATAGTGCGTAAATTTTTCCGTTTTTATTCTGATCCGCGTAACATTTCGGACACGTGTTTGAGCCTTGCATGTTCCAGATAGAGGGGCCGTTTCTTTTTTCACTTCGTTCTTAATTTCGGGCCACCCCCTACTAAATGGAAACGGCTTTTTGTTTCCCTTCTTAAAATCCCCACACCCAGTAGGACTGTCTTGTGTCTTGTTGCGGTCGTCGCATTATGCGTCCTGCGCCTGTTTCTGTACTAGAGGGGATCTCCCCAGAAAGGCTGAAGACAGCTTCCTGAGATCCCTGGTCAATGTAATTAATTTTTAGATGTATTGCTAGGAGAGATATGACTTTGTTAGTCTAAGTATTTTGAACAACTGGAAACAATAAAGTTTAATACCGGAGACGCAGTTTGGAGTAGAGACAGAGGGGCGAACATTTTGTACAACTTCGTGAACTCAAGTTTTACCTTCATTACTTTCCATCTGAGTTCTTTTGCTGTCATTTCCATGTCTTGAATGACAATTTTCAAGGTCTGGTTATCATATCTACGAAAAAATAAAATGAAAAATTCAGAACTTTGTTTGTCCAACATACACTGTAATTTTCACGGAGTTATAATAACTCCTCTAGTGGGGCTAATTTAACTCCTGACAGTGGAGTTATTTTTCGTGGAGTTATTTTAACTCCAAAAAGGAGTTTAAAGAACTCTTTTTCAGGAGTAAAAGAGACCCCAGATATTGAGGAGTTAAAACAACCCCAAAAAAGGAGTTATCCTGTACCTAAAATTTTTACTCCACTTTCAGAGTTAAATTAACTCCAAAAAGAGTAAAAACAACCCATGTAAGGAGTACAAGTAACCCCATTTCGGAGTAATCTGAACTCCAGACTGGGAGTAAAAAGAACTCTTTTTCAGGAGTAAAAATGACCCCAAATTCGGAGTTAAATTAGGAGTTAAAATAACCCCAAAAATGGGGTTATCCTGTACCTAAAATTTTTACTCCATTTTTGGAGTTATAATAACTCCCTAAAAATTACGGTGTAGGTTTTGAAAAACAGAAACAGCACATTTTAATCGCCCCACTTACGGATAGTCTTGAAGATCTGCTGCAAAGTTAAAAGCTGATTTCACTCTAAAATATTTGCCCTCGTGACTGGATACCTAGACGAACATAGATGATAATGAGTTGCAATATTTAACTGCAGTTAGAAATATTACAGAAAGATTAAAAAAGGCCTTTTTTGGTAGCCAGAACTTCATCCCATCTCCCACCCTCTTGACACTTAAGGGGAGCTTGTTTATAAGTTCAAAGCTACGAAAATTTTTGTAATCAGCCAGATAAAACCGTTTTTGCAAAAAAAGTCATGTCAATGAGCGGTGATCTAAGGTTGCGTTACGAATAACACCTATATCGTTTACTGAAACGCTAATGAGTAATTGGAGACAAAATTAGTTGAGACAGTTCGCTCTTTGCTGTCACTGCCTACTCCAAAAGGGTAGGTGAAGGTTTTCCTCCCCTCGATCCCTTTAAATAATGTTTTGACGCGTTCAGGCTGCCCGTAGGAACAAATCAAACAACCCAAATTTGTGTGAAGGGATGGGGGAGAGGTCTCAATAAATTTTGTCGTCGACTTGGGCAAGTGCTAACTGTCTTTTACTGATAGTGAGTTACTTTTTAGTTGATTTGCTAACCTCTGCTTGTCCTGCAGCATTAACCAGTTCAAAGCAAGCTCCTTTAAGGCCATCATGACATTTTTGTTTTGTATACATGGTCTGTCCTTCAGGAACTAAAAAAAGAGTCAAGCGTCAGATAACCTCTGGATATCTTGGAAAGATATCTGCTGGGCGTTATTACATGTTGCGAATATCTGATAGGTAGTATGCTAATGCGATAGATAAGACTGACACAAGAAGCGTTTCATTCGATCGAATATCCAGACACTGTAAAGTTGGATTTGGAGTTTCGTATGCTGGTTAACATACATTTTAAAAACTGACCGTTACTGGTTATGACAAACGTACTAATTCAAAAGTGATAAGTGATCACGTTAAGTTGACTCAAAAATATGTAAGTCCGCAATGTTTTGTTTCTCGTTTCTCGGAAGGCCTGATAACTTTCCAAAACCTATTGAATAGAAGCACAGTTCCTAGCTCACAAACCAGTCAGGTAGCCTGCGAACCTGCGAGCAAGCCCTGCGGGGTACTCTGGCAGCGGGGCGGGAAAAGGAGGTACAGCTTGCACGTCTCTAGAATTTGATTCTGCATCGAAAAAGTCCATGCGAAATGCTGATTGGCGGAGATGGCATTAGTAATGACGTCATAACGCTTGGCCCGTGTTTTTCGCGCTCTTTTCCGCTTCGTGCTGATTGGTGGAAATTTGACAGCTCAGTCGAAGGGGAGCCACAGGGAATTGGAAGCGGAATTCAAATTCCAGAGACGTAGTTGCAAGCTCTCCTTCCTTTTCCCGCCCTCCCGCTAAAGCGCCCCGGAGAGCTTCCTCAGTGCTTGTAAGCAACGGTTTACAGTATGTCATTTTTATAAGCCTAGGAGGCACCTCTCAACAATTAAAAGTGAAAAACAGGAAGATGGCCAAACCATGGGCCTTCTACAATAACGTTTTTTACATACCTTTGAAGTACAGATAGAAGTCTGCATGAAAGGTTCCAGCCTTCAGATCCACTGAATGGAGATTTATAAGATAAAGAGCTATTTCCACGTATACTGTCTTCTGTTCGCTGACAACTTCAGGACATTTTTCGTAATAATACCTGGTTAAAAGTATTAACAATTCTGATTGGTGGAAATTAGCAAGGGGGATAGGGTAGTAAGCTCAGGCTCTCGGTCCTTTCAGCAAGAAAATCCGACTTGTCGCTGTCATACTAACAAACTAGTCTACCGCAACTCAGAAATTCAGTAAAGGGTTTAGGGAGTTAAAATCCGAAAAATTTCCCCCAGACCCCCCTAGAAGCTTGTGCCTTCGGCACTATTCATCCTATATCCGCGTCTGCCATGTGATTGTTCCTGTGTTTACCACCCAAACCTAGCCCCCCAATATTTGCAAGAGGTAATAAAACACTTTCTTGTGCAGTTATAAGATGGCGGCACATTAATCTTCAGAAATATTACCAATCAATTCATAATTACAATGCCCCAGTCTCTTCAATTAAAACCAAATGGGTGATGAGCTCCAACCCATGAAAAGTACTTCCATTTTAAACCATTTCATATCCTCTCGAGAATTTTTTTAAAAAGACTAGAGTACCCACAAATCATCTGGAGTGAAGCAACAATTTATTCTGCCCAGTGGGGGAGGTGTCCGCGATAATGCAGACTGGGGCCTCTCCTTTTGAACGAAGGTTTTTCAGTATAATTTCCCTTTTCAATGAAATCATGACGTTCATGATAATAATAATTTCCCTTCCTTGAAAGACGGGCGAAAATGAAACCTTCCAATTTTGAATAATTACACAAAGTTATTTTCATAAAAAAAAATCAACAAGGGACGACGGGTTTGTTGAGATGAACTCTCGCAGCAATGAAATATAACGATAGTAAATCGAATTGCCTTTGTTGATAAATGTCTGTCAAAACCGATACAAAATCGGTCATGTAAACTGACTAAACTGAAGCAGCCTTTTTTTCGGAGCTAAAGGAATGTTACTTAAAAATTGTGAAAGAGAGAGCTCTAAAATTATCTTTTAACTTCTGGAGGACAATTTAAAAATCGCACATTGACGGGTAAAGGCGAAAGGCCTTATTGTGAAAAGAACACGCCATCTTTTCATACGAAAGCTTGTCAATAACATCATGATATTTCATTTGCAATGACTATAAAAAAGCCCATAAACGACATTCTAGTACCGCGTGAAATAGATATGGGGCATGAGGGTAACTTTATTTATCTTGATCTAGAAGCCAAGCGAAGGGAGACTCGTCCGTTTGTTATGCTGTAAAATACTCACCATTCCGCGCGACATTCATGTCCTTTATTTTTTGATCCAGCGAGGTTTCCCGGAATACAAGACGCACAGTTCGTACAGTTTTCCAGTGAATGAATCGCCCCTGGTTTATGACAATGATCTCCGCATCGATCGCAAAACCCACAGTTTCCATCGCTTAAGCACCAAGTACAGTTCCGTCCTCGTGATAAACAGTCTTCGTCCGAAACGACACCGGCAACCGACGAACATAGCTTTGACGCGAACAAAATTCCTGATGCAATACAAAATGCGTTTAAGATGCCGTTAACTGACATGGCAGTTATTTCCCTACTGAAGAATTCTCTTCTTTCAAGAAAAGAAGGAGTGAAATAACAAAATTCAATCCGCCAAAACCAGATATTCCAGTTATCAATTGACAACAAACATGGGGCTCAAATGCAAATGACGTTATTTGAAGCGTGTGATTGGTCAAAACATTCCCGCCAAAAATGAAGGCTTTTCCCCGAGATCGAGAGAAAAAATTTTTTGTATGAAAGGTCCCTTCTCGTCTTTTTAAAAAACAGTTTCTTTAGGTTTTCATTGGTAAAGCAGATTTAGGCAACCCGAAGAACGATGAAATTAGGTTTAAATTACATTTGCCCTTAAGTTTTGCATTATTTATTAGGAGCAATCAAAACAAAACGCCACCGGCTTCCTCAAGAGATCCTTTGTGAGATTCACTGTCTCCTTATCAGAGTTTTGTGTCTCATTATTTAACTTATTTAATAATGTAGCAAGTGAAATACAGTATGATATGAAAAACATGAAATCGAACCACGGTACAAATATTTACTGTTTTCCCCCTGAAAATATGTCAGGTGACGTTTAAAACAGAGCTCAAATGAATTGTAAAAAAACATTTTCATTTCTAGGGGAATTCTCTTTTTTTTGCAGAAATTTCCAAGATCTGGGCTGTCAAAGTACGATCAAACTGAAGAACAATCGACGGAAAAACGCGCCTGTATCAAACTGGATCAGTGGTTTACTATCCAAAACGGTTTCTACGTCATATATGAACAACAGCTGAATGGTTTTTGTTTGCAGAGCAAAATGGCGGACCTCAGCGCCTATCGCGACCAGCAGTTCAGAGTGATTATTTTCCCTTTGATCTTCAAATTTACACTGTTAAACAAACTACTGTTTCAAGGCCTAACGATCTTTGTTTTGCTTACCCGGTTTTTAGGGCACTCGCGACGAGTTAGAAAAAAAGTTGGAAACGAGTTCGACATTGTACGTGGGAAATTTGTCGTTTTACACAACGGAAGAACAGATCTACGAGTTATTCTCGCGAGCTGGGGACCTAAAAAGGATCATTATGGGACTAGATAAGATGAAAAAGACTCCTTGTGGATTCTGTTTCGTTGAGTATCCTTTGCTGTCGAGATGATTAACCTGGTCCCCCGGATGCAAAGTTTTTTCTTCGCTCTTTTAAATCGAGTATCATTATTAATTTTAGTCAGTTTTATCAGTTGTAGTTTTTAGTGTAATGCGCATTTGATCCTGTACTGTTTGTTAATTAGCGCCATAACAAGTAATGCATATTATTATTTTCTTCCAACCCCATACATTTATTATGTATTTTCATGTTTCGGCTCTATTCATATTAACTAAGCTTATTTATGTAATATAGCATGAAATTGTTGCATGCATTAGTAGTGTATGGGGTTTTACGAAAATCTTGCCAAAAAAAAAAAGCTGATCTTGCTTGGATTTCGTTCCAGTGAAAAAAGGTTTTCTGTGGGTTGGTTTCAGATACCCCCCGGCATAGTAAATCGAACCCAATCGAACTAAATTTCAATCGAACTAAATCGAACTCAATCGAACTCAATCGTTGGATTGAGTTCGATTGAGTTCGGCTATCGAACGAAATCGAACTCACCGAAAAAAAAAATCAATCAAACCCAATCGAACGTTCGATTTTCGAACTCGTGATTTATGTAAAACAGACGTTGAAAATCCATTACCAGATCTTAGAAGCTCGAGCTACTTCAGCCCTGAGTGTAGCACACGTGTTTTTCGTAAACGAAGAAATTCCGCAGAAATGGCTTCAGATGCGTTTTGGATCGTAAGCTTCAAATGTATAGTCAAAGGCTACTAGGAATGCCGCTTTGATGTCAAGGATGGCAAAGTTTTCAGGGTTTTAAAGAAAATAGGCGAGAAAGGCCGTGCCTTAATTCCGAATTGCAAACGAGCGCGGACAATTAGGTCACCTTCAACGTGAACTGGTTGCTTCCCTGTGGCCTGTAAATGCTTCGATAACTTGGTAAGTGAAGATGTTTGTAAGGGATTCGCGAATATATTAATTTGCCTCAAGTAGTTAATATTGTGCAACCCTTATGAAAAACAGGGGAAGCAAAACTTATGCATACTTTTCACCTTTAGTAGGGTCTGTGGGCCACCATTTGATGATCCTAAAGGTCGCTGGCAAAGAGGAGGTGGTATCAATGTCCCAATTATCCTAAAGTTTTCAACAAGGCGAGCCGAAGCATTGAATGTATACTGTAAAGGAACTCGTGAATAAATAGTAAAAAAAGCGCAAGAAAAACTTGCTTTGACGGGCTTGCTTTGGGCTTGCTTTGTATAGGTTCACCAGAGCCAATCGAATGAAATCCATTTAATTGTGTTCGATTGAGTTCGGTTTCCGAACTCAATCGAACACAATCAGACGGATTGAGCTCGATTGAGTTCGATTTGTTCGATTGAATTCGATTTGTTCGGAAATCGAACTCACTGAAAGTGTAGTGTTCGATTTCGTTCGATTGCCGAACTCAATCCACGGATTGAGTTCAATTGAGTTCGATTTTCGAACGTTCGATTTACTATGCCGGGAGATACCCTGAACTTTAAATCCCGTAGTTCTTGATTCTGATAAAAACTGCAAACTTTAGCTACAACATAGATACTATACACGCGAGGATGCTTGGAACGCAGTGTGGTACATAAATGGTACAAGACTAGATGACAGGATCATACGCACGGACTGGGATGCAGGCTTTGTCGAGGGACGCCAGTATGGAAGAGGCAGGAGTGGAGGGCAAGTAAGTGCAAAAGAGGTTGTTTACGTAACAAGCAGGACCAACACCATGAAGATAATTGCCATAGTAATGATGTTGATGGAAAACTGTTTGTGATGATTTTGGTGGCTGACTGTACTGATGGTCACATGCAGCTGTTGTTTGTAAAGATAATGATCTTGTTATTGACAAAAGTGTTAATGGCAGTGGTACTATTAATGATGATGACAATCATGGTAAATGATAATGATAACTAGGACATGTATCAATGGTCAACAGTTATTTGTTTAGTAATGATATTGAACAGTGATAGTACTAGCCTGTCCCAGGCTCTCAGACAGTATGGTGGGGACGTATTTAAATAAGCAAAGCGAAAATAAGATGTGCGCGCCTTGGGAAAGGGGGTGGTGCCCTGTCTCTCCCCAGGTTCCATGCGTTTTTCGCATTCCTTTTAACTGAACGACTTTTCATCACTATCTTAGAGCCTGGAACAGGCTATGATAGTACTGTTGACCAATTAGTATAAGGAGCTGTATAGGATAATCAAATAATTTTTTGTCCACAACATAATTAAGTATATAAATGGTCAACTTTCAGCTGGGGGTTGGGGATTCTCCCCACTGCTAATTGCATGATCCCTGGCTACTTTCATTGGAATCAAATGGAAAATAGAACTCAACTGCTCAATTCCCTGCTTATTATAATGTACCTGGCAACTTGAAAACTAAGTGGCTGCCCTGACTATGAAAATAGCAACAATATAGTGATGGTTGATGGTGAGACTGATGATGGTCTTTAAATTTCAGGTACGAGATGAGTACAGAAGTGATTATGATCCCGGTAGAGGAGGATATGGCAAAAAAGCTAACACCCAACAGCAGGGTGCAGGAGTCATTTCAAGCCCACCTGTTGCTTATTCAAAGCGTTGAGCTGACATTCTGTACAGAAGAAAGGATATTTGTCTGGCTCAGCAAAGAATAGCCCACATTCAATATATTAAAATTATTACATGACTCCAAGGTTTTCTGGTCATTTTTATATATTTGGTTTGGTTTTCTTTGTGCTCAATTCTCTTCTGGGAATTGCGAGACAATGGAGTCGTGAGTTAAGTGTTAGCAAGACTATAATTCCCGAGAATTTCTGGCAATTCTTAAGATTTTGAGCCTAAAGCCTCAAAGTCATGTTAGAATAATTCATTTTAATCTGTCGAACGTGGGTATTGTCTGGGGACATTCTTTTTAAAAAAACAGGCAAAATACTTAAATACTATATACTATACTGGTGGAGGTCGTCTTCCTAGTTTGGATCGTTAGGATGATGCAAACATATTCCCATGGGAGTGGATATAAAATGGTGACAGTAGATGCATAGATCCCCACATACTGATTTTCAACACAAAAGTCCGCCATTCCACCTTTGTGATACCATTGCCAACAAACTCGAACTCCATCTGCAAGACATTTTTTTTTTATTCTGTACTGTTCTCACTTATAACACTGTAAAAAGAAAATATTTATTGTAGCCAGCAACAAGATTTGCAGAATTTCCTATTTTTTTTCATCATTTGTTTCTTAAAGTAACTTTACATTCAATTAAAATTTCAACATAATTTCCAGCTGTTGTTGATTTCTTAGAATATATTAGCTTTTTTGTGGGGGGGAGGGGTTAGGGGGAGAGTAGAGATGAGCCAACAGTCTTCGGTAATGCATAAAACAAGGAATGCAACAATAAATAAGCAAGGTATACCGAGCAAGTTTAAGTGTGAGATGTGGGCAATTTTTTTTACTGCCAGCAAGATCACTGGCAGACAATATTTCAACAAAACATGATTTATTGCATTTTCTTTCAGTATGGATCTTGAAAGGACTGTGTCGCTAACTTCAGTGTATTAAGGGCATCACAGGATGGCCAAAATAATAATAGTCTTATTGTAGACTCCATTGCTAATCAGTTGCTGACATGGTGTCTCCTGCACCAAAGAAGTTCTTTTTGACGATGTGCCGCAAGCACTGTAGAATGACATTCCTCTCATGGCGGATTTCTGGGGCCAAAAGCTTTTCTAAAAGAGTTGATTTCCTTATACTCGGTGATTTGGAGTCAACCTAAATATGAAAAGCAAAAACAAACAAACAACCAATAAAAATATGTATAAATATATAGTATTTTTTCTTGCTTCTGCATGTATCTTTTAAAACAATAACATTCTATTGACACTAGCCTGAGATCATGCTCTCGATCTCCCTATTATCCCTTAAAGTCTTTCACGGGAAGAGGGCATGATACATTTCTTTGTCGGATCACAAGTAAAAAAGCCAGAATCTGGACTTTTTTCTGATTGGATTGGAAACAATACGGATGATTTGCGCTGTTCCGATTGGCCAAAATGCCGCCATCCGTTAGTTGTTGTTGATTTCAGTCTGCATTTTTGCTTGCGTCATGAGCAGTGAATACACACGCGAGTTCACTATAAAATGTCTTGAATTTGAATTTGAAGAATGCCTAAATAGAAATTTCACCCATTGAAATATTTTCCATCTCAACGTATACTAAAAGGTTGCAGTCAAAAATTCACAGATCATTTGAATGCAATTTGATACCGGCTGCAAGTTACAGAAGCGACAAACGGGTTCACTTTTCAAATAATCAATTCATGAATGGAATCTTGACCTGACTTTAATTCCTCCTTCAGAAACCTGGTATTGGCTAATAACATGACAGGTCAAGAAGACGTTAGACTATGTAAATTAGGGGGCGGTTAATGGCTTGTTAAATGAATGTATCAGGCGTTATTTTTTTTTCCCTCTTGAGTCAAAGAAACAAAGAAGCAAAAAAAAAAAAAAAAAAACGCCTGATCTCAGGTTATATTGACACATGACTCGGGCTTTCCTTCCTACCTATTTTAAAATAAAGTTCTCTAAGTAACCCATTAAAAAATGAATGAAAATGAAGGTTTTTACCAATTTTGCAAATTTTAGCTTTGAATTTCTTGAAGAGTTATTTACCATTTAAAAAGCAATATTTTCCTTTACACAGTGTTTCATCCCATTTCTACACACCTAGCAGTCGGTTTTAAATAAACTTGGCAGTGTTTAAGTTCTTCAAGCCTATATTATCAGGATACTGGATTAAAAACTTTTTCTCACATTTGATACATTACTTACAGCAAGAGAGAGTCATTTTCAGTTGGTCAAAATCCGCTCAGTGATGTTTGACAGGCATGATCTCACCTTAGAGTTTGTTTTCCTTTTCCCCCTATGACCTCTTCGCGATTTACTGTTTTTCTTGCTGTTAGTGTCCACTCTGGTTTCATTTGTACTATCTATGTTGTGTCTTGAATTCACTTCATTTGAACAAGATTTCTCGGGGATGTTTTCATAGTTGGTGCAGTTGGTTTCCTTATTGTTGTTTATTTCTGTTGCTAGAGAAGTGAGAACCAGAAAGTATTAAAACACTATCATCATCATTATCATCATCAGCTGAACAATAACCTTATCTGGTTGAAACACCACAAGCTCAATTATATTTTTTGATCATTTGTACCTGATATTTCTTCATTATCATCAGAATCACTAGCATATGCTGAGCACAAACAATTCAGAGCTGAAACTTGCACAGGTGCTTTATTAGGCGTCGTTTCTTGAGTAGTACTGGGACATTTTCTTTTGTCTTGATTTCCAGTTTCTGAATCTAAAACAAAAAAATAAAAGGCTTTCACAATCTGTTCAACTTGGTTTCATAAAACATTTCGAACAGTTGTGACATCTGTCTGAACAGTTTTTATATCCATCCATCAAGTACTAGTATCTGTTTAAAAGATTGTGATTTCTATAGGGATTCCTTTCTATACAGTGGCAGATGATAAAGTTTGATACTAAAGCATAAAACCTCAAATCACAAATAGATTGGGCAACTCCAAAAAATGTATCAAAAGACTTGCTAATTGAGGACACTAACAAATTTAACAAAAATAATTAATGTGTTTTGTTGCTAACCATTGCCTGGTTAGCTCAGTTGGGAGAGCACCGGTCTGCTGAGTGGGAGGTCGTGGGTTCAAATCCCAGCTGGACCAACACTCAGGGTCTTAAAATGACTGAGGAGAAAGTGCTGCCTTTGTAATCAGATCTGCAAATGGTTAGACTTTCTAGTCTTCTTGGATAAGGATGAAAAACTGCATGTCCGGTCTCACAGCACTTTCCCTGATTTGTTCTTGTGGGACATAAAAGAACCTACACCACTGTTTGAAAAGAGTAGGGGACGTAGACCCGGGTGGTGTGGTCAACCTTTCCTGGGCTGGGTGGGTTATCTGTAAGGACACCCTTAAATTGGAGCCCCGCTCCGTTGTGTGTTTTGCATCATATGGTAGAAGTGATTAAATAAATAAGAACTAAACATACATGTTGAAAAACTTATTCCATTCTACATGGACTTACCAGATTCTTCCTCATCATGTGAATTGGCAAGTACAAATGAGAGTGGATCACTGCCATTTTGCAACCTGTTATGTCCTTCACTATCTTTGCTCTCTGCTACTTCACTGTTTTGTGTCTGGTTTTTAGACATTTCTTTGTTATTGACGTCCTCCTTTCCCCTGCCATGGTGGCCTTGATTGTTAAAATGATTGCGACCACCTTGCTGGGATGATCTTCGCCCACGCTGTCGACCTCTATGATATCTTGAAAGATAAAATGAAATAAAGCAATAACTAATACCCTGCTCAGACAAAGTTATGGTGATGATACATCTGTACAAGATTGAAACAGCATAGGATATCCTGTCCATGTTTACTTAAACACTGGTATCAAAGGAGGTAAAGAATGTAAAGAGTCTATTTTATGTCTATTTTTAATACACCTGAGACCAACAATTTTACCCACCCTCTCCATCAGCAGTGGCAGATTCAGACCTTCAGATAAGGTGAGGGGGGCAGTCTCAAAAAAAATTTTTTTGGCCCTTTGGGACTCATTTTGGCCTAAAAATAAGGGGGGCAGGCTCCCCAGGCCCCTTTCCCTGGATCCACCACTGATCAATGCTTCGTTTTACAGGTATAAAGCTACTTACAGCTACGTAGAAAGGAAAGAAGTCCAAAGGAGTATTTGAGGTTGTACTTGGGAATAGAAATCGGGGCATCTCACACAGAAGGCCAAGCACTAACCAACTGTGCTAATCCCTTCTCCTAAGGAAGGCATTCCGATTCTCTCTGAATACAGACTGTCAGTCATGTGATAGGGAATTTCACTAAATGAACACTAATATTTTATTACAATCATGATATTAATTGCATTGTACCTAAAATTTTTGGTCTTCAAAACCTGCCCTGATGCTCTTCTCTTTGCTTCTTCTTCTTTCTTTTTCTCTACATTAGCTAAAGTAGGGTACTTCCTAGCGGGGAAAAAAAGGAAAAGGTCCCAGATTCACTGGCTTATACCTCCTTAATACAGACAATAGAGAAACAGTGTTACCCCCTCCCCCCCACCTATCTCACTGTGCCCGTATTATAGTGGGAGAGACTCTACGATGAACACTTCTTAGATCTGTAGCCAAGAAAACCAGCAATCAGGGTCCCTTTGCTTCTCAGATAAGGACATAAAACCGTAGGCCCTGTCTCACAACACTTTTCCCAATCTGAATCTTGTGTGAGATGTTAACAAGCCACAAAGGACAAAATAATCTCTGGCAATGACCAACCAACCCTACGGACTATTGGCATCTTACATTGGGCCTATAAGTTGCATTTGTGTCCTTCTTATTGGGCCGGTCTTAACCCAGTGAAAATGAGGTAAATACTGTTAAGCAATGCAGCTTAGGGTGGGGAGGGGAGGGCACCCTACATGGGACCTATGAGTCACATTTTTGGGCCTTCCCCATCGGGGAGGTCCATGCTCAGTAAAGACGGAAAGTATTGTTACAAATGCAGGTTAGGGTGGGGTTGGTCAGGAGGGCATCTTACACACAGGGCCTATCGGTTCCATTTGTGCCCTCCCCATTGGGGAGGTCTGTGCCCAGTAAAAGCAGTAAATTTTGTTTAGGAAATTTATAGATAGTAGGCTGGGAAAATTTGAACTCCTCTCCCAGTCTCTCAAAAAATATATATTTAATCTTTGCTCAAACCTCTTTCTCTCTTCACGCCATTTAGCTATTTCTTCTGGTGTATCCAGTTTTATCCTCATTTTTCCTGGTGCGTGTACCTAGAAACAGGAGATTTAACATCATTTGTAACAATATACCATGCTGATCATTATATAAACTTTATCACTTCTCTAGCTAATATTTAGTTTTTGTACAAAACCTGTATCCAGTGTAGTTTGAGCATTTTCCTTGTTGCCTTGAATGTACAATCTTCATAATTACACTGCAAAAGGCATAATCAGTTTGTTAACATTTTGAAGTCAACCAGCTTAATGTAAATCTACCGATTTCTGTGTGGTCACAGTGAACAGTAACTGACGTGTAAATGGAAAACTTGGTCATGTGGTACAAATTCATATCTGACATGTGCCGCAAATGGGACTCTAAATCTCTCAGGGGTAATACTACTGCTTTAACAATACCTGAATGTGTGTTCCTAAATGTGCAGTTAATGTCTCTTTGCTGGTGAACTGCTTTTGACATGCATCACAGCTGAACTCAGTTTCTACAGAGTTCTGACCTTTTTCATGGGCTCTACTTGTTTTTCCCTAAAAGAGAATAAAAATGTGTCAGTACTTTGACCTTTTTTCTCCTTAGGGTGTAAAAGTCATATATCAACCTTCAACAACAAGGGCACAGATATTAAAAGAAAGGCCCAGTGGTCGTACATGTTTTGTAGGTGAGTTCTGTTTTCCGGGTAAACCAGAATTTCCATTGTCTCTTATGAATAATTGGTGCTGGGGAACAAGGGAAAATCTGAATCACAGTACTAGGTTTAATATGTTTAACCTGAAAATGGATTTTACCGACAAAACATGGACCAGATTTTGGGGAGTGGGTTTGCTTAGTACCACAGAAGGCAGAGATACTTCAAGCAACTCTTTATGCTGGTAATTTCTCTTTGTGTTGGAGTTGAAGTCAAGATCATGAGAAGCATAGTGCATAATGATCCAGTGGAAACAGCATCCTGCTTCTGCTTACCATTTCATCACTTACAATCTTGTGAAGATTAGGTTGCTGGAGTTACCAGCAGAGGCCAAAGCACTAAACCCAGCACAAAGCAAAGGAATGAATATTGTGATTGAACTTATCCTGCTGCTTAATCTGTTTCAAGCTTAGCTGGATCATAAATGATAGAGCCATAAGCAGAGTCCGAATAACATGGAAACCTTCTGGTCTCCTGACTTTGATTCCAGACTACACATTACAACTCCAGTTTTTGATTTTCACTAGATCATAGGCACACTTACAACTACAGTAAAACCTCCCATAAGCAACCACCCAAAATGCAAAGACTGAGTGGTCGCTTACGGGAGGTGGTAAATTACAAGAATCGAATCATAGGGAGCCTTTTCCAAGAGGAGGTCCAGGTACATCTACTTAAAATTATGGAAGATAATTTATTGAATGCAATGTCTAAGTTATGACATGTATAATTCCATGTTGTCACTAAAGTTCTTCGTATACTCTAAGTAGCATAGTGCACACAGCGCACATAGAGATCAGAGAATGGGTCCAGTGGTCGCTTACAAGAGGTTAAAAACCATGGAAATCATTAACCATCAGGCCCAAAAAGTGGTCGCGGTCACTTACTAGAGTATGTTTACTAGTTTTTTTACTAGAGGTTCCAACTGTGAGGCTTTGACCAGGAAACTTTTGGTGTTTTGGATTGGCGGTTGTTTATGGGAGGTGGTAGCTTATGAGAGGTGGTCGCACATCGTAGGTTACTAAAACAAGGAATGACCTACAATGATCTGCAATGATCTACAATGACCTACAATGAGCTACTATGACCGAACGTGTAATCCCTGTAATGAGCTAAAATGAAAAACTTCCTGTGAGTATCCATTATTTTACACAGGCTACCCATGAGCTAACAACCATTTGTTAGCCTGCATAGTTGATGGTTTGTTTGACAAGAGGGCACACCTTGCAACTTTGCTGCTCATTTGCACTTGCAAGAAACAACACCACCAGCTATGCAGGCTACCTATTCAGTTACTTTAGACACTACCTGGAAATTGGAAACCTGTGCATGTGGTGGACGCTGCAGAGGCGACGGAGGGTGCTGATGGCGATGAGCCACGTGGTTGGATAAACAGTTACCATTCGGCCATACTGATGGCCTAAACTGACAAAATGGAGGACCAGGAAACGAGTTAAAAGGTAATCTTGGCGAAAAGCTTGGCGGAGGAAACGGTGGTCTGCTAAAAATTGAAAAAGCAGCTCCTTGGGCAAGCGTTGGACACGATGGAAAACCGTTCGCGTTGAAAGGTGGCGGAAAGTTTCCAAAATTTGGAGGGGGCAGCTGCGACATCTCGTCTGTGGAAAAATACAGCCCACTGGAAGAGAGTTAGTCAATCAGCAAGAGCAAGGAGCAAACGCGATCTTTGAGGAGCAGAATGTTTCGTCGCCATGTGCATGTTGTTTTCGGAAAAATCGGACCAGCTTCGTATCATTCTCGGCAATTGTCGTATTCCTTTGAGACGCGTCCGAAGTCTCTCCCAGGGTCCTCTCGGTTTTCAATATGGCGGCAGAGCCTACTTCCCAAGTCATTGAACAAGACGTTTCACGAGAAATGCCGTATGTTCAGGCTACCGTCAGGACATTGCACCCCGCTTATAAAGATGCGGAATAAACCGGAGTTTGGCGTCTTTAGCCTACAGCCAAGCCCTCGATGAGGGGTGGGGTGGGCGGCCATGGTATATAAAAAACTTTGTAGTATAAAATTAGTAGTTGGTAAAAATTTATTAAATAATATTGGTTTTTCACTAAGGAAAATTAAAAGGACAAACTATTCGTACAAATTGCCACCTTTCTTAATTAAAAAGCCGCGCAAAAAACCTGTAAGTATAAAATTAGGGCGGTGTTACCCCAAAGACCCTAGTGATATGGGCATCCCCTTCTCATATTACCTTAGCGAATTGGGTTAGGGTTAGGGTTAGGGTTACAGGGGATGCTCATATAACTTGGGTTTTGTGAATGGGGATACCTATGCATATCACTGTGACAGCGGCCCAAACGATTATTTGGAAATCAGGCTTAACAGAACCTTTCTCACCAGTCCCCAGTTGTTCAAAAGGTGACTGATAGCGGTATGTACCAACAAAAGAGGATTTGCCACCGGATAAATCACTACCTAATGAGTATAAAGTATCAGAGTGAATTATCCAGGACTGGGACCAGGAATTCAACACTCAAAAACAGACAGTTCGTTGTTATCTTGTGTTTTAATCAGGTACAAATGCTATGTTACATTTTTTTTCTTAAAGTATCATCCTTTACCATAACTTAACTGCAGTGGAGAATAGTTTTTATATACAAGGTTAATGAATGCGTTGAATAAGAAGCTACTTTTTAAAATTCGAATATAACATAGAGCTGACGGACGCGTGTCAAAATATTGAAATGAAGGCTTTGGAACAGTTTCTCGACTGCGACAAAAAGAGTGTAGATTTTTCAGTAAAGAGGCGCAATCATAATTACGATGCAGGTGGAGACTGTTAATAGTTTACAGCCTGCACAACGCGGTATTTTCACTAAAGGGTTTTAAGAAGAATCTTTGGAGGCGAACAAATTGGCCCCAAATTTCATTTTTTTGCGGATGAAATAACAAATTGGGAGATTAACTCTCACTCGGAAAGAAAACGCACATGCAGATGAATATTATTGTTCTTGCTACTTAAACTGCACGTGCAGAAGCACGTTATCGTCCTACAGGGCCCAGTTGTTCGAAGGCCGATTAGCGCTAACCCGGGGTTAAATTTGAATTCAAGTTTCTTTTCCTTTAGCTGAAAAACCATTTTCTCAGGTAATTTTCTCCATTCTCTTGAGAGCATCCAATCGTTAAATTGTAAACAAAAAGAATTAAGCTGAATTTGCTTTTCAAGCTTTTTTAGCTGAATTCAAATTTCGCATTAACCCTGGGTTAGTTTAACCCAGCTTTGAACAACGCAACCCTGGAAGCTAGGAACCTTAACTAGGAAACCTGTGCCAAAGGCCCGCTGAAGAAATTAGAGACTTTTAACAACGACGATGGAGGTGACAGGGATCCCAGGCAGGTGAGGTAACCCGCTCAGGTGGTGTAAAAAATAACACGCGTTAACATGCAATCTTGCAACCCCGTCATAAAAGTCCCGGGGGTGCACTTTCTGAAGATTATTGAATGGTCGCTGAGCAAGTAAACAAAAAAAAATGGCGGGCAAAGGACGTATTTAGGCGGTTGATGCTCTTCTACTCTGCAACCTTCCAGTGCTGTGGCTTTCTATTGTCACTTTTAACGATGCAAAGCCTCCGTTAGAGGCAGTTAGTTGAATTTGGCGCGAATTTGATGTTACACGAATCCGACCCCGGCAAGGCGTGTTACCTTACCTACCTGAGGTCCCCCACCTCCATGAGAAGAGGCCCTTAAAAAGGAGAAAGAAACATTTGCCGTCGAATGTCTACGTCCTCTATAAAACGTCTCACTGGAATGTTTCACACTTTAGTCGTGCGTTGACGGCAAAGAAATGCCGGTACAAAAAAGCGTGATGCACGTGCAGAGTGATCGTCGGCCCGTCGCCGTTCTAAGCTCCTTATAGTACAATAACCGGCGGCCGCGTCTTCATACTTTAGATATCATTATAATATACTCAGAATACTCTATTTACAAGGATCGGAACTATTGGCTTTTCTTCTTGGGATTCCGTTTGTTCATCTGCTTCTGGATGATCTCTATAACACGCGGTCTGTGATCCAAAACCTGTGGAGAAAATACAAACAAGAGACTACTCCTTAGGGACGGACCATTAGAAAAGTTATGGGGGGTGGGGAGGAGTACAAAAAAATATTCGCGCAAAAAATTCATGCACGCCAATTAACCCTAAAAAATATTCATGCTATGGCCTACAAAAAATTTATACAAGGAATTTGATAACGAAAAACAATTCCTGCGGCTCGAAAATTCCCCCCCCCCCCCCAACTGTTCTAATGGTCCGTCCCTTAATGGGGCTGTGTCACGAAAGTCAGTAAAATCTAAACTGTTGGAACTTCCACCAAACAGGGCGAAACTTAAGAAAAACCGTTTCAAAACGTTGAAGGAAAGTACAAATAACACAACAAAAAGAAAAGAAAGCAGGGAAGGAAAAACTTGAAGAAGATTGAAACGGATTGCAACTTATTAGCCTAACAGTGTTCAAAGTTTATTTTTTTGTCTGTATTGTTTGATTTAATGCTTGGGAAACATTTGTTGGACATGAAGCTGTGTTTTTGCAATTTGCCAGTAATTTCGTCGCATACGTTAAGTTGCATTTCGAATCCATAAGGACGTGTAATTTATACGTTTCTGGGAAACTGCCCACCTACCCCTCCCCTAAGCCAACATTTTGTCCTAAGTGAGAAGTAATTGTTAATGTTGGCTTAGGGAAGGGGTAGGTGTGCAGTTTCCCAGACACGTATAATGATCCTAAAGAACTAGACAGCCGTGAGGACACAACCCCCTTAAAGCTGTACAAGTTTTAAATCTCGTTTTTCTATTGCCTTGTTTTCGTTTGTTCAGGATAACCTTTCTATACGGTTTTGTGTGCTTCACATACCTTCACCATTGACTTTCTCGAATCTCCAAGCTGCTCAACAACCAGTTGTGATCTTTGAATATTTCCCTGAAAGAGATTATTCTTTTAGTGCGGTAAAAACACACCAACATGACAAAATATCCCCCTGTACAAACTGACGTAAACATCTACGATCACTCCTTTTGGAAACGGGAAAAATGTCTCCTTACCTGAAGAAGTTCATTGAGCATCACTACGTCGTCCTGAAATTTTGTTTTCTGGCCGGGTTTTGGTTTGGGAATTTTTTCTCGCAAGTCTCCTAACTTTTTAAGCACTTCCTGCTCCGCAGTTATCTGAAATATGAAAATTTGGAATTTATATTACAGACTTACACATCTAACTAATCATTTCAAGCAGTATTTTTCTGTGGTACGGTTTACAATGCTGTGCAAGGTGATTTTATTTTTAAAGTCTGTGGATGAAATCCTAAAGTGTGACCATTCAAACTGTACAAGGTGGTTCTAACTTTTAAGCATGTTGATGAAATCCTAAAGTGTGACCATTCATATGAAAGCTACTGAGCAGTACTTTCCTTTAGTACTGTTTATCATGCTGTACAAGGTGGTTCTAAGTGTGACCATTCAAATGAAAGCTACTGAACAGTGTCTTATACTCTAACTTTCGCATTTCTGGACAAGCTAAATAGATTTTTGATTTAGGTTAGTGTGTACCAGCTCATCTATTTGTCCCGCAATGTGCTGTACTCGCCAGCCATTAGCTCTCTGTACAATTCCCTTCTGACTGGCGATTTCTTGAATTGAAGGTTTTCTCTCTTCTGCAAAAGAAAAATTAAAAATTTAACATCATACTCTTACTTTTTTCCCAGAGTGATCACAGCTTCACTGTCCAGTCTGCAGAGTTCTAAAATCTTTATAAAACCTTCTTCTTTTTCAACAGCTCAAGTTGATCACATAACCCCGTACTTTCAATTTCCTCGTCACAACTGATTTGTCCTCCAGTAGCCTTAATTATAGCTTAAATTGTCTGGCAAATATTTGAGGTTCTTTTAGTTGACTAACAACTGCGCGGATCGCATCTATCATTTAGCTGTAAGCGATTGAAACGTCCCGATCAATAACCGTCCTTAACGCAAACGATAAACCAAGCCCATCATATGAAGCTTGTAGTTATAACGTTGGAGGAAATCCAGTGGTGTGACCATTCAAATGAAACCTGTTCAGCAGTATTTTGTACCTTACGTTCTTCTCCAATTTTTAAACCTTGAAATGTAGGATTTTCTCGAACTGAGAAGTGAGAGGGGTAAAAGCCTGGAAAAAAGACGGAGCTAACCTTTGACTTTGACATCAGAGTATCGTTGAAAGTGGTTGTGTGCGGCCTTTGTGTTGATTTTGTAATTAGCGACAATGGAGATCTTGGGTCTCTTTAACAGTATAAACTTCAACTCTTCATCAGCTATGAGGGAAAAATGAGTCATCAATCATTTACGGGCTAATTCTCCACTTATAAGTAACGTTTAAGTCCACTTGCAACTTTTTAAACGCAAAATCAGTTACTCAGATAGTTAGACAATTTATAACAACAAGATAAAATACCCTCGTCCAGTTGTTTTACGTTCATCTCGCCACCAACGGTAACATCTCGCCACCAACGGTAACATCGCGCCATCAACGGTAACAGCAGGTTTCGCTACTTGTCAAGTTCGCTTTACACTGACTCGAGTTCGCTACCTGTTCGCTACGTATTACTTTCTGTAACCATGGTTGCGAGTCGACTTTTTGGTGGTGATTTCGTTGGTGGCGAGATGAACTGGTGGCGACGTCACCGGATGCTGCCCGCATAAATTTTGAGTTATTATCTTAATGTAAAAGGACACAACACTAGAATGAAAAAGAATAGAAACCTTGGATAGTGTCTTCATATTATGTTGATATCTTATAGGGAAGAGTGATAAAACATGTTTAAGAATATTATTGTTTTACAATTAAGGCAGACCATAGTAAAGTCGCTAATACCTTCATCTGGTTTTGACTGTTTTTCTTCATCTGTTGGTGAATCAGGTTCCATGTTAACATTACTACCGTACTTATCTTCTGTAGCAACGCTGCAATCAACAAAAAATGGCTTTTATATGCTTTTTCTTGCACAAATGCCCCATATCAAATTTAAGCAACAAAGATTCTAAAAACGTTGTATTTTTAGCTACTATTCAAAAATAAGTATTTCAAGGTAAACAGCAGGGAGATTTTCATATTTTTTTAAAAAATATGCTAAACGCAAAATGTCAGACCCTTTGCTGAGAAATCAGCAACTGTATTACAATGTACTTTAGGGACGTTTAGCAAGGAGGATGGTGAAGGCAGCGGTAAGGTGGAAATAACATTTATGCTCTGATTTAAACCACCGCAGTAATCATGTGGAAAGCAGGATTTACAAACTATGCACTTACACATTCTGCTTTCTAGGTTTCTTTCTTGGTGATGCAGCATCACCACTTGCCGCTGTCACATTTGCCAACAAAGGCGTGGAGGGAGCAGTTGTAACGGTTCCATTCATATCAGCTGTGGTTTGTGCAGCAGAGGTAGGAGCTCCCTCGCTGGACGGCTCCCTCTTGACTTTGTTCGGTGACACTGGTGCAGTCTGAGTGACAGCGGGTGACTCCGTTGTTGTGACACTTGCTGTTGTGACCGCGGGCTCATTAGATTGACTTCCAGATTCACTACAAGGGTTAAGATTAAAATAGAAATAGATGAATTCGCGCATACGCTCAAATCTCTCATAATGGACACCTGTATAAGATGGACACCTGTACAAGACAGACACCTGTATAAGATGGACACCTGTTTAAGACAGACACCTAGAGTTAGTCCCTGTCTTTATTTACTCCTTCTCGTTGACTCTCGATACAACAGACATCTCACTAAAGATGGACACATAGTGTTGGCCATAAAGGAGCCATAATAAATGCAGAAGCATTCTTAATTACAAGTTTCTTTCTCCTTTTACAAACAATCATTTCACATAAGTTCATCAAGAACTAATTATCCAACTGAACTTTAAATGCAACTATTGCCAGTCAAACAAATGCTCTAATGTAAGCATTAGGTTCCAAGGAAATCTAAGCTTTTAACCTTAGCCTTGCAGATTTATGAAGAATGTGAAATGATATACAGGGTATCTCTTGCTACAGGAGAGATCTTTATGTTACGTAACGTACCTGGAAGGTTTGGGCGAGTTTTGTGTAGATTGTGGAGCTGATAGTGTGCTGTCAGATCTTGGACTAGCAGCAGCTTCACTTTGATTTGACACAAGCATTTCAGCACTGAACGGCACTTGGCTGGGAGGTTTGCGCAACCTAATGGGAAATAATCTTAAGCCTCAAATGAGGTTTAACATTCTGTCCGTCTTTTCTTTTCATTGGCAACTATAATATCATTTTACATTTGAAGATAAATTTAAATCTGTGTTGAGTATTATTTAAAAAACAACAAAATAATCATAATTATTGCAACTTCATTACATACCCCAAAATTATGAATCAGAAGAAACAAAAATAAACTTTGAGATTTATTGATTCCGTTTTGCAATATAAATCTTAGGACTCAGTTAGACATCGCTCCTCACACAACTAAAAAAATTCCTATTTGCAGCTCTGCGTTTCCTCGAGGTGCTTGTTTGCTCAAGCTACTGGGGTATGACAACAAGACACTAAGAAATACAGTGAGTTAAATGAAAAGATACCAACATACCCCTCCGAAGTTCTTTTACGCAAGATGCTTGGACGAGGAGAAGTCGCATTAGGGTTGGGAGCAGACAGCTGTGCTGCAGCCTGCATTCCAGCTGATGGTGGAACATTAAAGATAGGGACACTGTAGAGGCCAGCTGTTGCAGCACCTATGTCCATGATGCCGGCAGTTGCTGGTGTCTCTGAACCTGTCAGGCTGGCTATTCCTGAAGCTGAAAATGATATAAGTATCACTAAGAATATCAGCTGCCTTTTAATGTGCTTTCCAAAAACACGTGAATTCTGAAGTTCAAAAGCCAAAGAACATTTGTGTTCTTCGCTGCTGTTAATCATCATCTCTTAGGACACAGATGTTTACTTGAACAAGTTTAAAAGGTCATGGTTTGTGATTGATGGATTTCGATCTGTTTTGTGTGTTTCTGTATTTCAAAGTTCGTTGCCTGTGATCGTAATTATGATTGACAGCTACAAAAAATGCAAATGTAAGCTGCCTCTCACATTTTAGAGTTTGTGTGTTATTGAAAAGTGCAGTAAATGAACTAGGTTGATGTTTTTGTCATCAATAGTAGCCCACCAGTCATTTGCCTTGAAATAATCAAGATCTCAGAAAAATTAATACACTGGTAACCTTAAAAATAACCTTGTACAGCCACCCCCTCCCCTCAGAAAAAAATCTTCAACTTATTCTGAGGGGAGGGAGCGGGCTGTTCACAGGCTATAAAAAAGTGTATTGGCAATTTAGACTGTTCCTTCTTGGGTAAAGAATAGAAGCAAGACCTGAAACCCCAATTTTTAGCTTCTAATTTCAGCGGACAGTCATGAAAAGTTAAGTCAGTGGGCGAACTTAAGTTAACATCAATAGTGAGTCTTGATTTGACAGTTTCAAATTCTGATGTCACTGACAGAGGTTTGTTAAACATAATCAACTGAAACTCCTTTACCATAGGCTAATATAACAAAGAAGATGCTTCTTGTAAAGTCTAAGCAGCCACACCAAAGGGACCCTGGATTATTATCTCAAAAATGTTGAACATCTTTAATTCGTTGAACAAGCGAAGAGGAGAATCCAAGTGAAAGTTGGTTTGGCTGCATTGATTGAATGTAAATCCAACAATGTCACTCTGTGGCAAAAGGGCTCTTGCATTGGGGGAATATACTGGTACTGGTACTGGAACTGGATAGACTGACCACAAGGCACAGTTAGGGAGATTGTCTGGATGACATGTTTCAGATCCAGAGAAGTTGTAGAGTACAGTCAACTCACATTGTGGGCACCCTACTATAACGGACTCCCCCATAATACAGACAGCGGCTAAATCCCACGAAAAAAAAAAATACAGAGATTTGACTGAAATGAACTCCAGCTATTACGGACTCTTGCTAATCGGGACACTTAATTAACTCTAGGTCCCTGGAGTGTCCGCTAGTATGGACTTAAGACAAAAATAATATCGTAAAAAAATAACACAGTACCAAAAATACTATTACCTCCAACCCCAAGAGCAGCAGCAGCAGTTGGCTGGAAAATAAGCCGAGGATGCTCCATAATTTGCATGGGATTAACTCCAGCAGCAGCTGCGACTTGAGCTGCAGCGGCAGCGGCAGCAGCAGATGTAGCAACACTCTGTTGAGATCTAGCAAGTGATTGCATTGCCCCAAATTGCTGGTGATACTGTGCATGTGCAATGCTTGGGTGTACTGTGGTATCAACAAGATAAAGTAAGGTGACAAAATGAACTAACTTATTCCCTGTCTTCATTCAGTAAAAAAAGTTTAAGAGAAGAAATGGAAAGGTGACTAGCTAAACTAAGGCTGTTCAATGAAAGGTTTTGATTTGGCCACAAATGTATTTGAAAAACTGTGAAAAGTTAGAACCCAGGAGTCATTTCAAAAGTAGGTTGAGTATGATCGTCTGGGGTGAATGTAGTCCTGAATAGGACTGTTGTTGACGACAGTGACTGAAATTTCGACAACCTGTGCGATAGCCATCTTCAGAGTCAAAGTGAGTTGTATCGTGTCAGCTGATGGTATTAAACTCTGGTTATTGTCAGTCACTGTCATCAACAACAGTCCTATACCATTACCATGGTTGCAAAATTTCTGGATCACAACAGTAGGGAGTTTAAGTAACAATGACGGCGACGGCAATGAGAACACTCAAAAAGTGATAAGTTTATATTAGCAAAACAACAAGTTTGCATGTGCGTCATCGAGTCTAAAGGCTCGGGAAATTATAAGGATTTGGACAAAATGGACGTGAAAATTATTCCCTAATTTCACTCGTCACCATTTGATTACACATACTAAGGACAATGAAATAGTTGACCTGATAATGCATCCTGATAAAACAAGCCAGCCATTCCAGCCATTCCTGCCATGCCTGGGTGATGATAAGGAAACGGAGGTATTGCCTGATGAGCTCTACAGAATAAAATGTGATACCAAAATGAATGTACAAAGTACATAGCAAGTAACAACCAATTCTATGATAAGGGGAATATTTGAAAAACTTTGTCTTTACTATTCAGAGGTAAATTTTATTCAATTAAATGTAATAATATAGCAAAACATTTAAATGCACCACAAGCAAAAAGTTCTAATTACCTGTCCATTCTGCTTTCACCTCCCACAACTTAAAAGCAATAAAAGATGTAAAAAAGTCACAAAATGCACAGCCTTTCAACTCTCAGTCACTTTAATCTAAAGAGAAGCAAGTAATGAAAGTTTTGCCAAGAACAATAAAATTGTTTTCTTTCCCAGGAATACAATAGTGTACCCACTCGGCTGTACTTCTACAGGATATGATTTTACACATGTAAGAAACTAGACCAAGTAGCTGTTGACATTGAAGAATTTTCATCTTTTAGGACCAGGTGAGTCGACTTACTCATGTGAAGCAGCAATATGAAAAAAAACTTTTTTGATTTCTTAAGAAATAACAAAGCTGCACTGGTACCTGCTTAAAGAGAGATACAAAGGAGCAATGTTTCTTTTGAAAGGAAACATGGCAAGTTTGAGGTGTGAGTTTAAGTGCTTGATCAGCCACCACTTCTTTGCACATTTGACATGTAAATGTGGCTTATGCTATGTTACTAAAATACACACAAAAAAAATATCAAAATAATGTACCTGAGCTGAGAGCAGGACCAGTCATGTGTGGCACTGTGGACATGGAACTAGTCTGATGGGAAGACACAGTTGCCGGCGAAGCTGATCCGCTTGGCTTAGTGAGCCTACTGTGATCAGCTGGATTCTGGAAAAAACATTACCGTCATCTCATTACTGAAGAAAAAATTACTTCCACACAGGAAGTTTGAAAATAAGACTTTGGAGACCTCTCCTCAACATTATTTTCTTCAAACTAAATTTGTTTATCATTTGAGAGGCCATATTTAATATAATACCATACTGTCTTTATCTGAGACACCTTAAACTCTAATGTGCCTCATTTTTTCTGCCCATGGTTTTTGCCATTGTCAAAGTCATCATAATTATCACAATATTATTGTTATCAACATTCAGGGTTGTCATTAAGAGCCGCGAGCCGGGGATTTTCCCCGGCTACTAAGAGAGTGGCCCCCGGTTACTTTTATTGGAAAATAGAAGAAAAATAGAACCAAAAGAAATCCCCAGCCGTTTGATTCCCCGCCTACTTGTTGTATTTACCCGGCAACTTGAAATCTTAGTGACAACCCTGAACATTATTACATTTAAACAAAAATAAACTCATACCATAGTAGTTTCTGAGCTGGAGATGGGAGCTGGTCGTGGTGCAGTAAAAGCCAAATGATGAGCAGGAGTATAAAGTTTGGCTGTTGAGGTCAATATGGCGGCTGGTGTCACACTAACAGCGTTGGACGGTACCATCTTCGATTGTTGAGAATGACCGGACATTCCAGTCCCAGGTGACGGCATGTGCGGCATGCTGTTACTAACAGAAGAGACTCCAACAGCTGTGCTATGTGCCGAGCTAGGGTGATGCGAGGGTAACGTAGGAACAGCTGCCTTGGGTGTTTGGTGAGTCGGGGGATGTGCAGCTGAAGGGACAATGTTTATCACTTTGCCACCAACAGAAACAGGAGGGTGTGGTGACGTACCCATGGGCTGAACAGTTGGTGATGCCCCTCTCCGGGCTAATTCAGGCATCATAGCTGGTCTTGCGTCACGCAGTTCACCAGGTTTGTGGTCTGATCCTGGCTGGTTCACAGATGTCGCTGCTGCGGCAGTAGCAAGATGAGGTGTTGACGCGCCTGGAGACGATGGTCGAGAAGAACCTGTTGTCGTCGTAGGTGCATGTGTCTGCGACTGTCCCCCACTGGCATGAGTTTGAGAGCTTAAACCTAATGGTTTAACAGGGTGTGGCACTGAAGGAGTTCGCAATGAAGTATTCCGTGGAGTCACTCCAGCCAGTGCTGCCCCTGCTGCTGCTCCAGCTGGAACATGAGAGAAGGCAGGCTGTGGCAGTCTCATCATGGAGGCAGCTAACAGGGGATGACCAGCTCCAAATGCCTGCATTCCACTTGCAACAAGACCAGGTGTTAGGTGTCCACCAGGAATGATCCCTGCAAGTGTCCCTGAAGCTGGGGCTATTGGGCGATTCTGCAGGGGTTTACCAATCTGCAATTGTGTGTTAAAATAAATTCTCAATAACACAAAAGAATGGTTTGATGTAAATCATGTTACCAATGATGATGATGAATGTACACAAAACCCATTTCATATAATCCCTCACCACTTAGGTGAGCCAAATTGTTCACCAAACAGACTTTCAACTTTCAATAATATTTCAATTTTTTATTCGAATTCACAAACTACCACTAGCCTGCAGTTAGCAAGGCTAGTTGAGGCAGGCCATATAAAAAAGACCAATAATATTATTGTATCATAATAGATGTGTATCTGGGTGAGAACAACATTCAAAAGAATCTGAATTTTTGGGAGGGGGGTGGGGGTGGGGTGGGGGCGGGAGATAACAGAATCTACAATAGGTGAATTTAGGTTTGGTGAAATACAAAAAAGGTAACAATAAAATGGCCCCTTTATGCCTAGATCAGGAAAGATCGAAGTGACTCTGCTAGCAGGGTAAGATCAGGTTCTAGGGTTTGTAATTTTTTTTACAGAGTAGGATTTAGAAAGTGGCAGACAATCTGCATGGAATGGGATGTTTTTGAATTTTCACTTTTAATAATTAGATTTTATAAGGAATGAAATGGGCAAGTAAGTTGTTTGGAGGTAAGTGTAAAAACCAAGATACAATTTTGCTTAAAACACTATCCAAACCAAACAAAATGGGGCAGAAAACATCATTGTTGATCTAAACCTTGAGGTTTGCTTGATCCATTTGTGTCCTGTGAAAACCACTACTCTCTGGGCCTGACAAGGTAGCTGTAACCAAAGAAAAACATCTCAGCAAAACAGAACTGAAGTTCAGGGTACTTCTTTTCTTCATCAATACAGTTCTATACCTTCTGTATGGTGATGGATAATTTTATATTTTGCTGACATTCAAAAGGAGCACAGATGAAATGAGGGTACAAAGTTAAATTCTTCATCTTTAAGTCCCGACATCAAAATACAAGTTCTCCCTACAAGTCTTTACAAACTTCAATAGCAACAGAGACTCTTCACACATCACTATTCACATTTTTAGCTTTGAAAGAACTCGAAAACTTAAAAAAATTCTTACCATACTTTTTCTTTTTTTTTTCCAAAGAGCGGCACAAAAATTCAGCGCGTTTAAGAAACTGACAATATAATTACTGCCGTCTTAAACAAGAGGGGCAAGATGTGTGGTGGATAATGATGATATATCCAGATGATATTACCATCGGTTGTATCTGAGTGTGTACATGAGAGGAATAAACCTGTTCTGCTTGGGTGCAAACATGACATGTCTTGCCGCCAAACATTCAAGTTTGGAGTAGGCGGCTGTTGTCGACTTGATTTGTTTTCGCTCAACAAAATATTCTTTGCAAGAACTTTTAGATATTTAGAATAATTTCTGAAGGCAAGTGTGCTGTTTCTGAGTAAGAAATATGCCTGAAAGTTGAGAAAAATGAAATAAGAGCGAATGCGCTGATCAAAAACATATAAACAAGTTACCTTTGGCGTAACAGTTTGCTTTAACGGCTATCAAACTTCAAATGTTGGGTGGCAAAGCATGTCATGAAAGGCACCCTATTAGAACATGTTTTTTTTTGTCTTGTGTCCACGCTTAGATGCAACTGATGGTATCGTAAATTTTGAAGGCCAAGTGAATGGGGAATAGATCTAACTGAAGTCCAAATGCAAAAATATTTGGTAACAAAACAATTCAAACGGCGAATTTTTAGACATTTCTGAGTATTTGCCGTAAATTTTGACTTGCCTATTGATTGGTTTTCATGCTGAATTTATTGTGTAGTATCAGCTCATAGTGAAACCTTACAATAATAGGTCGTTTGTGATGATCACATAGGTAAAAGGCTGATTATTACATTAAAATAAACCAACGCTCCGCGCTTCTCTGATGATCAAGGGTTTTTCAAAAAATTTAATACACAAACATTCAAACAAGGCACATTAACTGGAGGAAAAGATTTTTTAGTGGCCAACGTGGATCTGTTCAAAATTTTGCGTCCAATACATTTCATTCTTTAAACGGATCGGAAATACCGCAATTCTGGTTAACATAAGGATTAAGGTATAATATTAATAACTAAAAGAAGGGAAATTTATGCAAAAGAATGAGAAGAAAGCAGAATACCTCCAGGATTGGCAGCCAAAACTTTTGATTTCTCGTGTTTTTCCATGTCCTGAGCGGGATTCCGTGACGGGCCGCCGACTACGTCCCGCTCGTGTCGATCTTCGGCTGGGTAACTCATCGTTTACTCTGAGTAGTGTCACATTGGATAAATCTTCTCGGTAAAGATACTCAATTTCCGCTGAAATCACAAAAAAATATCATGCAAACATTGGACAATTTTGAAATTCGGGGGCAAAAACAGCAACCCAGTGATTTTTTCATCCGAACGCCCTGTCGCGCATGTCACGAGGGTAAAGTCTCAGCGTAACAGGCCGCGGGCTCATTAAGAAGGAAATGAGTCAAAAACTGTCGACCGACCCGACGTCGGTACTTTGGCTTTCTGCGACCCGCCTTGTTAGGAGATCCTTCATTTTATGGTCTTTAAGATGAACGTAATAAATACATACATACTCACTCTTGAATCACCCGGTATCAGAAGATTTAGAGGACAGATGACCGCCCGTTGCTCTCTCTAGACATATATTATTAGGGTTTGTATTCTTATAGACCCTTATAGGGGTGTCAGGAAAACTCAGACCTCAGAACCCGGAAAACTTAGACCCCCTGGGTGTCTTGAAAACACAGACCCCCGAAAAACGTCTCGAAAACCGCAATTTCTTTATTTAGATTATCACGTGACATATGGTTTCTTTCATGCTTACGTCACTGCCTTAAGAACGAGCGCCAATATGGCGTCAAACGTGTATCTACTTGCGGCAGTCTTGTCGATTTTTTCGTTAATGACTGTGAAGGAAATAGTGTTTCCCTCCCGAGTCCAAGCATCAAACCCAGACAACATGGAAAAAGTAAAGAAAGCGGCCGCGTTTACCGGGCCAACGATAAAATTTCTTTATTGGTAAGGTGCATGCTTTAAGCTTAAAGTTCTTTTGTATTGCTGTGTGATATTATTGAATTCTATCGATTCTCTCACGGAAGCTTTTCTAGATTTCACTGTTAATCAAAAATCTTAAATTTTTGAACGGTTACAGTCGGTTTGTAAGCGATCTGTTGTATTTTGGAATGCAAGAATTTAAATACTCGAAGTTTTTTTGTCATCAGTCAGGCACTCATGATCTCAAGCTGATCATGATTGGACAAATTAGAGTTTTAAAGTAAAGACATACAACAGGAAACCAAAAACAAAGCTGGGGCGGTCAGTTATAATTAATTTTTCAATATTAGTCAACACATGGGAAATCAAGCCTCTGTAAACATAATATTCACTCTGGAATGCTGATTAGAACACTTTGTAATTTTTGATTGCTTACGATATTAATATTGGCTTCCTGTCTATACATATGCAAAGAGAGACACAAGAAGATTGGGAGCAGTTCAGAGGCTAGGGTTGCTGTTGGCTGGGCATCGCACAACTCTTATGCCTCTTTCACCCTCTCCAACTCTCCATGTACTTCATATCTTAAAATCATAAACTGCGCCCTATATACACATGTAAGCCCTGAGCTAATACATCTTCGCAAGGGGCTTTAGGAGGGCTTATAAACTGAGGGGCTGATATCTTAGGGGGCCTATAACCAGAATAAAAAAGTGCTTCAAAGCAAGCTATACTGATTGATCAAATTACATCTGGCATATACTCAAGCTTAACAAAGCTTCAAAATGCCGTGATAAATCAAATTCACATTTAAATACATTTGGAGTGGTGCTTATATCTGGGGGGGGGGGGGATAATCAAATGTATAGATAGATAGTTTCTTAAATCAAATGCATTTTACATAGATAGACAGATAGTTTATTAAAAATATATACATAGGCAGCCAGAAGCTGAATATTTGCATATTTACAACTAAAACTAAGCTGAAAATAGAATAATTTACAATACGTCAATAGTAAAAATATTAAAAATTGATGCATATAATATATAAAAGCATTCAAATTTTTGGTTTACAGGTAGATGGCTTATAACTGCCCCCCCTCCCAGTAAGTGGGGAAACTTATAAGTGGCAGTTTATGCTACTTGTACACTGACAAATGAGCCAAGGACAGTGGTGGGGCCCAGGGCCCCCCTTACTTTTAGACCACTTTGAGGCCAAAAGGGCCCGAAAACATTTTTTTGAGACTGGGCGTCCCCTTATCTCAGGGTCTGGATGACCGGGCTCCCCCTTATCTGACGGTCTGTATCCATCACTGAGGGATACTAATGAACCAAAACACACTGACTGTACTCATATAGCGTATTAGTAAAATCCAACTAGTGGTCTATAATCAATGCTACATTCTGATTGGTTGAGCTACTACTGGGCTATAGGTTATAGCCCACTGGTAGCGAAAAGTGCCGGGTTCGAAAATCAAAACAATGGCGGCTGAATCGCGTTTTGCTAGCTTAAGTTGTTTTGTCTCGATATTTTTGACCAACTAGTTGGATTTTACTAAAACAATGATTATTATTCCTCCCCTCATGGCCTCTGAGTCAATAGCCCATTCAGCCTGCGGCCTCATGGGCTATTGACTCAAAGGCAAGGAGGGCGAGAGGAATAATAATTATTGTTAAATATACCCAAGTGTCATTCTCTTCCCACACTCAGTATGAGATACCATGAAACCTTGTGTGAGAACGTACAGAGCAAAAACCATTTTTCTAACCAAGCCTTTTCTTTGTTTTATTAAGTTACTCCTGAGGATACCGGAAGGTGTTTGAGGAATACGCCGGCTTCATTCACCAGAACTACCCTATGCTACGCATTGAAGGTGACAATTATCCCCCACCCCGTCCCCGACAGATGCTAGCAAGTTTCATTAGCATGGCAAAGTTGGCTGTGATGGCAATTGTTTTACTTGGTGAAAGACTCCAGATATGGGAGACTCTCAATATCAATCCACCACAAGTTTATATTTGGGCAACTCAAAATAAGGTACATCCATTGTGTATGGTTTGAAATTCATTCTTAGAAAAGTAGCAAAATGAGGCAGGAAACACTGTACCCTTTGCATTTTTTGACACAAGCAGGGTTCGCACAGAGTCTTGAATTCTTGAAAAAGTCTTGAAATTTGCCCGGCAATTTTCTAGACCTGGAAAAAGTCTGGAAAATGGAGATTAAGGCTGGAAAAAGTGGTTAAGGTGGCTCGACTGGATTTTTTGGGGGGGATACCTCCCACATTTGAGCTTTAACTACGTCGGCATGAGTAAAGATATGAGAAAAAGGTTACCACAACTGTATTATATAAAGATGAAAATTTCTTATGATCTGGGTTTTATTGCAATCGGAGCAAATTATGTCCGAAAACTATAACAAAAGCAACTGAATGCAAGTCAATAAAATTCTTCTTACTCGCGATCTCTCAGAGCAATTCCCCTTTTTTTGTATGCAGTTTTCAATGGAATCAAACCACTATGGGATGAAGCTGCGTTTCCAAAGCTTATCAGTTTCTTAAAATATTAGCGAATTGTTTGGATAGCATGCTACTTCACTGTTTTTATGATTGTTAAAACTGCATGTCAAAATATTTCGAAAACGCTCTCATAGAATTTGTTGAAACTTTGCCATAATGGAGGCAATTATGGCAGGTACATACTCTGTTAAGCGATTTCTTCAAAAAACTCTTGGTACAGAGAAACACAAAGATGAATAAAAAGCGTTATGGCATCATTACGTTGCCATGGCGACTCCGATTGCAATAAAACCCAGATCATAAGAAATTTTCATTTTTATATAATACAGTTGTGGTAACCTTTTCCCCATATCTTTACTCATGTCAACGTACTTAATGCTCAAACGTGGGAGGTATTCCCCCAAAAAAATCCAGTCGAGCCACCTTAAAAGCCTTGACTTTTTTTAGAGCTACAACAACTAATGTATATGTGAAATTTTTTTTCCTTTTGGTCAAATCTTATTCAATCTCACATGTACGATTGCAGCACATCATGAACAAAGCTTTGTTTTGTGTTTTTTAAGGTATCCAATGATCACCTATTTGATAACTTTGAGTCTGGAAAAGAAAATATTAATTTCTGTTTTCCAAAAAAATTTTGGATCCAAAAATCTGTACAAACCCTGCCCAAGCAAGGAAAATTGTTGTTATGTGGCTTGAATTGGCAATGAAGGTAGTTAAAATGGGTTGAAGAATTTAATGGACTTGTGTTGCCACACAACAAAAATATTCATGATCATTTTTCGTGAAAATTCACTCATTTCTTAGTTTTGAAGAAGAAGGACATTAGTTTCATCAGTCATTTTTATACATCAGTAGAACTTCCTGTTTCTTACCTTTGTTGCAGATGTATGCCTGTATTTTGATATTTTTTACTACAAACATGATTGAAGGGCAGCTGATATCCACGGGAGCATTTGAAGTTTCACTAAATGGTAAGATCCAGAGACAATTGATGGATGCTTAAATTAGAATCTCAGTTTGTTTGTGCATAGGGTACTGCTAGTAGTAACTTTGGAGAACTGCTAGATTGCACAAACTTAATGTTAAGTTTGAAAATGACGAGACATGATAGAAAACAAAATTGTGTTCACTTGCCCCAGTGGTTTATAGAACAACTTACTCATCCAGCTCTGTTTCTTTCCGCCCTCGAAGTGGTAATGCCGTGTCAAGCACCGTTTGCTAATTTTTCAAAGTAATAATTCATGACATGATATTGGGCTACAATATGCAAGGTAACCTAAACCAAATATTTACCCTTAAGCTGATTTCCTCTTTTAGTGGTCTACTCTGATCCTTTTTACTCCTTTTTTTTTCAGGTTTGGGGAGGGGGGTACTCCGGGGGGAAGGCGGGTACCAATGAGGCATTATTAAAGGTGGCTAGGGACATAAGAAGGCTGAGGTTGTTATTTTGTTTAATATTGTTTACATCAGTAGAGAAGAAAATAATACAGTTTATCCCATGTATTTCCATTTCAGACATGCCAATTTGGTCTAAACTACAATCTGGTCGCCTTCCAAATCCTAATGAACTTCACCAGATCATTGAAAATCAGCTGAAGTTTAGTCCCGCGCATTAAGTAAGTACCAGTATGTTTGTGTTGGCTGTTTAATGCTTAAGCCTGGTTTTCTAGGGGTGACTATTGAGGAAATTTTAACTATTGAAACTATCGATTTTTCATTTTTACGATTGATCCATCGCTTTTGCAGCATTAATATTGCGATTAATCGATAGTTCGGTATTGTTACAGCCTTATTTTTTCTGACCATCCCATATTTTGCTGATATATTGAATAATTGCCAGAAGTCTTTCTTGTTCGCTTGTGTCTTTCTCAAGAGATGCCACGTCTGTGTGTGGTAGGGGGATTGGAGCCCAGCAATTTAGAGTAATGTAATGAGGAAAGTCCATCATCTACGACCCTGATGGTACAAATTTCAGTTTTCATTTGTCGAGAGTGATCGCTGACCATCACAGAAATCTGGGATGTGTCAGGAAAATAGAAACGCTCTCAATTCTCTGGAATTGTTCCAGACCATCCCAGGCAATTGGGGATATCTATGATTTTGAGTTTTCATTAGTCAACAAAATCTCAGATCGTCTGGGATTTTCCCAACATATGAAAACCAGGCTTAAATTTGCCTCTCGCCATTGGTAAGTTGCAAATTTTTCTAACAGATATGACCCCAAGACTTTACTCATTCCTCCGTTGAAACTTCAAGTGTAGTTCTTTCACACCAGAGAAAAATCTGAGCAAGATTTACACAGCTCAGAGAGTGAAGTGAATAATTCAACATTTGACTTCCCACAAGGTAGTTTATTCAGTGCAATAAAATAATAGAACTTTATAAAAAAAAACTCACCAAACACAAATAGCAGTATTTACAGTCAAACTTCCTATATAGAGACACCAAAGGTGTTGAGCCATATGTTTTCTTTACAGAATACAGTGGTGTTCATATTGTAGAGGTTCAAAATGGATTGTATAAAGTTTGATATCTTTGAACCTGAGTGAACTGTCCTACATGGGGCTGTCACCAAAGGCAAGTGCCAAGATTCCCCCAGCTACTATGAGCCTGACACCCAGACACTTTCATAGAACCTAAGAACTTCCTAACTGTTAAATTCTCTGCCTAATAATTGCAATTATCTGGCAACTTGGAATCTAACTGACAGCCCAGCCTGCACTGCAGATGTAAATTTAACCCCAGTCTGCAAAGCAGTGTTGAGATCCTTGTTCTGGGCCTTCAGTGGACTCAATGAATTACCAGAGGTGATTTTCGAATTTTCATTCAACCTGATTGGCAAACTGACAATAAATTATGGCTTTTTAACAGGCCCTCAAATCCCAATACACAGCTAGAGCCTAGAACAAGGATTTTTGCAGATGGACTTAACCAGAGTTTAGTTAAATCTGTGGTGCAGGATACTGACAGCCCTGCCTTTAGGTTCTTACACAGGAATGAATAGTATTTTAGAGGATTTTGGGTTAGGATCCTTTTGGATCTTAATTCTGAGAGGAATTCTACCCATGGTACTATTAAAGGAGCTAACTGTTTTCTGGAGCTTCTTGTACAGGGTGGTCTCACTTAGCATTATAATTTCACTTTTTTTTTTTTTTTTAAAAAGAGAAAGGATTTAAGAAACTAATAGGTTAAGTATTAATGTAAACATGTAATAATTTCCTCAGTTGATTGTAACCTTAAAACTCTCTGTTTCTCAACAGAATTGTGGTTTTCAAGGTGATGACTCCCATATAATGACGTTCACTGCATAAAGTGGATTCTTCACTCGCTTTGAACTGATGTTCTTCAGGAGAAATCATTCTGTGGAAATCTCAATATAATGCCCAGGAAAAACCTTCACAACTGTAATAATTTATTATTAAAAATCTACACAACCAACATTAGCTACTGTAAAAAGTACACACTGACAGTATAGTCTAGAAAGTTTTGTTATTTGTGATTTCCGTCGATATCTGCTGTGGTCTTTTTACATGTATTTATGTATTTCTTTTTGTTACAAATTTGGAATTGCATAAAGTTCTTCTACTTTATTCTTCCAGCTTAGTTTTTCAGTAACCTGTGTAGGGAAATGGAAATAAACATAATTTTATTATTTTAGCAGCATGACATGTTAGAAAAAAAAATCAGAACTGACTTTCCAACACCTCACTGAAATAGTTTTTTAAGAAGTGTTTTTCTCACCATTGTATCACCCCCTTCGCTCCAAACTGTCAAGAAAATCTTGATTTTTCCTGTAAGGAAAAAATTCATGGAGGTTTGCGCTAGCCTGACAAAACAGCTGACAGTTTGCTAGGTTTTTGCAATAGTTTCCCTGTGAAATGATGTCTGAGAAACAAGCACCGAAATTCCATACTGATGACATGTCACTTCCCAGATCTGGGTCAAGCTGCATAAGAAATGTGTTTCAGAAGCACTACCCAGATCTGCATAGTGATGTGTCATAAGTATGGCATTTTGGCCCTCTATTCTTAAATGTCATTTCATGGAGAAACCAGTTCAAAGTAGACAGACTGCAAATTATATTAGTTGCTAAAAAATATATAGGCAGGGGCATAGCCAGCCCATAGACCTGTAGGCCCGGGCCTACAAAATTTTTGGTTTGATCACTCTACCGCTTGTAATAAATTATGCGTTGTTGAGGGTGAGCTAAAAAGTGTAAGAGCTCAAAGTGTTGGTGAGGTCAGTGCATACTAGTCAGGCGTGCAATTTTCAGGATATGAGGAAATGAAAGTCAGCCAGGCCTATAACTAGTCGCAGGGTTGTCACTTAAGTTGGCGGGTAAATATAACAAGTACGCGGGGAATCAGACAGCTAGGGGTTTCTTTTGGTTCTACTTTTCTTCTATTTTTCTATGAAAGTAGCCAAGGGCCGCATTCATAGTAGCTGGGGGAAATCCCTGGTCCGCACCTCTTGATGACAGCCTTGTAGTCGAGAAGCTGGCTACCTCCCTAGTAGGGTTGCAAAATGTTGGCTGGTTTCTCAGGCTGAGTTTGTGCCTGCAGTAACTCAAAGTCAAAGTATGGTGTAACCTGTTTCCTACAGGATTATAACAAGTTTTCATTCAATAGAGGCAATTCCTCTTAATACCGGTCATTTTTAGCAGAAAATATGAGAAGAAAAGTTTGGGACTCACTGTTGCTTGTGTGAGCTTATACAAGGTGCCCTTTTGATAAGGGTTTCACTTTAAGGTTTCACTGTCAAATAAATTGTCACCAACAAACAAACACACAAGCAAAAAAGACTAAATTACAGTCTGTGAGCCTCTTTATGTCTTTCATCTGCTTCCTGGGTCCTTAAAGCTCTGCGAAGTTCATTCCTTTCAGCCTTTGAAAATAAGAACATTTTATTTCATCAAAGTTATGTGCTTATGGCTTATGATGTTGTTATTTGAGAGTTTGATGCCCCACTGCGTCCAGGTCAATGGAAGGAAAACAATAACAAATCTAGGGTGACACAGGCATAAGCATTACAACCAGCAATCAGGATAAAACCACCAGTTACTTAAGTAATGATCCGGGTAACGTGAATTTCTTTTGTTATGCGGCAATGGTGCTTTCCCCACATAGGAATGTTCTCCTTTTTACACAGAGAATGCATAAACCAACATGAAGGCCGTTTACGCAATAAGGATGTTTTTTTGTGTAAAAAGATTTTGACCAATCACAAGAGTTGAAAACAATAGCCAAGAAGAGTTTACAATTTTACATGTTCCCCACACAGGATTTCTTTGTTATTTAAACTGAGACCAGATTTTGTTATATGGAAGATGGCTGGAAAGTAAGGATGAATATGTGTACTGCTTTATGAAGTTTTGTTAACTTTTGCTGTTTAAGCCAATCAGAACTAAGTACAGACAACAGCAAAGTAACCACCTTTTTTGCATTCCAACGTGTTCGTTGCTGTTGTTGCTATCGTTCTTATCTGGACCGTTTCTTTAAAAAAATCATTTGCCATTCTTTTCTTTTGGCTTAAAGCTCAATTTTTAATGAAGTAAAGTGATTTCACCTTTTGCGGCTCTCCTTGGGGATTATGTATGTCCCAAGTCTGAATTTCAAAACCTGTTGTTTCATGTATTGAGGTTGAAGCCATGTTGCTGTCAGTATTAAACCATTTCTCTTTTCTCTGTCACCATATCAGTTTCACCTGTGTTTGAGTCGTTTCTTGCCATTTCGGCTGTCCTATGTCGCTGTTTCAAGGCCACGTCGCTTGTCGGAAATTTATACTAACAGGGCCTCGCTTTTAGGCAGCAATCAAGTTTGGGGCAACAAGAGGCATCACCTTATAACAGGAAAATGCCTTACACACTGACCTGCTCTCTTGCTTTTGCTTTCCTTTCTCTGTTTTCTCTCTCCTCAGCTTCTCTCTTTTCTCTTTGCCACTTTTCACGCTTTTTCTACAACAGAAAGCAGTTATTTTTAGCAGGAATGGAGAGAAAACACACACTCTCACCCATAGGTGAAACTTAACTGTGGTCACTTGGACAGGGTCTGAAAAGGGATGTAAATAAGCAGTGTTGAATCCCAAAATGGGAGGTTTAAGACAGTTCTTTGTTGAGAGGGTAGTAGTGATCCAGGTGGAGGAGGGGGGAAGGAGCAGGGATCTTTTCCTGTAAAATATGAATCTTTACCGCACAACCCAATGCTAAATTGACAGGAGTACCTAGCCGGCAAGCAAGCTCTCCATTTTAAAAGGGGAGTAAAGCAAGTCATGTGAGAATACTTGAATAAACAGTGAAGCTGCAAGGGCATTGCTGCAAGGCATTGTGGGCTTGTCGTGTATCTGGCATTCAGCCATGAAGTATTTGCCTGCAGGGAGTGCAGAGCTTGCTTGCAGGATAGAGAGAGGGGAGAGAGGGTACTCTTGAAAATGTAGGAGCGGGGCGTGTCACAAAGATCCCTTTTTTAGGGAAATCAGCCCCTATAAAGACTGTAACTTAGAACTAGTCATTTGGGTGAAATAAATTGAATTTGAACTTGAATTTAAATGACTGGTTGGACATTGGGAGCTGATTACCAAAACAATTCACCTGCATTTCCAGTCCACTACTTGCAGCTTTGACGGCCTTTTGTTTCTGCATTACAGCCGTACGATAATTTCCAGCACCACCCACTCTGCTGGGTCTTTCATGAACATACTGTAATCGTCTAGCTTCACGGCGAGCATCTGCTTCTTCCATCTCCTTTTTGGCCACTAAGTGAAGAATTATGTAAAATTATTACATGATAAAGAATTATCTAAAATTTTACAAAGAAGGCCATCTTTTTAAGAGTATCATGGCTTGTGCATTTCTTCAGCCCTCACCCCCGCCCCCACCCCCAAGCTGGGAACTGAATCTTCCGTAGCTTCAATATTTCAAGGTTTCAAAGGCTTTTTTAAAAGTTAACTTTCAATACCTTGCTCCATTTGTGCCCTCTTCCTTTCGTTTGGTCTAAACATCGTAAAGCCGACATTTCTACGAGCACAAATAAAACGAATTTTTTTTCAGTTATTCATAAGCTTATATCTGGCATCTCAGCCAGACAGAATTTTCAAAATACTCGGTGTCCGGCAGTCTAATTTTCTTCGCTTTCGGGTAGGTTATGCGAAAAAGGGTAGCGATTGGGGGAAGAAGACGAGGAATATGGACGTTTGTATTTATGCAATCACCGATACGAGAAAATTTCGACTGCCATACACGGCAAGGCACTTTGAAATTCGGATCTTAGTTACAGGGAGAACAGGAAGAAAGGTTTCTCAGATACAAATATCATCAGCCTGTGCTTAAATTAAGCGTAATACCTTTGCTGTCTGGATGAAGTTTCGTCATTTGCTTGTTGCCCAGTTTGATCCAGTTCCTTCGATATTTCGCTTCCATCGTTGTACGACTCATAGCCTCCTGATCTCATTCCTTGCCGTCGGATATCAGCTCCTTGCGAATTTCTGTATGTTCTGGAATGACTAGGATAACTCATGGCTGACTGGAACTTTATTTACATCCGTTTTTCCTATCTCTTTTAAAAAACTAAATCTTGAAGAACAAGGAGCAAAATGTAAGTCTCAGAAACCTTCGGATTTTCCGAGAAAATGTGATAAACAACTGCATCTTTCGGGGAAATTCCCGCCATCCCCCGAAGCGAGCACCGGAAGCGGAAGCGGAAGTGACTCTGAAAATGGAAGTTGCTATTAATTCAATGTCCATGAGATTATAAAGATTTACTATGGGACTGTTTTGGGGGACGAATTTTACCAGTTTCTTGGGTAACTTCGTGGTAGCCAACGAAAGAGGTGAGAGCGAGAAGTGAGGCCGGGCCGGCCGGCATGTCCGAGCTCCAAAAGCTTTCACTTTCAAAACGAAGCTAAGTGTAAAAGTGAGTTTTGCGTGGGACCAAAAAATGATTTTCATATCAATAGCCTGGGGCAACTCGGTGATGGCATATTGTTAAAACATGTTTGATCATCTTAGGTTGTGAGCTCAGACATCCCCTCCCCTAGCACAAAAGGCTGATTTAGCAACAGAACGGGATCGTCAGTTGATGACGGCTTGAGAAATGGCAGAGCAACAAATTGGGCACCGGAAGTCGTGTCCTTTCCGCGCTGTTTCCCGTAGTCAACCGACGTTCCCATCCTGTTGCTAAATCAACCTAAAATTGGGGAAGGGGGCGTCTGTAAGCAGGCTAAGCTTAAGTGAACATTGTTTTACAAATCACTGTATTCTGTCAACCTTATTTGATGACATTGTTCACTGGTATGTGGGAAGGGCCTAATTAATTATTTATTTGAGGAAAATAGTGAAACAATGAATAGTGATCTCAATCCTATCGTGACACGCAAAAGCACTGCTGCTGAAAAGAATTCATTCCAATGGTCACAAAATTCTCTATTCTTAAATCCCTAAAATTCACTTTATTTGTTTCCTCACCCCCGCCCCATCCCCCCCGAATTTTGCATAAATTATTGTTTTCAAATGCTCCTGGGAGGACTGTATATTCCCAAGAGCATTAATTTGAAACAATAGTTTATTTATGCAAAATGTGGCGGGCAAACAGAGTGTATTATGGGGGATTCGCTAATAGTAAATAGGATTTCAACCACAGAACTAAAAGTTACACAATATGCGTCGGCAAAAATAAGCAACCAATGATAAGATGCACTAAGCTGGATAAACAATCTTTAATCGTTTGCTCTTTCACCTCCAAATTTTTTTTAACGTATCTTCTATAAATATAATACCGAATGACCGCTCCTAAATACTTCACTAGATACTATATATATATATAAAGTAGTAGACAAGAATAATCACTAGATAAAACTGGAATATCATTTGTTGGTATATATTAGCTTCATTCAGCGACCGTGTTAGCGTATAAGCACGTTCGTCACGCGTATTGAACAGGGTTCGTTCTTCCGCAGCACTGGAAAACAGCTACCCCCTCCTGGAAAAGCACATTACTAATGTACCACCCAGTCCAAGTTTTGGAGCTACTCGCCGTTATCGACAATGTAAACCTTAGCATATCGAGAACTGCAATTTACTTTTGCATTCGTCGACATAGACTGCGAGTCAACTGTCTATTTAAGATCTTAAACGCAGAAAACAAAGAGATCGCCACTTGTCTGTAGGAGCAACCTTATCTCTCTAACGTTAACGATAATATAACTGTTAACTGTCAAGAATGTTGATTTTACTTGTTTGCCAACGCGTGAGGTTTTAAGGGTGATAAGGGCGTTCAATGCTCAATTTTATTTCACTCTCATGATCTTGCAGCATGGCCGCAATTCTGTTTGTTGGAGCGGAGTTTGCACCTATTCAAAGGGGGTTTTTCTCATTGGCGTTGCCAAGACCTTGTCTGCTATCCACTCATATTGTGGAAAATACCAGTGAAACTAAGTCCAGTGTTCCCGTCTTCAACCTAATGACAAATTCGACCTGTCATGCAGGTTTCTTCGCCATACCAAGAAAATGAGCCTGAGAAACCAACTATGGAAAATACCAGTGAAACTACGTCCAGTGTGCCCATCTTTATGATCATAACAAATTGGACCTGTCATGTAGGCTTCTTCGGCATTCCGGCATAGATACCTTTCCCCAAAAGATATTGAACTAAATCTCGAATCATCGCATAAGAATATTTCACATTCACTTCAAAGCATGAACTTCCGCTTCGGCCAAAGCAGTTTCATCATCATCGCCTCTGGTTCTGTTTGCATTCGCACTGTAACTGTCAATGGGTGTATCTTCCTCACTGGAGCTCAATCCCGATCCCAGGTCATTATTCTCAATGCTATCCTCATCAAATTCATCTTCACTACCTGCTTTCTTATCCCCGGTCTCTTCCTCATCCTCATCCAACTCACACTGAGTCAACCTGCCTGTAGTCGAGGCTAGTTCCCAGGCAAGGTTAGTCAAGGTCGCACGGTCAGCCTCGTCTTGGTCCGCTCGCAGCTCATCCTGAGTGACTCGGGAACAGAGCTGTTCTAAGAAGTCATCATCGCTGTCATCAGACCAGTGAAACACTGGCGGGTTTGGACTAAGTGTCAGCTCTGAAACGGTTGAAACGCGGTGCACCAGGCTGTAATCTTCGAAGCCATTTGGTGGCTGCGTCTTTAGGAAATCCACAATTCCGAAGTCGTGAATCTGAGCATCATACACGATGTCAGTTCCAACAGGCATGGCTATTGTGGAGGATTTAGAGTCAGGTCTGTCGCGGCTTTTAGCTGATAAAGTTGGCTCACGTAAAAGAGGAATAATAGGGCGTGGGCTTTGCGGACGTACTTCACTGCCAGTGGTATTAACTTCCTCCGCGCCTCTTTGCTGACTGACCTCATTTTCGAGAAAACTCTCCTGTGGTTTCCACACATTACGTGCTAATAGTGTCTGGCTTAAATTATCGGGTTTAATTTGTGACGAGCTAATTGTAGACACCCTCTCACGAGAGTTAGAGGGTGATCCGTCCTTTACACCGGCGAGGAAAAACTCGGAGAGACCAATATGGCTTGGCTGTGGACTCCATACTCTTGCCGATGATCCATCGCTCTGCTGCTTGATTTGGGAGTGTTTCGCTATGTTCTGTCCCGTTCGAGAATTAGCCCCTCTGACACCAAGCCTTGAAAAGGGCGATGTCTGTTCCAAGGAAGGGCTGACAGAAGATACAGGTGAAACATCTTGTAACACCAACGCATCGCTATCAGCTTCGAAATTTCCCCTGGGGGTCATGCACGTAATACTGACTCTCCCAGACCGTGACACAGGTCTACTTTGGGACTGGGGGTGAGGATGAGAATCTTGTTCGTCAACAATACAAGCAGTTGTTTCCTCTGCGCTTAATTCATCATCGGTGATCTCCTCAATCGCTATCACTCCTCTGGATGCAGCAACACTTGCCACTCCGTTTTCTCGCGCATTTTTCTTGTTTAATGCACCCAAACTCTGAAAAATCTCACGGTAGTTCGTGCCTAGTTGGTTTTCGACTTCCATTTCTCTCTGTGGGCTGCCGTCTGACTTTGGGTCTTTGCTATTGCCTTGAAAATCTTTCAAGGGAGTTTGCCGAGAGATGAAGTTTGGATTACTTTGGTGCTTTTTCAGCATCATACGGTCAAGATAGCTCAGAGACTTGTTGGGGCCAAAATTTAGTTTAATCTCCTGTGTTTTGGGAACCTCGGGCGTGGTGCTTGTTTCACACGAGGTGCCTGTAAATACAATGAAAGTATTAGGACCACAGCGTTCACCTGTACTAACTTGCGAGGCGGCTACTCGAAAAGGAGCCTGGGGAAAACTGGAAATAATCGGACAAGCGAGAACGCAAAGGGTGCACGAGGGAGGGGGGGAGGGGAACATCGACGTCCCCTCTCTTTTGCGCGTCTTTCAATTTCAAGTCCGATCTTAAATATCAATTAGAATAAAAATGAAAAAAGAAAAATTAACGACTCTCTAGTCTTTTCATAAAGACAAGAAACACAAACCAAAAAAGCAACTTAATTTTGATAAATTTACATCGTTAATTTAGATAACCTATAGGCGATAGATTGTAATGTTTAAATACCTCTGGGTACACTTGGGTTTGTCCACATCTTCTCTGTTTTACCAGCGCTTCTCCATTCCATGAGAGCCTGTGCAAAAGATTGTGCACTAGCTTCTTCATCATAAGAACCCTGCAAGAGGGATCCACCTTGATGTGCTGAAGAATCACTCAACTACAAAAAAGGAATCAAGGTGGAAAGAAGAAGATGTAAAACTTGTAAACTACCATGTCAAAGGTTGTTACACCACCTTTGAATTTGTACTGTTAACCCATTAAGTCCCAATGGTGACCAACATCAATTTTCTCCTAACAATACATACATTGTCAAGAGATTAGGTTATGAGAATTAATAAAATGATCACCAAAGAGAAAATGCTTTGATCTTTTATCAAAAAAAATTAATTCTCTCGACTCATTCTTGAAGGAAATATATAGAGATCAGTTTGGAGAATTTGTATGTGGATACTGGGACTTAAAGGGTTAAACAACAAACTCACACAAGTATCATTTGGACATTTCTTAGTGTAGACAGTATAACCCCATCCCTCCATTGCAGTAACATTTAAAGGCATACTTTTGCAAAGGACAAACGATTTTCACTTTTGTGAAAGGGGAGATGGGACAAGAAGTGTCTCGCAAATTTGTCGAAGGTCGTGGATGGATTTAAGTAAATCTGAATGTCCAGTTGCCGTATTACTAGGAAACAATTTGATGATTGACCTAACAAATCACTTGTGAAAGAACTGCAAGCTTTCATACCTGTGGAGATTTTGGTTGAGCGTGGCTGGTCACCCTGAAAAAAACATTAATAGTGAGACTGAGCTTTTAACTTTGCATCTCATGAAAAACCGGTTGCATCAAAAAACGTTCAATTGAAACAAACTCGTCACTAAAAAAGTTACCATCATACCTGGAGACTTGCTTTCGAGGTGATATTTCTTGTTTAGCAGGAATGGAACTCTTGATTTCCTTTTTCTCAAGTTGTTCTGCCTCATACTATGAAACAAAAACATTTGACGTTAGTGGCAAAATCAGTAAAAGGTATTAAGTCTATAAACATACAAAGTTTTGCAACCTTCTACTACGAGCAAAATGAAACACAGAAAAGCACTTAAGCGCAGTTATTGATACAAGACACACCTGTTCAACTGTTTGCGTCGTGTGCTTCTTCAGTGCTCCCTTTTGATGAAAAGACATGAAGCAACTCACACAGTATTTTTCAGAACAATCCACACAGACCTGGAGACAACAAGATGCAATGTTACTGTAACTGTGAGTATTGCCTAAAGGCTGGTTTTCAGTCTCAGAATCCTGTCAAGAACCCAGATGTTTTTCTCTGTTGATAGCTTGTGACATTTGCAAATGTCTCCCAATAACTTAGTCTAAGATTAGAAGATAACTGACATTTTGTGACACCACTAGTTTTCCCAACAAAATGATGTCTGAGAAACAAGTGAAGAAATTCCATATTGATGAGGTGTCACTGGGTAGTGCTTCTAACCAATCAGGAGCACTGCCCCGCCCAGATCTCGTTTCTCAGACGTCATTTTGTGGGGAACCATTACTGGCACCACAAAATGTTGGTTTTAGCCACCATGCATATTGGAATAATGACGTATTTACTGAGATTCAAAAGGCAGATCTGGAGTTGGTTTTTAACAAATTAATGCACAGTGATGTAAAAAACAAACAAACAAACAAACACACAACAAAAAAACAACAACAACCCTTTAAGTGCATGTAAACAGAGTAGAAATACAGTGTAACCCTACCAGAGTAGCTTTTGTCCTCTCACACTGGCCACATCCTAAAGCACCAAGATTGTCCACTTGCTGAGCTCTGGGTGTTGCTTTCTTTTTGTAACTTTCTGCAAAAGTATGGACTCTTCAATCAACTTAACCTTTAAGTCCCAATATCAAGTAACAAACAAATTATCCACTCTGATCTCCATACATTTCCTTGAAAAACTAGTTGAGAAAATTTGTTTTAAGATCAAAGCAAGTTCTAAAAATAGTGATGATTTTATTAATTCTTACAACCCAGCCTTGATCATGTACATGTATTTGATATAGTTAGGAGAAACTTGATGTTGGTCACTCTTAGGTCTAAAAAGGTTAACACATAGATTTCACTTCACTGTATACAGTGATCTTGTTACCTCTGCGTCCTGTGTCCCTGACCCACAAAAATCCCCAAAGACACAAAATAATTTGTGGTATGCATTCCGTAAGTTGAAAGATCATTATTTTGATCAACCTGAAGTATCCTGTTTGTGTGATTTCTGTGGCTGTTCTTGTAGCTGTTGCTTAACGGCGCATATTTCTTTTAGTCTTTGTTGTGCTTGACAAAAGAAGGGGTATATATTTATTTTTTTTCAGTGACTGTAATACGGAGTTTTGGAGTCCGTCTTTAGATTAACAGTGTGGTTACATGAAGACCCAGGGCTTTTGAATAGGGACTCAAAGGTTCTGGACTAGGACTCACAATTTTTTACAAGAATAGTCCCAGGACTCACCATAACTACTATTTGTAACAAAATCACTGTGTATACCCTTTACTGTTCAGTTTTAAAATAACAACCTGACAACAAACTGAGAAGAACAAGAAAGCGAACCATAAAACTCAACACCTCGCTAACCAATAATTGTAGTAAGAATATTATTTTCTAACCACAACTATTCTTTACATAAGGGCAACTGTGGGACACAAAAAGGAAATAATATTGTTTTGCTCTGTCTTTGTTTAATACTCACCTAAGGGTTCATCTCCAAGGACTTTAATTCTCCTCTGAGGCTGCAAAAACCAAGAAGCACTTACATGTAACTACACAACACATCCTTATTATAACTTGAACTTAAAAAATGCATTTTGTATATAAGATACTATGTCTGTAGCATCACTCCTCAGTCTTCGTCTCTGTTTTCAGCCTCGCTCCAGGGCTTTTGTTTGACTGTTCACGAGTACTTGAATACGCAAAAATATTGACTGTTTTGCAGTCTCTCTATATTAAATAAAAGCAAATAATAATTAGGTGAAAGGCAAAACATTGCACTCACTTTATCAGTTTTTTGGTTCTTTTTCTTGAGTACATCTTGTACATGGTTGTTGAGGGGACCGGATTTTCCTGACACCCACCTTGTTCCACCTAGCTTCCTGTTAACAAATTAATGTAAACACTGAAAAAATGATTTGTTACTCTGGTCAAATAAGAAGCCTTCACTCCCTGGAAATAGGGCTTTCCCACCCAAATCTTATTTCATTTTAATACCCTTGCTAGATACGGTAGAGAAACTTGACATTTGATCATATACACAAGCAAATTTGTGTGTTATAAGTAATAAAATTATTATTATTGGTTGTCTAAAACCATCCCTTCTCAACAACAACAACAAAAAAGCACGAGAAGATACCACCACACCGATGGTATTGAATGTACTTATGAAGGTTCTTAATCGTCCCCTTTAAATTTGATAAGAAAGGAGGAAGGAGACAAGGACAATGAACTAACGTCATCCAGGGCTTGAAGAAATATTCCAGCATGTCCAGGACATTTTGCTCACCCAAGGCCATTCTTGCTTGTCTAAGTTAATGAATTTGCCTACACTATCAAGTTCTTCACGCCGAAAACAACTGTCAAGAAAATTAGTATCTGAGGATAACTTGCAGCTCAATGAGGGAAGGAAGCCGATTGGATGCGCTTAATTGATTTGGAAGGGATACGGACCCTGTAGTCCCTCATTTTTCTGCCCATTTGGCAAGTAAGTTTTAACTCTTTAAACCCCAAGATCAAAACTTGAATTCTCATTGTTGCCCCCATTCATTTCCTACAGAAGTAGTGGAGAGAAATTGATAAAAGATCAAGCAAATTCATCTTGTGTGATCATGTCTGTAATTCTCATGACCACTCAGCTGTATTAAAAGCATAGATACTACAAGGAGAAATTCGATGCTGACCACTGTGACTCTTTGGACTTAAAGGGTTTAAAGTTAATTGCCCAGCAAGAGAAAGCTACTCGTCCCAAACTACCAGACGGACTTTCTTCAAGCCCTGTCACCCCCCAAAAGACACATTCATTTGAACTGAACCCAGATTTTCATCTCAGCTAGCACGATCTTGAACTAGGATTGTGGCTTGGTGAGGTTTTAAACCCAGCATCACCTTCTGCTCATCATACACTCCGCTATTCCCTTAAAATTAGGAGCTTGTTTCTAAATCATAAACCCGCTTCAGGGCAGCAGAACAAAAAAAAGTCTTGTCTTCAAGCATGTCCCTCTGTTACACCCAGCGAACAGGGACATTCTTTGAAGACTATGATGTTATAGATTCTAACAATTTGACACTTACTCTCGTTCTTCTTTCTCTTTGAACATTTGTTCTTTCAATGCACGAATCCTCTCCTCCATCTTCTTTGTTTCAACCTCCAGTTGCTGAGCAGTGTTGCTTTTAAGCTGTCTCACAGCCCTGTGTTGAGGAAAAAATATTAGTCACGATGGCGACAGCAACAACAACATCACATCAAAATCTGGATTTAGATTTTGAAATCCAGATTTTGGATTTTTGCCCTGGGTGCCTGAGACTTTTCTACCACGGCCGAAGATGTGTTGGTCTTCGGCTAACACTGAAAATTCCCGCTGCATGCAAGAAAAAACTCTGGTACCCAGGGTGTTGGATTTTGCAATCAAAATGCTAAATCTGAAAAGGGTTTTTACCTCTGAGAATTCAGTCCTCAAGATGGATTGTGTAATATTGCTTTCCTTCTTTGTCATTTGATTGGAATGCAAAAAAGGATTTACAAAACTGTTCTCATGAAACAGTGTTCTTTTTTTCTGCTGATAATGTGTGTGCACTTGTGAGAACACTGTGCTTGTAAACAGTTTTTTTTCAAATCCTTTCTCAGATTTCCCAAAAAAAGACACATTTCTCAGCGTTGGAATCTGTTTTTCAGATTGTGCCTTCGATTGCAGATTCAAATTCTGGATTTCAAAATTTAATCCATATTTTCCTGTAATTATTCAACAATGTACGTTTCCTTGTCAACAAATTATGTTAGATTGCATGGATACTGTTAAATTCATATCTATACTAAATCTAAAGACATTATATTTCTTCGGCAAATAAACCAAGAAATACTATACACTTTAAAATTAAATAGACTTTATTGAAAAGATTCTTGAAATGTGTTTAAACAAAAAGGTGCTTTCAAGTCAAATCCCAACCACAAGAAACTCGAGTTTCAATCAAGTGGACCTTCAAAAACGGTTATATCGAGAAATAGCGGAGAAATAAGGAAACACTTGTAGAAAAGAAGCAGAAGAAAAAAGAAAACAATGAAAAGATTTGTAATTTTTTTATGTACACGTAGGGTTAAGCAATCATACATCGAACTGATCATATTTTAAAACCTAAAAATCGAAATAAAAGTAAGATTGTATTTTATGAGAGTGTACGTGAGCTTAAATCAAGTCCAGAGCAAAAAAGTTTGAAGTTCAAAGATCCTCATTTTCGATGTTGCAATGGGCTGGTCGAAATCATTTAAATTGAATCACTGGATTAAAGAAAATTGAGAAAGCGATTTATGCAGCTTTAGTAGACCACTTACTTTTTCCTAGCCTTTATGTACGAGGCTTCGTAAGACATCCTTGAACTTAAGGTCATCCCAACCAACAAAAAAAGAATCCAAAAGAAATCTTTAGCTTCTAAATAATACTACACAACCATAAACGGAAAAGCAAGGCACTTCTTTCATTAGCTCCTCGTTTCGAAAGCGTGTTGATGTATGTTTTGAGAAGACTGTCATGGCCGACTCACATCACGTGACTAATGTGATGCTACCATGACAACAGTAAAAAAGGAAAAATGGCGGGAAAAGGTGTTTCCGGCAGGAAGGGAAGTGAAAGGGGAAAATGTCAAATTAAAATAAGGAAAACACGAAGAGAAAAAAACAAAAAAACAAAAACAAAAAATGGAATTTTAGGCCACCCTACTTACAGGTGCTCCCTCTGTTGCTTTTGATGTTTTCATCTTTTTCTTTTTTTTCCAAGTCGCACAGAAGTTTAAAAGTGTGTTTTACATGTAGCTACATGTTAATCCACAAGTTACTTCATCTTTTACTCCATTCTTCAAGTCATGAAGAAGTTTTGATAACGCATATTTTACATGTTTTAAATCCACAAAATACTAACAGGCCACCGGACTCTTTGGGATATGTGTGACCAACAAAATACGTCCTAACAAATTTCTGCATTGGTGTTTTTTCTACTGTCTACAATATGTTTAGCGTTTAGTTCTTTGTATAGTTGCACATTCCTTTCACGTTCTTTTCAGTTATCGCTATTCATATTCTGTGTTTCTCATCTCTTAGATTTTTGTAAGTTTCTTTATTCTGTCTAGCGTTCACGGCAACATCATTGCCCGTCCAGGATAAGACAGAATAATTTCTAGTCAATAACGTTTGTAATTTTTCGCTTATTTCTTTCCGTTTCCTGTAATTTTCGTCGTTTCAATTTTTGTATTCCTTAGTAATTTGTATTTTTTGTTTCCAACCGTAATCGATAAAAGGTCCGAGTTGGAACCGTGGACCATTCTTGGATTATTCGCTATAATAAACTGTGTTAACATCTGTTTTTCTTCTGTCTAAAAAGACAGAATAATTTTAACTTTCAATTTTTTTTTATTAAAATCCATAAAACAAAAAACTTTTTAGTTTTTATTAATATACAAAACTTAGTTTGCACAGTTAAATAAAATCTAGTAGAGGGACAATATGCAGGTATTACACAGTGTCCTGAAAGGAAAATAAATACTATGACTTAGAAAGCTTCTTTTTGTTTAAGAATTTCATCAAATCTGTCAAGTTCTGCCATTGCTTCTGCAGCTTCTTCATCCTCTTCACTGGATTCCCTTTAAAATTAAACAAGAAAGAAATTAAAGATAAACAAGAGTGCACCCAATGATATTATCACTGTCATTTATTTATTACATATTATTATTAAACATCAGACTCACTATGAAAAATCGGATTGGTCGAGAACATTCAATCAATTCACAATAGCTTGTGAACTTGACATGATAAATGCAATATCTGCTGCAGATATTGCATTTATCATGTCAAGTTCAATGTCTGCCTGGTTACCAAGCCCCTTGGAGTGTTCTCCTCAGAAACAGAATGGCTGAATGTCTTCTTTTGCCTATTGTTTAAAAAATGTATAATAAAACAATTATTGAATTCGGTTTTCGCATGATATCATGAAAAATTATTATCAAAACCTCGTGTCTGTATTATCTGCCTCAGCCTTCGGCTTCAGCAGATAACACAGACCTCGGTTTTGATAATTAATGATATCATGCTCAACCTCATCCAATAATTGTTTATTAATTTAGGAATGGATATATAAATGTTTAAATCACAGTCTTTCTCTATCAGTTTTACTTACATGTCAAGGAAGTCATCTCTTTGTCGGCGATGTGAAATTTCTTCCTTCTACGAAGAGAACATATGTATCATATGAAATCGACTTCTACATTAAATTACCAGTGAAAATAAACACAACAAACTTTTTGAAAAACCGAGGGAGAGTGAAGAAGCGGGGGGGGTTCAAACACACAAGAATTTCATTTACTGTAGTAGGCCTTTCCAACTCGTCCCCAAGGAGAGGACCTTGGGAAGGAGGTTGAAGTATAGCTCATTTATTTATTTATTTATTTTACCTTGTAAGTACAAAATTCAATACTGAATATAAACGACTACCGCCACCCAGCAGACAAATCCAAATCACTATAGTATCCCGAGGATATCTATAATTAAATTTATACTTATCAACTAGATAGTGATGTATCCAGTGGGTAGTAGTTTCAACCTTTTGAGTAACTGCTGTCAGATCTCTAACTAAGCCGTATTACACCTTACTTTTAATCTCTCAGCTTTCCTTTGGGCTAATGTTTGTTGCACTTCTTCCCTATGTGATGTCTGAAAGTTAGAGAAAGAAAAAAAAGAGGAAAACGAAACATCATTTTATTAAGCTGATCCGGGTTACATGAGTTATCACAAGCCTGCGGGGAGCAGACACTTTTTTTGGCTGTTGTTTCACCTGTACTTTCTCAGTGGGTGAAACGAGAGCTGAAAAAAGCATCTGCTCCCCACAGACTAGATTATTGTAGGACAGCCCATCACATCTTTTCTTGGAAACCAGCTGTCTTGTAAAGAAATTTTTATCACAAGTTACAAAGAAAGGGAAAACCTCTGCTTCTCTCCATCTGACCCAGCACAATAGTAATAAAACAACCTTTATTGAGAAGACATCTCAATTATAGGCAGAAAGCTCAGTGGCAGGACACCCTGCAAATTAGTTTGGGCTCTATTCTCCAGAAAGAATATACTGGGTTCCAGCTGAGGTTATTCTTTTCTTGGGAGCTTTTTCAAACTGTGAGCATGCTTTATTCACCTTAGGTATTTCTAGAACAGACCTCTGGATATTTGAGTCAGGGGACAGAAAGAGATCATAATACAGTGTCCTCATAAGTACTTCTGTGCTAAATACATCAAGTTAAGTACGTTTTTTGGCAGGTGTGGCATATAAACATCCTGTAACTCATACCCTAGCTGTAATCCTTGATGTAAGTTCAATGAACTGTGCACGCGATCTCGTGTAGGTTAAAATGCGTTTTAATGAGACTCAATCAAACCTTAAGTACATGTGCCATGCAATAGTACTTGGCAAACTTTCAAATCAATTAATTCAAAACCGAACAAACTAACGCATATTGTAACAATCCTAACACCTTTATTTGCCTCGATCAACCCCTCTACCTGCATATTGAACCTCGCCTGCGAGCAAGCTCTCTGGGGTGCCCTGGCGGCGGGGCAGGAAAAGGAAGGAGAGCTTGCAGCTACATCTCTGGAATTTGCATATCTGCATCGATGAATACCTGATGCGAAATACTGATAGGCGGAGATGACATTAGTAACGATGTCATTACTTTAGCCCCTTTTTTTTTAAAGTTTGTGTACTTTTGCGCTTGTTTCAGTACATTGTCGGAAATTTGACAGCTCAGTCGACAGGAAGCCTCAGGGGAATTGGAGGTGGAAATATTCAAATTCCAGAGACATAGTTGCAAGCTTGACTTCCCTTTCTCGCCCTGCCGCCAGAGCACCCTGGAAAGCTTACTCACAGAAATTGTCTCCATCTCCCAGCATAATGATTGGGCTGATTTAGCAACAGAACGGGAACGTCAGTTGACGACGGCGTGTGCAAATCAAACAACTGGCTTGACCAATTGCACAGCAGCAAATTGGGCACCGGAAGTCGACTTTAGTCCTCACCGTTCTGTTGCTAAATCAGCCTAGTATTTTGCTAAACATTTCAACAACAAGTTTATCAATTTCAGAGCTGTTCATATCATTTAACCATTTAACTGACCAATTTCTGTATGTATTCTGCCTCCTCTCTCTCTTTCCTTTCTTTCGCATCTTCTAGATGTCTCTGAAGTCCTAAAAAATTTCCATCATTGACTACAGAACGACTAATTTGATCGGAAGGTGAGCTTACAAGTACTCTGAGAGAAGTGACAAAAGTACAAAGGATGTTCCTATTTCTACAAACAACTTACTTGGATTAGTTTCTTCTTCTGTCGACTCTAATTTAGTCCCAGTGGCATTATTTACAAGTAAAATATTTTCTGAAGGAAAACAACGAATTTCTATCAGAACGGTTCCATCAAAACATGCATGTAAACACAGGTAAACTGCTGTCAGCTACAGCGATTCGAACGCTATTAAAAGTTTACGCTTAAATTTACGAACCGTTATGAACTGCAGGCGCTGTTGGCAATCGATGATTTAATCCACTGACAAATAATGTAGACTTTGGCGCTGGAGGAGGTTCTATTGACTGCCAAAAAGACTTGGCAAGCTCAATAGTTTCAGCTGAGCTGCCCGAAAATGTTACTTCGTTCGCCATCTTGTTTATGTCGTTTCCAGGGACTGACAGTTGCACAGGCTAACCAATCTTAACACCGACAAAATTACAGTCACTGTCACGGGGTTCTTGCAGAATGCTAGAATGTCTGTAATGACAAGGTGTCAGTACTAAGCAGGTGTCTGTAAAGTGGGGTTTTGACTCTGGCGGGCGGGGGGTGGGGGTACTCACTTATATAAGCCATACGTGTATGTTCCACCCCAAAGGGTAGGGTTTTTGTACCGCTTTGGTCTGAAAACGGGTATAGATTTTGCCTATTTTGGTCTGGACTCGGGTATGATTTACGAGAGAACTACGATTGTGTATCAATGTGTTTGTCGTTTCAATTCCAAATAAACAAAAAAGAAAGTGTACTATGCAAATTCTAAATGGATTTTAAGAAATCTTTTCATTGCAATGATTTTGGTGTTCGTATTAAGTGGGTGTCTGCAAAGTAAGGTTTGACTCCCGAGGGAGGGGTGGGGCGGGGAATCCCTTATATAAGCCATATATGTATGTATGTAATGTATAGGTATGTGCCACCCAAAGGGTAGGGTTTTTGCACCGTTTTGGTCCGAAAACGGGTATAGATTTTGCCCATTTTGGTCTTGAATTGGGTATGATTTACCAGGGAACTACGATTGTGTATCCATGTGTTTGTCGTTTTAGTTCCAAATGAGTAAGAAAGAAATTGCAACATGCAAATTCGAAAATGATGGATGGATTTTAAGAAATCTTTTTTTTTGCAATGATGACATAATTTCTGTTTTATGTAAACAAGTAATGTTGCATTTTGTGACCACCTACAGGTCTGAAAGAGGGTATGGATTTTAGAGGCCAGGTCTGAAAAAGGTGTGGAAAATGACATGAACAGGCAAGGGCCAATTTGAGAAAACACAACACGATCACAATGTCTCAGCAAATGTTTTACTATTAACGTACCAAAAAATTCTCTTCCTGATACTAAGAAGCAAAACCACTTGCAAAGTGTCACTGTCCACACCATATTGTTAAAACATCAATGAAAATAGGCTGTTTAAGGAGTATTCATAACTTTATTATCCTGAAGTATCAGAGATACCCAAGACAACTGGAAGTAATATAACACATGTTATTATACCTTGTACTCACTATCTGTCTTGTCACTGGCTAAGAGCCTACAGCTAATTTTGGAAATCAGCGCAACCTACAGATTAGTTAGTTATCTGCTAGCAGATAGCAGACTAATCTGTAGGTTAAGCGTGCGCAATGCATGATTTCCTGTAACAATATCGATTAAGGTTTCATGTGATGGTGTGTTTGTTGTTATGTTCTTCAAAATGATGTATAGTAGATTGAGTTTTTGTGATACCCTAAATAATCGAGGTCTCCGTAAGTGTTATCAGAAATGGCCTTCGGCTCGGCTGATAACACTCACCTCAACCTTGATTATCTGGATATCACAAAAACCTCATCAAATAATTAAAAAATATATTGTTTAGTATATAATAACACAATCCTTGCTATACATAATCTATATTTTGTACATCTTCATGAACAACTTGGATCTTCACATTGAGAGAACCCATTGTGGATATCCCATGAGAAAAAAAAGAGGTGACAAAATTTTTGACTAAAAGATATTCATTAAAGTGAAAATGGTTCCACCTCTCTGAATAATACAGCTTTTTTTCTAATAAATAAATTTGTGATGAGCAACAGTTTTTCATAATATTTAACACGTGTCTCTAAGAGATTCAATTTTACTTGATGTTTCATCAGTCTTGTCAAGCAAAACCTGCAAAAAAGGAAGACTGGCTGTTAAGAGATATTATCACAAAAAGGTTTTCTGATCTAAGGGGGTGCTTAAATGACACCAGGGAAAATTTTGTAATGCAGTGAGTTCATTCTGGTTCCCTGACACCACCATAAAAAGGAACGCTGGAAAAAGCCATTCTGGCTTGAGTTCTTCTCAGTTTTTGTACTGGAGCCAAAAAAATCATTGTAGTGCAGAACTTTGCAGCATTACCATAAAGTTCCGAAAGTAATGACCCCTCAAAAGTAGCGATAAAATGTCACAGGTGTTAGAAAATCCCAAAAGTAGTGATCCCCACCCCCCGAAAATAACGACCCTCTGAAAGAAGAGACATCAAACCTAATTTCCCTTTTTGCAAAAAAAATTGGATATGATAGACATCCTGAACAAATTAAATGCCACACTGATCCGAAGTTTATTCATAACCCTTAAAGTACAGGATATACATTACCTTTGTTCAAAAAGCACTCCTTTCACAGTTTTTGTGATTTTATTTTTTCAAGTGCCCATGTGGAGTTCAGGTTTTGGCCATCCTAAAGTAACGACCCCCCAAAAGTAGTGAGCTTCCAAAAGTGGTAATAGCACGAGGGTGCCAAATCCGAAAGGGATGAGGGTCGTTACTTTCGGAACTTCACAGTATAAGGTAAACAAAGAACTGATAGATTGAAATTTGAAACGCATGACACTGTATAACTATCGTTAACCCAAGACGGTGTCATCACATTTGACATGGGACAAGGAGAATGCACGTAAACATAATGTGGCAAGTGGTCATTTCGGTATACAGCTTGCGCAGAAAGAGCTTCCTCATGCAAACACCCCTTAGTCAAGTTCCACCCTATCAAAGTGTAAATGTGTTTATGTTCGGAATTTGCATTTATGGCCGCAGTTTGATCCTCTAGGGATTTTATGTCACATCTCGGTATTTAAGCCTTGTCGCCTCTCGCGTTAGTCACTCGACACAGCCAGTTTTACCGCTCGCACCTTGCCGAGCTTAATTTTTCTAGTATGCTGTTTACGTTTAGTCTCGTAGTTTACAGTGATGTAATTCGTTTTTCTCCGCCACTACTTTATTTCTTGTACGTTAGCTTTTTCTCGTCCCCAATAAACACAACTGGTCGTGTCCTTCCTATTTCAACGTGTTGTTGCCTTTCTGCTGATTAGAACTTAAACGTTTTCTCTGCGGCAGAACGCAGTGACATAGCAGAGAAGAAAGTTTGTTATTTTCCTAGACTTTCACTCAACTAAACAAGGACAGACATTGGCTGATTCTTGGTCACATGGCCTTGACTAAAATCAAATGTATCCCAATTGTGATACATTAAGCAATGTACCCCTCTCGGGATACATTACAGCACATGATCAAAGCATGGTGGAAAGTGGCGTGACAGAAGGCGGGAAAGACACTGTTCGTCTCGGGAAGCATCAGAACTCTCAGGAAAACAAAACTAATTCTTTGAATCCCTCAGGATCTGACACCACGTGTAAAATATCCAGAAGACACCTGTGTTTTGAGGTGGTGTGAGAGTAGTTTGGTGATGGGGTAGGGCAGTTGTACACTGAAGGACATCCCCGGGGCCCCGGGGTAGTCATTTGGGTCATGAGAAATGCACTACAAATTCAACCACACAGTGTCTCCTCTGGGTCTCCAAGCATGAATGAAAGGGCCATATAATTTTATTCCTTACCTGAATTCTCTGTATCAAAGATTTCTTTTTCCCCTTGGCTTGTTGTAAACTGGCATCTATGATCTGAATGATATTAAAAAAACAAAACATGATTTGTAGTTCCGGGAAAATCTTTAAACTCCCCTAACAGAGGGAATTGGAAATTCGTGGTGAAGGCCGGGGCTCTTAAAGACCAAAACATTAAAAGGATCGTGTAAAGCTACATTAGAAATTGCTAGGGTGCATGCTTAAATAGAAATAAAAGGCAGTCTTTGGTGTAAACAGAAATCCAGTCTTCAACTTACTAATGCATCTAAGCTCTCAAGGGTTTTCATGAATTCCTCATTAATTCCCTTGAGCTTCCTTGACAGCTTCTCAAGAGCTTTAGGTATCAATTCTGCCTGAAGATATCCCTGTAAAAATTGTACAAAAAAAGTTCTGTTCAGGGAATAATACACTTGTAATGAGACAAACATGCAAAGAAAGTAGTGTCCAATAGCCCGGGGCTAGTGGATTTTGTTCTTAACTTAGAGGTTTTGGAGGAATTCAAATTACAGAAGAACTGTGAAATCAGTTCTGCTCATCAAAATGTTTTGGGGGCTAGTATATGCTAGCTTCAGCTTGCCCGAATGGCAAGCTTTAAAAATGACTTTCTTTGCACCCTGGGGATACTTCTTCCCACCAAGTTCCTTAGTACATATGATGTTGTTTGAAGTTGTTTTTCCAACTCCGTTTGTTTAAAAATCTCTCTGTTACGTTGTCATATTAGGTAAAGTCGATAGCAAAATTACTGTTACCTTTTCAATGCCGCTGACTTCTTCTTGGTGTTCAGTCAGCCTTTTCTCAATATTGTCTGCCATTTTTTCTGTAGCAAGTATTTTTTTCATATTCTCTTCCTCTAATGGATCAAACTGAAAAGCAGGAGTGTTAAATAAACATTAAATTGAGAATACATTTGTGAGCAAAATACAAGAAAATTGTGTTTGTGCCTCACTAACCTTTTTTCCAATCAGCATAACTTTACTACCCCTCTTTATACCAAATGTCATAAGTGGCTTTGCAAACTCTGTTAGAGACTGCCCTAAAAATATAGAAGACACTTTCTCTTATTCTTAATGTTCATTTTCAACTGCTACCATAAAATAGGCATGACTTAGCAAGGACTAAGCAAAAAAGTTTCAAAAAGGCTGGAAGACATTGTCGAGCTGATTTATGGTCAACAAACGGCTCACTAACGTCATTATTCAGTCCACTTAAAGGAGCTGTGTCACAAAATTCAGCCAAATTAGGAAATTACAGAATGCCCGTTAAATTAAGAGAAACATAAAAATAATCGCTTAAAGCTTTAAAGGAAGGTTAAATATATCATAAGAGAAACAACAGATGCCACGGATGGGCAAAACTGAAGAAGATTGAAACAGATTGAAATTAGGGTTTTTGAAAACTGTTCAGCCTAACAGTTTTTCAAAGTTAATCCCTGCCGCTTGCAACTTCAAAAATAATGCTCAGGAGACATACTTGTTCGTCTCTGATCTTTGATTTTGTCATTTACTTGTAATTCCTTTGCTTACTTTAAGTTCCCTAGTGATTAAGGGCGAGTAATTGGCAAAATCAAACAAAATGAACTGCACTGTCGCGACACAGCCCCTTTAAGTGTTAGGTCAGTTCCCAGAGCAACTTCAGAATGCCACACAACTAGTCACAATGCTATAAAGAACAAAGTAAAGACAGTAGGCACTTTTTTATTCAACGAGATGCAAATAAATGGCAAGCGATTCTGTTTTACTCCTAGTTTCCCAACTTCTTCTTCCTAAGCAATGGCTTACAGGACAAGGTATATACAAATGCGTGGGATGAATTTCTGTCATGGCTGAAAGAATTAGGTACATAGGTTGTGGTTTAATTTTATCGTTGGTTTAAATTTTATTTTCTTTTGGTTTTGGGTATGGTAACGTATGATAATGAATTTGAAACAAAAGAAAACAAAAGTTAAACCAAGGATCAACTTGAACCACAACATATAAATGTGTAGGCTGGATTGCCAGCTGCTGTTCTGATACATGTGTGGTGCTTATTTTTTCCCTGGCTTAAGATGTTCCCGTCTGGGAAACACATATCCCTAGTGATATGTGTTCCCCGACCTGGGAAACACATATCCCTAGTGAAAAACATATCCCTAGTGATATGTGCTCCCCGATCTGGAAAACAGGTACCCCTAGTGATATGTGTTCCCCCCCTAGTAAGCACATATCCCTAGTGATATGAGTCCCCCCACATGGGAAACACGTATCCCTAGTGATATCTGTTCCCCCACCTTGGAAACACATACTCCTAGTGATATCTGTTCCTTCACCTAGGAAACACATATCCCTAGTAATACGTGTTTCCCCACCTGGGAAACATATATCCTTAGTGATATGTGTTCCCTCACCTGGGAAACACATATCCCTAGTGATATGTGTTCCCCCACCTGAGAAACACATAGCAATAGTGATATGTGTTTCCCCACCTGGGAAACATATATCCCTTCTGATATGTGTTTCCCCACCTGGGAAACATATATCCTTAGTGATATGTGTTCCCCCACCTGTTAAACAGGTATCCCTAGTGATATGCGTTCCCCCACCTGGGTAAAAACATATTTCTAGCAATATGTGATCCCCCACCTGTGAAACACATATCCCTAGTGATATGTGTTCCCCCACCTGGGAAACATATATCCCTAGTGATATGTGTTCCCCACCTGGGTAAAAACGTATTTCTAGCAATATGTGATCCCCCACCTGTGAAACACATATCCCTAGTGATATGTGTTCCCCCACCTGGAGAACATATATGAAACATATATCCCTAGTGATATGTGTTCCCCCACCTGGGAAACACATATCCCTAGTAATAAGAGTTCCCCCACATGGGAAACACGTATCCTTAGTAACATGTGTTGACCAGCCTGGGAAACACATATCCCTAGTAATATGTGTTTCCCCACCTGGGAAACATATATCCTTAGTGATATGTGTTCCCCCACCTGGGAAACATATATCCCTAGTGATATGTGTTTCCTCACCTGGGAAACATATATCCTTAGTGATATGTGTTCCCCCACCTGCAAAACAGGTATCCCTAGTGATATGTGTTCCCCCACCTTAGTAAAAAATGTATTTCTAGCAATATGTGTTTTCCCACCTGGGAAACACATATCCCTAGTGATATGTGTTCCCCCACCTGCAGAACATATATCCCTACTGATATGTGTTCCCCCACCTGCAGAACATATATCCCTAGTGATATGTGTTCCCCCACCTGGGAAACATATATCCGTAGTGATATGTGTTCCCCCAAATGTGAAACGCATATCCCTAGTGATATGGGTTCCCCCAAATGGGAAACATGTATCCCTAGTGATATCTGTTCCCCCAGCTGGGAAACATATATCCCTAGTGATATCTGTTCCCCCACCTGGGAAACACATATCCCTAGTAATATGTGTTCTTCTACCTAAGAAACACACATCCCTAGTGATATGTGTTCCCCTACCTAGGAAAGACATATAATTGGATTATTATCAATATTTTGCCATAGAACATGAGCGCTGAATCACGTGGTTGCAAACCAAGAATTTTAATTAATATGAATAGAGTCGAACCACGTATGCATAATAAATGTATGGGGTTATACGTAAATCTTACCAAAAACAAACTACCTTTAAATATGAGCCGTTGAGATCCGCGAGGAACCTCTGCCGCCTGTGCAGCAAAATTTGCAAGGTCTTCCACAGTCGGCCCACCATCTTCTTTTATGAGTAGTTCAACGGGATATTTCCTGGAACCTAGGACCCCACCATAAGATTTAGCTACAATCTAACCTCTATTAGAAATGTTATGAACAATTTCATCGTTTAAAAGAGTTTTCTAACCGTGAACAAGCGTTAACTGCAGGACTTCGTCGTCCGCCATTTTGCATTTTATCTCCAGATCTCCTCGTTTCCTTGAAGGTACATCATATATGAGTACTCTTATGTAACATCTTACAATAATGCTTTTTTCATTTCCTGTTTGCCGTTTGGCGTCTACCTTTTATAATCGCGATTTAGGGGAAGCTTTTTATTCCAGGGACTCTTGATAGCAGTGATGAGCCGGCGTCTCCTTCCCGTGGTTTCATTTGCGGCTTTTGGGACTGGTGGAATTCTTGGAGTGTTCTTCGAAAGGTTTGAAAGCGAAAAGAAATGTTCTTACATAGTACATCCAAGCCTGAGTATCAGGCTGATACTCAGGCTAAGTACATCCGTCAAACTTGATTTCTTGATTGCAGATTTGAACTTATACTATTGTTATTCTTTCGTCTACCATATTTTTTAGCAAGCGTCTCTTGCGGGGTTATAAATTTGCAGATAGGGAGATCGAAAGAGTCGCTGTTTTCCTGGATAATGATCTGTTCATTTTCTCCTTTGTGCTTCCCCCACCCTCCATCATCATTCCAACCCAGGCCCCTGTTCTTGCTTGGGCTAAAATTTGCCACGTGGCACTCATCTATACAGCCATTTTGCAGGCTTATCCCCAAAACAGCATGTATGTTGTCACAACAGTTTGGTACAATGTAAGTGCCCTGGTTGTGACACAATGTGCCCCCCTCCTCCCACTGCTCCTCTTAAACAAATCCCAGCTATGCCAGACTGTCATACTGCCCATACTGAATGTCAGAACCTTAGATAATCGATTGGTTTGTCAAGAATAGATAATGTTTTATTTTTTAGAAAGAGGCAACAGGAGAATTTCCTTCCAGTGGTACATGCCAAGCGCGATGTAGTAGATGGAGGACTTGGTCAGAGCAGACAATCAGAAATAATGCATTTTGGGTACCCTAGTAGGTTCTTATAAATTTCTTGTGGTTGATTTTGTCACAGGTTGCATGTACTGAAAAATTTATAGAAAAAATTATCTGGCTCACACCATTCTGCAAATATTTTTTGGAACAGGTTTCGAGAATATAAAGGCCAAGAATGATTATGTTCTTTCTTACAATCGACGCCTTAGACTGGCTAACTGGGTTGCTGAGGTAACGTTTTTGCATTTTATTTGCACATCTTAAGGCTACTCCATGTATTACTTTTTGTGCAGGAGCGAAATAATGTAGACTTGGTAGGGAAATCTCAGATGACTGAAGAGCAGGGTTGTCAGTAAGATTTCAAGTTGTCAGATGTATGCAATTATTAGGGCGAGAAGTTCTTTTGGCTATTTTCTGTTTGTTTCCTTTGAAAGTAGCCAGGGGTCATGGTGATAGTGGATGGGGGAAATCCCTGACCCCCGACCCTTAGTGACAGCCATACCGAGGAAACCTCTTACACTCTTAGGAAACAGGTGTTCCCATCTTAACTTACAAAAGTTCTTAACACATCTTGTTTGTAGCATTTAACAGCTAGGAATGTGTACAACAGAGATTTGGACAGAGGAAAGTGTGATTTTGCACAGGATCCAACTATCCATCCATTGTTTTCAACTTCTAATGAGGATTACAGGTGTGCATTTCACAATCAAACACCTTTCATTTAGCAAGCCGTACTGGGATATATTTGTCAGCAAAAGGACTAAACTGTCAAATAAATCACAAGATGTTATCCACAGATTCCAGATAAAGCCACCTTGTGTAGCAATCTTGTTCCCAGTTTCCTCTCCTGTTTGTCCCCTGGATCCATGGAAACGAGGTTGCTTGTGCAGCACAATGGAATAAATACAGATGAGGATTTTTCAGCTGACTCGTTAGGAAAAAAAACAACCTTGTTTGTTTCCTTGACACTAAGAATGAAGAGTAAAGAAAATATATAACTCATTTCACTGAACTGCTAGCCTGCCAGCAAGCTCTCTGAGGGACTCTCCCATCCCACCACCCCACCGCCAGAGTCTCCCTCTCCCCCTTAGAGCTTACCGTAAGGCTACTTAACTGCTTGTGTCAAAGCGAAGTGTTTATAGGTAATCACAATATGAATGAGCATGAGGCAAGACGTAGGTTAGCCTGCTTTGCAGCTTGCCCATGCATCATCTAGGCCATTTGTATACAGATGGTTTAGAGTGCCTGCGACGCAGGCTAGGTGTAGGTATTACTGCCAGCAACATGAAGTGGGGTGTTATCAAGTTAAAGTTACTAACCTTCCTAACCTCTCCTCATCCCCCCCCCCCCTTGACATACACACACACCCCTATGAAAAAGGAATTTTGACGATATTTTTGGACCAAATTATAACAACAGTAAACTGATCCCAATGGCAAGAAGACTATTTTATGAGTAATTCAAAAAATATACTATATGTAACTGTTTTTGTCAATTCAAAGGATGAGTGGATATGACAGAGGTCATCTAGCTGCTGCAGCCAATCACCGGTCTTCTCAGGATTCCATGTGTGCCACGTTCTTTCTTAGCAATATGAGTCCACAAGTTGGTGAGCAGACATGTCAACTGTTTAAATGGCTTGCGAGCAAGCTCTCAAATTATGGCGTGCGAGGGCCTCTCGCACTCGCGTCCCCATTTGCGTGCGGCTCTCGAGTGACTTCTTGCGAGTCTCCCAGACTACTGTTTAAAATGTATCGTACGTCTTAAGACAACATTTCACCAGCGGAAGTTTTCTTTCCTTTCTTTAAGGCAGGCTCAGGATTTAACCGAGATGCTTGGGAACATCTTGAAAAATATTCACGGCATTTGACAAGGTTTTACAAGAATGTGTATGTTATAACTGGACCTCTCTTCTTGCCAAAGTAAGCCTGGGGCTTTTAAGCTCGCAAATACATGTTTGTAGTAGTCGGCATAGCTAGCGGTTTGTTTGGTGAGCGAGAGAAAAAGCTCTGAAAACGCGCGCAAAGGTCGCACGAACGGGCAGTGAAGGTTTCTCGTTGTTTCCGCCCCGATCTTTCAGGCCGGGTCACCCAACAACGGTTTCCTCCTAAATACATTGAGAACACTTTTTAAGGCTATCCAGAGCACTTTTAGATCTCTAGAAATGCATGCTTTGTGGAACTATAAAATTTGTATCTGTTAGGTCATCCTAGGGGAACTTGTGTCTTTTCGAAAATATTAGGGCTCTAGTATTGCTTTCCCAAAAATTTTAGATGCAATTTAACGTTTCACGAAAGTGAGAATTTTTTAAATTCCTCTTTACATCGCGTTTTTGAATCTGAAAATTTTAGGTTCTCTTATTACTTCGAAAAATAGCCCAACCTGGAGAGTAAAATGTGAAAGATTATACTTCAGAAAATCGTAGCAGATTTATTGAAGAAGCTTCGAAAATTGTACATGAATGGAACCGCCATCTAGAAATTTTTAGCCATGCTCAAGTTACAGAAAATTCTAGGCAATATTTGCTTCTCCGAACAGATATTTTGCAGAAAACAGTCGTTGGGTGCCCCTGATCTTTTCGTGGCTTTGCAGCTCATTTGCGCGCTCAACAAACAAAACCGCCAGTTACGCAGACGTAGCCTGTGTACAGACACCCCTACCCCCTCCCCTCAGGAAAACAGACTACGCGGGCCTGGCATGTAAGCTATGTTTGTAGTTTTTGTTTATGATGTCAGTGTATTGATTTCGACAGGGAAGAATGAAAGATAGATTGTTGATCGATTTCTGTCTTTACAGATAAGTTCGATTTGTTAGCTAAGATTTTCATTTAAAGGAAAAAAAAGATCCTTATTCAAAGTATTCTTGTTAAAGAAATATTTATTTGAGCCGTTCAATTAGTTAAAAGGCGTTTCTTAGAAAGTTTTTGGAAAAACAAAACTGACAGCTACGTATGCCTGGTTTTTTGTGTTTTTGTTTATAAATGTTTTTCGACAGACACGATTTCAAATTTCGACGCCAACTTTCGTCCTGATCCAAAGTATTAAACATTCTAAGTTAAAAAAAGAAAAAAAGTTTTAGACACGCCCATCCATTTTGGTGGTGAGCAAGAAAGTTCTTATCAGTGTTTCATTGAAAATACAATGTTTCATATCAATCTTTTTTAGACTGGAAGCAGACAACCAGTTGTACGTGAAATATAAGGTGAGACGTGATAAGTCGCTTCTTAGCGTCAGTAAAGAGGAAAATCGGCTTGACTAATGGCGGTTGCGTTCATTCTGCCTCGCACTTTCCTTTCACATTTGACGATGTTTTGGCTTTCTCTGCCTAGTAGTTTACATCACGCCAGCGCGAGCTCACTCCTGTTTCCTTTCGTGGCTCTGTATTTGTTTACATGATACCGAGACGAAATGTCGAGCCGGCGCGAGTAACACCGGCGTGAATTCACCCCGGCTGTTGTACCGGAGCGAGAATTTCACTCCGGTACGAAATTTCGTAACAGTATCATGTAAATGCGTTCGGTGTGAAGTCGGTCTGCCTGTGGACTGCAACGGGTAGCGCATGCGCAGTTAGTTTTCGTCAATCCAGAATGGCATCGTCATATTGGTCATGGGCTATGGGGCCACGAAAACTGAACATGCAAACACGTAAACGCGATACGAAATCAAGAAGTTACCCCTGTATGAAACTCGCGCCGGTGCGAGTTTTCTCATGTAGACACCACCTAACTAGCGTTCTTCTCATAATTTCTGCAGTTTCTAATTTTCCAGTGTTTTTTTTACGATATCTAGCTGATTGGTATCAACCGTATAGCCGTTCCTACACACTTCTTTAAAATCATCTTAGGAGAGACAAACGACAACCAACTGGAAATGCAGGTGCGTTATTCTCTTGTTAAACCGCAACTTCCAGAATTCATATGTACAGACGAACCTATATGTGCGTCAGCCCTTGTAAGCCTGGCGGAGGGAGGGGGTACTCAACAAATGTTTACACGGAGAGGCTCCGCCCCGAGGTCCAACCCCTTACCCTTTTATACACCATTTTCCACGAAAAAGTTACCCCTTTCATATACCTTCTATTGACAAATGGTACCCCTTTCACATACCTTGTTTAGAACTTTGCATCCCTTTTCACTGCTATAAATGCACTGTCTTTTAAATAGGAATCAATCATGAAGATAGAACGTTTTCTCGACTTTTTAAAGCCATGAAATTCATCTGTTAGCCCTTTTGGGCCCACTCATAAGGGGTTGAACAACCCCTTAAGAGTTGCTGGTGAAGCTAAAAATCTCTATTAACAATCATGTCTTTAAAAAAGACACATCACGTCACAATCAGTCACATGTTCTATCTCTCGTTGCAGTCCTACATATTGCCCAATCAACCAATCAACGAGAAGACGCCGCTGCACATGTTTCAAGTCCCAGCAGATACAATTGAGAAGGCTTCCGGTCTAATAGTCTTCGACAAGGTTCCTCGTCACAATATAAAACAAATCCGACCAACGATTCCTGTAAGCAGTTGACGTCAGGAGCCGATTAGAGTAGTAGGCTCCTGTTGACGTAAATGTTTGTCCAGACGCCATTATCACTTATTCAACTCAGGACTGGATGTCACCGAATCAGAACACTTTGACCAGTCGGGGTCATTTCAGACAAACTCTTGCCTTAGTAGTCCAGCAACCACTAAGAATCATTGATGGACTTAGTCTGTTCGACACCTTTCAGGCTTTGTTGAAGGCCTGGCTACCTTACTTTAATATGTCTGGCTTCCCAGGCCTGTAAGTTTGAGAGTACAACATAGCTTCCTTATGCTCCACACATAAACAGCGAAGCGTTTTCACTTGTCATGAACCGAACTGAAAAGACTGCTAACATTTGGCTCTTTTTGCTCCGTATGAGAGCAGTCTTATTTCAAAGACGTCGTTGTTATTTAAAAGAAGGAAATAATATGTTAGCCCCTATGTTGTTTTTTTATTTGCGCAAAATTCACCCAGCATCTTTGAGCATAATTTCGAGCATAATGCTATGATTTTAAGAGTGACGTCCAAAAGCATAACGCTCAAATTTTCGAGCATAATTTATCTAACCCTACCTCGTCCTCGAATCTAAAGCTCTCTATTAAAGCCACACTTCTTTTTACAGTTCAACTCTATAACTACTAGGTGTAGAACAAGTTCTAGTAATAGTATTTTAGAACTTATACGAAGACAATTTTCAAACTACAATAATTATATCTTTTTCACAACATTTTCCTTATTTGTTCACTTAAGTTTCCCTTCCATGAATATCTTATCACCTGATCTTGTTGTGTATTTCGCCCCACCCCCATCGCATTTCATATGGTACGTCCCTAAAAGTTTCCAACAATTTAGATATGTGCCATCATAAGTCGAGTAAAAGTTGGTTTTCACTAGCGACGGAGTCAAGTCGGAGTCGTTATCAGAAAGTAAAACTTATACGATCTAGTGAAACAGCGTTTGGATTCCGCTTACGAGTCCATGGTTTACGATTTAGTTTCAGTTAGTTTATTTATTTGCCAGAAAAAAAGATAGAGAGAGTCAGCTGCCTTTGTAGCGGACACTCCAGGGATCTGGAGTTAGTGTTTTCATAAACGAGTTTCCGTAATAGCAGAAGTTTATTTCAGTCAAACGTCTTTAATTTATTTTTGCCTGGGATTTAGCTGCTGTCCGTATCATCGGAGTGTCCGTGATAACGGGGTGTCCACAAGGCGAGAGTTGACTATATTCCAAACATGTCAGTTAAAGATTAAAGAGACGTAAATTGTAAGAATAATAAATGAAATGATATGTGTGGAGAGAACACAGAAAAAAGAATCTGAGTTCCAGATGGGAATTGAACCCATGACCTTCCGTATACACTAGTCGGATGCTCTAACCACTGAGCAACTGAGACCTCAGTGGGAAGCAAGTTAATTCTGTAAATTGTAAGTAAAAGAATTTAAAGTTTGTTTTTCTGGCGAGGAAGCTCAGATTGAAACCCTGGGGCTTATTAGATATTGGAAACGTTCCTATTCTTCTGACTCTGATTCCGTCGTGTTTATGACTCCGCTTTCGACTCAGAGTTTTGACTTTCACTATCATAAGCGCTCTTACGACTCCGACTCTGACTTTGTCACTAGTGAAAACCAGCCTAAGGTTCTTAAGTTGCTCAAACGAGAGCTTGAATGACACGGGGGATACATTTGCAGTCCGAGGGATCAATATCTTGGTTATACTTATGACAATAGTCTTCAACAGATTGTGAGCAGCTGCATCCGCATTTCGTGTAGTCCCATGTCATGCCATAACCAGTGCAGCTAGAAGGTGTCTCATCACATTCGCAGTCGCAGGTAGCTGCGTTCCTACGCTGATTTGACGCGCACGCAGTTAAGTTCGACTTGCATTCACAGGAGCACGAGCCGACGTTCCACTCATGTTTGTCGGGGTGGCAGTCACTTGAGCTCTTGATACAGTCACAAGAGCAGTGTGTGTGATTGTACATGTTTACCTTCGTCTCGACCCTTTTTTCACCTTGAATCTTCCACACGTTGACCAAAATTTGGGTCTTTGCCCTGACAGTACAGTGATGATCATTCTGTGCGTTGGGGCATCCCCCACTGCAGCGATACAGGGTGATGAAGGAAGGACGGTTTAAATATGCTGGATCCTTTGGAACTTTGATTGCAGCTGGCCTCGGACCACAAGGAGTTTCCTTTAGCGTTTTGGGGTTTGTATCTGTTAATCAATCAAATTGGTCATTAATGGTCAGTCGAATATAAACTTACGGTAGCGATGAATCTGTCATCAGATCAAGGGTGGAGCAGTGGTGAGAGCGCTCGCCTCCCAACATGTGGCCCGGGTTCAACGCAACCGTTTTTGTCTCGTCACGCAACGCTCCTCCCCAACAAACAGCGAAGGGAGGAGCGTTGCGTGACGAGACAAAAACGGTTGCGAGGGAGACTAATAATTGGCTCCAACATAACCTGTTAGCAGGCTCTCCATGTATGGGGAGCGAGGCGAGCCGCGAGTCTCTTTTCGCGTGCTGCTCTTGCGTGACTTCTTGCGACTCCCCCAAATAAAGAGCTTGCTCACAGGCTACAATCTTGGACAAAATAAATGGAAAACCTAGACCCCCCTCCTCCCCAAATCAAGTATGGGAAAATGGCGCGTTTTTGCCCTTCGCGCGGCTTCATCCTTGATTTGGGGGGTGGATGGGGGTTTGCTGTTCCATTTTATTTTGTCCAAGATTGTAGCTCCAACAGGAGTGCTATATCCGGCTACGTTTGGCCTCCGAACCCACCAATCCACGCGCCCAGTCACGACTGGTGTCCTTTTCCCTATGCAATTGCAAGTTCGTGCTCCCACCATAAAACACTACAAACGTTTGTAAAATTTTGCGACTTTGTGGAACAATATCTTCGCTACCTGTTTACGTATTACCTTTAAACTTGCTTTGTAAGTTTGCTAATTTCAAGGCGCTCTCTCCAGCGGTATAAATGGAGATTCGTTAACTGGTCTTTATCAAAATATAAAAGAGTGTATTGCTGGAGCTCTTACCTACTGATATATTAAGACCTGCGGAATGCTTTGGAACATCACTTAACACCGGCTTTAAAGGAACTGACTCTTCTTGTTGTTGGATAGATATAGCGGCCTCTGGGTCAAACTTAGCATCTTCAAACGGAAATTCTTTTTTTTCAAGGAACGTTGTAAGTCCTCTTGGATAAGCCTGTCAAAAGTGAATTTAAGATGTGAGGGTTCTCTTATTTTGAAGCGTTTCAGAGGGTAAAAATTTATACCCTGCTGAAGACTCAGGAAATGGGAAATCATTCCCTGTTCAGCGGCATATACCTATCCGTGCTTAGCCTGTGCTAGGATTAAGGACGTCGCAAAAATAAAACAAGCGACCCGAAAATAAGACGCGTGTCAACAACCAACGCGCGTTTTTCGCATCACTTTTAACTGCATGACTGCGCTATCTTGGAGTCTGGAACCGGCTATTCCGGGCCAAATAAGGAAGTGCCTAACCTCCTCCCGGATCGTTATGTTTGTGCTGATCACTTGGCTGTTAAAGAGGTAGCTCTTGAAAGTTATAAAGATGGCTTAAGTCTGGTTTACAGTAGCGCAAAGGCATTGCTTTGGATGGAGGCGAAGAGCGGAAGCGTCGAGGATGGTTGTATACAAGGTTGTATCCAAGACTTCAAGACGAGCTTGAGCGTCCTTGCGTGAGGCCGCTTGGATGCGCGTTTGTATGTCGAACAATTACATGAAGGGCCAACGAAACTTTCGGTTGGCAATTTGTATCTCGGTAGGCTGCCAGTTCCAAGTAACGCTCGGGCCGTGCAGAAACAATTTCCATCTCGTACTTGGTCCGCACTTGCAACCAGACATCAAACGAGTCACCGGGACGCTTGCTTGGAGGCCTCGCAATAGGGATTAGCTCGCCCGAGACAGTGCCGAGAGTGTGCGCAACATTCCCTCATCGCTTTGATTGGGTCGTCAAACGCTTAAAGAAGATAATACCTCTGAAAAATCCACATACTCACTATTGATGGCGGCTGGGACGAATTTTTCCGGTAGATGGTGAGCTTTGGGTGCTTGTTTAACCGGCAACAGAGAATCGCTAGCGCCTGGGCCTGAACAGCGACTTGCATCCTCGTGAGTTTTCTTTTTTTGGGGAGGGGGGGGCCTTCCGGGCGGAGATTTCGTCCATTCGTTTTTTTTTATTGTCGTCTGCTCTGCCGTGAGGTTTTCCAACCGCAGGAACAGATTCCGCATCGCGTGCAGAACAGAAGCTGCTGCGATTCAAGTTGCTTTTGCGGGCCGCTCTCGGCCGAAGGCGAAGAAACAGATTTTCCCTGGCTAGGCGGCAACTCCTCGCCTGCTGATAATTCGTCGTCAAGAATCTCGTTCTTGACTAGCGGCCTAGTCTCCCACGCAGGCGTTTTTAGGGGAGCTCGTTTTTCGTCCCTCCCCACAAACGGCGTTTGTGGGGAGGGATGAAAAACGAGCCTCCCCTAAAAACGCCTGCGTGGGAGGCTACTGGCGGCCCAGCACAGTGCTTGCTCGGGGCAGCGAAGGCATGGTTCTGTTTCGGCGTCTTGCAGCCAGGGCAAAGAGATTTGCGCTTAGCAGGCATAATAAACACGAAAAATACAAAAATACAACAACTCACGGAGCGAGCGAACCGAACGATACGACACACGAGGTTACAAAGTGAAACGCGATTCCTAAACTATGTACAATACATGCTACCATTAACTTGCATTTTAAACTATTAATACAGTGAAACCTGTATTAAGCGTACACCGTATTAAGCGGACGGTAGCCGAAGTCCCCAAATTATTTCCCTTATTTTCTTTAAAAGAAACCTTTATTAAGCGGACACCTGTATTAAGCGGACGCGGACACCTAAAAAGTACCTGAAATGGTCATTTCTATTGTTGCCAACCCGTATTAAACGGACACTTGTAATCAAATTCCACCACCCAACATGCCAGACACCGGAAATGTGAAGATTGCCTCGAATTCCCACACACAAATTTTTCGATTTTTACATTAAAAAACGTGACTTGACGAACTTATTTGATCATTTTCTCAGTACAGTATTGTTTTCCATTTCGTTTTGTTTGTATAGAGCTTGTTTCACTCATCTGATTTCTTCAATTTTGAGTTGCAATCTATGTATTGGTACTATGATCAAATTGGTCCAATTTGATAAAGAAATTAGTGCAAACGTATATCGTCATAGTCTCTAGGACTATTCTAAACGTTTCCACTGTTCATTTGAATGGCATTTGACACCTCATATGACTTTATCTATCGAAACCTGTATTAGGTGGACACCCTGTATTAAGCGGACACTACAGTATTCCCCAAGGGTGTCCCGCTTAATACAGGGTTCACTGTACCACTATTCGCATGGTAAATATTAGTTCTTGTCGTGAATTGGAATAAAATAGCTTATAAATTGTGGCAGAAAGAAAGTGATTTTAATCCTCATAATTATCGTACTGAGTTTTACGAATCGTCTTTCACGCACTAGCCTTTATCTTAGCCTTAAGACAAGTTTCGTTTATTCAAACCTCTTCAGTTTGGCTAAAACTGTTACAATACGTATTGTATGTTACGTATGTAACGTATTGTAACAGTTTTAGCCAAACTGAAGAGGTTTGAATAAACGAAACTTGTCTTAAGGCTAAGATAAAGGCTAGTACGTGAAAGACGATTCGTAAAACTCAGTACGATAATTATGAGGATTATTTCCAAGTCTTTCGAGGTTTCAGCAAGAAAAGTTACCCAGAGAAATCGCTATTTTGACATTAACCACGTATATCATCTCGCATCTTTGTAACCTCAATTGTTTGGGAAGTCACAGTACACCTACTTGCGGATTCAGACCTTGACATCATGGTGTTCAGTCCCATTTAACAAGAAACTACTGTCGGTTGTCCATGTTACAATAGAGAGCTTAAGAAAATCTTAAAAAACGGCGACATCAACGAGAACGACAAAAAAGCAAAGCAACAACTCTGCACGTGCATCACGCTTTTTTGTACATTTCTTTGCCGTCATTGCACGACAACAACGTGAAAATATCTAATTTCACGTTTTTTGCAGGATGTGAACACAAGACAACGACTTTCTATTTCTTTTCCAGAATTTTGATACAGTCCGTTAGAATTCAACGTCAAAAAAATTTGCTAGCATTTGGTGAATTAGACGAGATGGAATAAGCGCGATAAAGTTTGAAGCAGCGCGACTTTTTAAGTGACGCTTCCGTAGCAACCCGTCGCCGTGGCTGTTGCTAAGCTCCGTAATAATGACGTTGTATAAATGGGTACAACTTTGCCCGTCTTCCCAGGCCTTCTCGGTCAATGCATTTCGGTTACGTATCCAGGTTTCCAAGACGAACTCGCTCGGTCTTCGTGACCCGAAACGCATAGGCCTGATCATGTTAGCAACGAGGAAGTCTATGATAGAACGGGAACAGCCCTTCTTTCCCAATCAGTTAAAGCACGACAGACCAGATTCCTGGGCCTCTGTCTTCGGCGCTCCCAGGGGGACCTTTGGTAAACCAAGACATGGTGGACATCAAATTCTATTCCACGAGTATGCTGCAAAGCTGATCCGGTCCAGAAAATCCCCCCATTCCTCTCGAAATTCGTACTTTGGCAACGGACCACAAAGCTTGAAAGCGCATAGAGGTCGACTGTTGGCACCACTGGGAAGCCCCATTAGCGCCTCAGCCAAGCACAGAGGCCAGGAAGAATAATGAGGCCTTGGGGTTAGGCGAGGTCAACAACGAACATACTGCTACAGGTAATCCTACAATTGACTAGAATCTGTTCTAGAAGACGGGGAAAAAATAAAGCAATATTTCGCCGAAAAATAAAATCGGACCAACTTGGCCTGATCGACATGTCGTGCGCCTCGCCGTCACCCTTTGAATATGTAATCAAGCACCAACTTTAAAAGCGGCTAAAAAAATTCATACAGTGTCTCATAGTCGGATTTCTAGATCACTGATTTTTCTGCATTTTTTGCGAGGCGTGAAACCCACAAGGAGGGGCCGTCAGTTTTAGAGGAATGCATATGAAATCAGAATCATTTCCAACGATTTGAAACCCACGCATATTATTACAACTCCTTTCAGAGAATTTCTGCTTTTCAGAGTTTTTGGGTACTTAATACAGAAGACAAATTATTCAAAAATGTAAATGTAAGTGTATTGTCTAGCAAATTTTCCGAATGCATTTTTTGTTACTTTTTGTAATAACATTCTAATTTTCTTGTTAATACGTTGTTTATGGTATTGTTTGCGACACAAAGGTAAGTTTTACGTCTACTGGCATTAGAATTATTTGTTAAGAGATTAGGATGACAAATTCTTGGTCACATTTTTCAAAGCAGGATACGACATGGAACTTGACGACAGTTTTGTTTCACAATATAGTTTTCTCTCTATACTATTAAATGGTACTTGCTTATTAATGCTTCAATGCCGAGCTAGAAACTGATTTTTGCTGCTTATGATACAGATACCAAACTTCAACGAACTGTGTTTTCTTGGCGCGAAATGTCTAAATGTCTAAATGTCTTAATTCAAAAGCAGGTATCATTTTTAAAGAAGTGCTGGGCTTTTATATAATGCTTGGCACGTAGCATCTCAATATTTATCAGCAGCAAGTAATATTTCAGACTGCAGGCTTTAAAATTACGTGTTCTCCGAAAACTCAACATTAAAATTCGTCCGTTACAGATTTGTTTGCTTTTCACGCGAAAGCCTTTCTCCCTGTTACTGTTTCAACGGCATTGTATTGAAAAGTTGTCGGACCAGATTCTTCTTCTTTAAAAAAGGTACTCATTCCTTTATACCTTGCAGTTAGACTGATAAACAACTGATGATTTAGTTATAGCTACTTACCTTAGCTTCAGGCGAAGGAGCTTGTACGAGAAGCAGAGGAAATAGTAAAATGTTAAACAACATTGTTAATATGCAGGTCGTACTAGCAGTGAATTTTCGTGCTGTTGTTTGTGAATGAATTTAATGAGTATATGCAAATAATAATAATGTAAAAAAAAAACTCAGCCAACCATGAAAATCACGTCGAGTGCAAAATTTGATTGACGTCTCAAGGGCGTGTGCGCTGTCTTTGTTTGTGCGTTGGAAACGTCCAGCGACAAATAGACTGTTCACAGTCCCCTACTTTTTCGTGAGATAGTCGAGATATAGTGCGCGTCTTACCGTTAATGGTGGCCATCGTGATTTCCAAACGTACCGAGGGGCAGGCAACGGGGATTATAGCTCTAGTGGGAGGGGGCGAGAAAAACATTTTTCTCGCTTCAGTCCAAACCGCCCCCGCTCCCTGAGTAGATCTGAGTAGTTTTGACACTTAAATGCAAGATGGCAGCCCGTAACGCAAAGCGCTCGATCTCGACGATCTTACGAAAAGAAGGAGGACTGTGAACGGTCTAGCAACAAATGACAAGCGTAAAAAAACAAGGCCGGCTATGATTTCCTAAGCGAAATCTAGAACTCTGTTCGACATTCACCGGCAAAAAGAAACGGTACAAAGGTTTTGATCCTTGGCTCAGTTTACTGTAGACAGGAAGTAGCTAAAACTTTCTTATACCTTGTCGGGTTGAAACTATGTTATAAAAAACCGTAAAGTGTACTGTCTACGACCCCAAAAGCGTGACCATACAAAAATAATACGTAAGGGATTAAATATATAGATACATTTTAAATGATAAATAAAACTTAAAACTTATTATGTACCTCGCCTAATCATCCTCTCGTAGCTTTGCAGCTCATTTGCGCGCTCGACAAACAAAACTGACAGCTACGTATGCCTGGTACGTAGGCTATGTTTGTGTTTTTGTTTATGCTGACAATTCATTTATGTCGACAGGGGAGAATGAAAGATAGATTCTTGATCGATTTCTGTCTTTTACAGATAGGTTCGATTTGTTAGCTTAGATTTTCAGATCCTGATCCAAAGTATTCGTGTTAAAGAAATATTTGAGCCGTTCTAAGTTAAAAAGCGTTTTAAAATGTTCTAGACACACCCATTAACGCCAACTTGTCTCTTAAACATGGTAGAAGCTCCTCTTTGTAGCAAGAAAGTTCTTATCAGTGCTTCATTGAAAATGCGACGTTTCATATGAATCTTTTTTAGACTGGAAGCGGACAACCAGTTGTACGTGAAATATAAGGTGAGATGTGATCAGTAAGCAGAAATTAAACTGACTTCCAATTATTAAAAGGAGAGGCCTAGCACAAGTGAGAATGACTCGTACCACCTGACCAAGTTTCCTCTTTACTTGTCGTTTGCTGTTAATTATTTCTACACCTAAATTAGTATTCAAGACATTTTTCATCCATAAGAATAGTTTTGAGCTGTTTTTTCAATCTCAGTACTCGTTTTCTGTATTGAACTTGAATCTGACGTATGCTGTTTGCCGCATACGTAAAGCTAGAAACTCATAAGTAGTTGAACAACCCGTTATGAGTTTCTGGTGAAGCGAAAAATCTCTATTAACAATCATGTCTTAAAAAAAGACACATCACGTGACAACAATCAGTCACATGTTCTATCTCTCGTTGTAGTCCTACATATTGCCGAATCAACCAATCAACGAGAAGACGCCACTGCACATGTTTCAAGTCCCAACAGATACAATTGAGAAGGCCTCCGGTCTAATAGTCTTCGACAAGGTTTCTCGTCAACGATTCCCGAACGCAGTTGACGTAAATGTTTGTCCAGACGCCATTATCACTTATTCAACTCAGGACTGGATGTCACCGTATCAGAACACTTTGACCAGCCGGGGTCATTTCAGACAAACCCTTGCCTTAGTAGTCCAGCAACCACTAGGAATCATTGATGGACTTAATCAGTTCGACACCTTTCAGGCTTTGTTGAAGACCTGGCTACCTTACTTTATGCCTGGCTTCCTAGGCCTGTAACTTTGAGAGTACAACATAGCTTCCTGATGTTCCAGCGATAAACAACGAAGCGTTTTCACTTGTCATGAACCGAACTGAAAAGACTGCTAACATTGAGCTCTTTTTGCTCCGTATGAGAGCAGTCTTATTTCAAAGACGTCGTTGTTATTTAAAAGAAGGAAATAATATGTTAGCCCCTATTTTGTTTTTTTATTTGTGCAAAATTAACTCAGCATCTTTGAGCATAATACTAGGGCACGAACGTAATTTCGAGCATGCTATTTTAGGAGTGACGCCCAAAAGCATAGTGCTCAAATTTTCGAGCATAATTTATCTAACCCTAC